TGCCTCTGCCCTGCTCTGCTTTTCATTTGTCCATATTGTCGGAAGATTGACTTCTAAACTTCCTTACTTGTATATTCTGGAATCTCATGGATTCCTCAAAGACATAGTAATTTGCTTTGCCTTTCGAGGCTGAATGTGAGGCGTTCCCGAACAGACCTCCTCCTCTCAATTCACAGACTGTTTGCAAGTGGCAGATAGATTCATGGGGGTTGTAAGGGCCTTGAGAAGGTATGGAAGACATGAGAAGTGAAGGAACCGGACCCACTTACAGTGGTCCACCTGTTGCATGTTTGCCATGCTGGACTCCAAGAACACATAGGCAGCATAAAACTCTGTCCCCCCATGACCGCACTCTGTCACCAGTTTTGATTCACAGCCAGTGGATATGACGAACATTTTTGCAGGCTGATGCGAACATGCCCTTCACTCTTGATGCACATCCAGCCATGCAGCATGCAGTGGGTGCCCTGGAGGATGCAACGATGATGCAAACATGTGTAAGTGTTGGAAGATCGAGGTGATACTGGAAGATATTGGAAGATATTAGTGATATTGCTTCAAGGTTTCAGCAAATTTCAGCATGTTTCAACGGACTGTGCTTGCCTGCACGTTCGCAAATACTTTGAGGTTGCCAAAGCAATGATGGGTCGGCTGGCCAAAGAGATGCGCAACTATGCTGCGATGCACAATAAACAGCCGCGAACTTAACATCTTAGTATCTTGCGTTTATCATGCGTTATCATGCGTTTCACTGTCATGTGATCTTCATTGAGTATCAAGCAAAGATTGGTAAAGTATTTACTTTCAGACAACTTCTACCAACTTACCTCCGAGGAAGCTTCCAAAGCTTGTCCACATGGACATTGACGGCATCGTGGCGGGGAAGAAAGAGCTGCAGTCTGAGTGGAGGTGAAGTATGAGAAATGACCGAAACATGCTGGCAATGTAGGCAATGCAGCCAACAGAGACTTCTCACAGAATGGCGGGGCGAAGCCACGGAGCAAAAGACTAGCATAACTAGCACTATGAAACAAGGAGAAACAAGGCTGAACAATGTGAAACAACATGAAACAACACATTATGCTCAACAGGAAGAAACAGAAGAAACATGAAGGACATGTATCGATGAACTTTGATGAAAGTTACTCTTGGCAGCGTGAAGCCTTGAGGTTGCTGGAGAAGGCACTGGCGCAGCTGCGCGATCTCTTTGCAAGCGCAGAACTTGGAAGTCATTGAAGATCACGTGGAAGATCACTGACGTATGCCTGGCCGGCGCCTGGCCGGTTGTGGTGGCAGAATGCGTTGCTTCGCTTGGCCTTCACTGTGTTGATCACATCGCTGCATCTCTGTTCCTAGGCCTCCAGGCCTTGAAGGTCGAGGACGAAAGCTTCGTTGCGGAGCTGATTCATAGGGCCGTGAGGGAGTGACCCTTTGCCTTCTCGTGCCATTCTTTTTTTTTGAAAATTTGTTTAAAGTGTTTACGTTTTTACAACGGGTTCATGAAATTCATGCTTGCACCGTGCCCTCAAGGTTAGTGCCACCATCGAGCACCTTCTGCGTGCGGTGGATGCTTGCAGCACGACGGATGAGATCAAAGACCACGCAGTGGAACGACAGCAGTGGCCCAAGGGAAGACTTTGGCCCAAGAGGACCTTGGAAGTGTTAATCTAATAATTATCTAGAGATATCTAGAGATAGTAGAGATATCTTGAGTCGGAAGTGAACCAAACATGCCGGTCCTATGTTCATCTAACGATGTGAGATGCGTGGGATTGTCAGATGGTGCCAGATGCCAAATTGTGTGGGATGTTTCTGGAAATTCTCGATAAAAAATGTAAAAATCCAAATTGACGCCAAGGCACTTCTGGCTTCTTCGATACGCTGGCCATGAGACAGAGATGTGGTTCCAACTGCTTTGCATCTCGATTGCTTCATGGGCCCATGAACCTGACTGACATGATGCAGTGTCACATGTCACAAAGTGGTTGTATGTAATAGTTAAAGATAAAGATCTATAGTCTATGAGTCTATATAGATTGATCCTATCTGAATCTATCTGATGCCCGTGGGCGCACACAAAGACAGCTTTGGCCTACGGTCTTTTGATTTACAGATCTGAGGCCGAACCCTGCTCAGTCCTGACTGCATCACGGACTTCAAACGATTCAATCCCTTCCTGACTGAGGAGCTGACATACGGAGCAAAGATAAACAAAGCTGTAGTCGTTTCGAGTCTAACTTTCACAGATATCTCAAATTGTTCCAACTTTCACAATCTGCAGCTCTTTAGCAGTGCTTTGACTCTGAGGAGGAAATTCACGAGCCTCGCGCTTGGCGACGTGGAAGAATTGAAGGTCGTATGTGAGTATGTAAGTGTAGTACCTGATGACCTAATAATTTCGTTTCTCTGTCTTAACTTGCAGAAGCTCCAAGGCTGCTCGCCGCTCTGTCACAGATGATGCTGGTGACCTCCCGAAGACAGCAAGTTTGCAGAGTCACTATCTGAGCTGCCCATGCTGCCCATGCTAAGAGTATCGTTGAACGGTGGATCAAGAGAAAGATGTCTAGAAGGTAAAGGGCAAGGATTTCAGACGCATCAGCTTCAAGTATTTCAGGTAGCAGATTTTACTTTGTTGATCTTTGTTGACACTGGCACTTCAGATTCTTGTTGTTTCTGTCACGTCATCCTCCCAGAGCATTTATTGACTTATGCACGCGCAAATGCAAGGCCATGGACCACTGCAGGAACTTGCTGAACTTGTTGGAACGTGACAACGCCTGAGACCTGGCGACTGGATGCCACTTACAGCCTCTAAAGGGAGTCTCCCTTTCTTGCTGTTGCAGGAAGCAATATATATATATACATATTTCATATATATATATTATCATATACACATATAGAAATATATATATAATCATATATATATATATAATCATATATATATATAATCATATATATATATAATCATGTATATATATAATCATGTATATGTAAAATCGTATATATATATAATCATATATATATATAATCATATATATAATCATATATATAATCATATATATATAATCATATAACCATATAGATAGTCATATATATATATATATGTACATTAATATAATGATACATACAAGTGATACACGCAAAACCAAGAGACAACTCCAACCAAAAGCTTGGAGAGCATTCCCACGCATTAGGGGCATGGTGGAATTGTGTACAGAATTTGATTGTACATTTACATGGTAAAATGTGCATAGAATTGTGCTCTTGTTACATACAAAGTGGACTGACAACCTTCTGTTTTTTGATTCTGTTGCATGCAACATATGGCCGAAAAACCAACAAACCAAGCTTTCCTTTCCTCATTGATGATATGTTTTCTCCCTGCAAGCTGATCGGATGTTTGCATCTTGGCTAAGAATGCAAGCGAGCGCAAATGTTGTGAGAACGTTCCTCTGAAAAGAGACCCCACATTGAACTCTGTGTGAGAAGGCGCCGCCAAGACGACAGTTGAACATGTGAAATGTGCGTGTTGGGAGAAACCTTGCGCATGTAGACACCTGCGCCGCAACAATCTGCAATGCCCACACACTGAATGCTCTGTAGAGGAGTTCGAATCTCTCTAGAGCTTCCAGTTTTCCCAGATCTTCCTGGATTTTTCCAGATTTCTCAAGTTTTTTGCGCTGAACATTTGTCAAAGGCTTCCAGCTCCGCTCTGGCCTTGAAAGCTGGACTCACAGAGAAGCCCGAGCCTTGGCTGGGTGCCGGGTGCAACGAACACACCTTTCCACACATCGCAGTCATCCAGTCATCACAGTCTCGCCTGCGAGGAGCTCCTTGCTGTCCAGCACAATTGCCGCAGAAAGTCGTGCCCCTCAGAGACCCTCAGTGTTTTTGCGCAAGTCCTTTGCCACGTGTCAGCAGAAGAGATCACTCGTATCTCAGGAATTTACATTTCAGACAAAGACGGTGAGAGAGGCCCTCATGAACATCAGTGGATGGCTCTGACTCAAGAGCAAAGGCAGTAGCCTGAACAACTATGAGCAACATTGAGATCATTGAGCAATGACTTGTGTCAACTTTTCTTCGATGTGGCAGGCTTTGACCCGCGCTTCCTGCTCTTTGAGTTCATTTCAGGTTTTCTCCTGCGACCAAGACAGGCCTCGGGATCCTGCATGCTCTATAGACTCTACCAAGTCATCCCCACTCTGCAACTGCATTGTTCAAAAAAACTTGGAAAAACTGCGGGAAAACGCAAGAAGAGGCTCAAACATGGTTGAAACACATTTGAATGAGATCATTCTCTTTCCAGGTGGAGATGGTCCGCGAGTTCCTGGATATCATCGAGTCCAACAACAGCGCAGTGTCTTGGCTAAACTGTGCCAGAAAACGCCAGAAGTGACATTTTAAGACTTTTAAGGCAACCGCAGGCAGCTGCAGCATGCTCCAACATCTCCAACATATGCACAGAACCAAAATGTAAACGCTCGAGTGCTGCTGAGGTGAAGCAAATGATCATGGGTTCTCTGCTTATTTGAGAAGTGATCGAGAGAGCCAAAATCGGGCGGACGTAACGCGGAACAATGCAGCAAGAGGTAGGGATAGAGCTCAAAACGCTTTTATTCTGACAATCATGTTGCCGAACGACAAAGTAAGACAGAAAAAATCATGGATTGGAACATGTCCCAAGTTCCGAGGGCAGTGCATGCTTTTTGTAATGCTCTTCGCTACTGTATTTGGCTATGGAGTGCATGCTCATACATGCCAATGCAACAAACAACATATTCAACATCAAACTTCAGTGAACTTTCAAAATCAAACTGCTTCTGAGCTTCTGAGGTCAAGGAAAGACGACGGTGGTGACACCCCTTTTGTCGTTTGTGCTTGCGGATGCTGAGAGACTGGTGGTCATTGCCTTGTCCTCAGTGTTTCGTGACATGGTCGTTGTGTGTTGTGATGTTTGTCCAACCGCCTTCATCTTGACTTTCAGCATCCCATCACTGTGACAAGGACTTTATAATCTTTATATATCTTCATTGATCTCTATTGTCATGAATCATGAATGCGTTGCTTAAGAACACCAATTCTGACTTATGCATTGCTGTTAGAAAGTGAGACTATGTGAGACTACTTTTTGGCGAAGATGCCAGGTTGTGCCTCACGCACTTCTTGAATTCTCCCGGTCGGTACTTCAGGGTACCTTTGCCTCGGTTGTCCAAAAGCAGGCTTGACGTTACGGACATTGCAAAGATGTGACCCATTGCTACGCATTGAAGAACAACTGCGTCACTGCTACTTTTTGCAGGTGTCCACATTCAAATGCGATCGTGCTGTTGACATTGACTTCAATTTCTCACTGACCGTGGATGCTGCAGCTTGGTAATTATTGACATGGCCGCATGGCTGTTTTAAGATGTTTTCAGGGTAAACATGTGCCACCATGGCTGTTTTATGCTGTTTTCAGCTGAGGTCAGACAACAGGGAGATCTGATTGTCACAACACCAGGTGATGCCAGGCTCTCATCTCTGAACATCACTGAGACAAACACGTGATGGTCAAACATGTTCAAACCATTTTAGTCAATTTTAATCAAACCATTTGTCAATTTGTGGCAGAACGCAACTTAACGCAACTGACGAAGTCACAATTCTTCAAACCGTCCGCGAGTCTTCTGAGGTGAAGTCCTTGCTGCTGAGATTCTTGGAGCAGCTTGAAGTCTCCAGTGATAGGAGTCTTAAAGCTCACTCAAACATCATGCAAGCATTAAGTGAGCATCGCATGAGCATCTCGTGAGTCTTATGTCACTTATGTTGCTATGTATACAGTACAGTTTATTCTCTCTTTGGACTGCATTGTGGAAGTTGTTGTGACGTGGTTGACAAAAACGGATCTGCAGGAGATCCAAAAAGAACACCCCACAGCGACTGGACTGCAATGACAATGACGCAGTGCGACACCGTGCGAGACAGTCGAATCACATTGACTCAAACGTGCTTAGGCTCCGCCGCGAGACTCTCGAGATGGGCAAAGTATTGCAGATGCTCCGGAATCAGAGCGTGACGCTTGCTGAGTCTACACTTCTTAGATTTCTTGGTGCATGGAGTACAATCTGATGTGCGTTCAGAGATACTCAGTGCCTATGTCAATCTGTGAAACCAACTAATCAATATCTCGAATGATGGCAGGTCTGCATGCTAGATGAGGTTGATCTCATTTTGCCGCACCCACAGAGTCTAATCACATGACTTTTCCAGCGAGGTTTCGTGTGTCGTCTGTGTGATTGAACTCTGCATCGCTTTGCTGCCCTAGAGCTGCCAAGTTGCGGAGGCATCCTCTCAAGTCCGAACTCAACTTTCCAACTGGACCCAAGAGTCCTGCTCCTAGATCTGAAGACTACACTTCTTGATTCAATTTGATTCATATTTGATTTTGTTTTCACGAACTTTGCAAGGACTCAGAATGTGTTGGTTTGCACGTTCATCATGTTCCCTTGTTCTTATCGGTTCGATATTTGTGCCACGCCTCAAATTTGATAGGTCTGATTCACCATGCGCCTGAGCGATGGCGACCAAACCTCAGACACTTGTGCTCAGAGTCTACAAGAGGATGCAATTTGTGTATTTCTGATTATCATTTGATTATCTCAATTATCTCTGTATCATTCTGTATCAGATCCAAGAACTCTCCTTTTGCATTTAATGCATTTGCAAAACTCACCATTTGCGAAGAAAAAAAACGCGTAGGTTTGCCGCTTCATGTCCTGGACGGCTTCTTTGCGGCAGAAGATGCTGCACGGACTCCGGCCCAACCCTCGGTATATTCGTATGGGTGGTTGGGGTTGTGATGGGACGCCAAGTGACCCAAGCCGTTTTGGAATGGAAAGGGAGTTTGTGATGGACTGTGATGGAGTATGACGCACCCACCTAATGTTGACCTAGTTCACTTCCCGGGCATTGCACTAAGGCTCAGCTGAAAGAGTCTCACGCAGCACGGCAAATTCTGCAGACCCTCTCGGAGGCTCTCGGATATTTTATTTCGAGGATATTGTATGAAGCACAGGAGTCCTCAAAAAGATACAGAAGTAAAGCACCATCGAAATAGTGACTTAGTAGGAAATTACTTTTCGGTCTTTACTGGGTAATCTTCCCTTAGCATAGATTGTTCAAACTTCAAAGATTCAACCGATTTTCTGTGTGGTTTTGTTTGAGCAGGTTGTGCGTCATGGGACAGAGCGCAAACTATTGCAGAAAAATCCCCACTTGGTGGGGCACTTTGCACACCTGAGTGGCAACCACTTCTATGAGCGGCTTAAACTTCCGTTGCATGCTGAGCTATGATTGAACATATTCACATTGAATTTGTCTCAGGTCCTACTGTCAGAAGATTTCTTTCATGATGAGATGAAGCCGATCCTGTGCCAGTGGATGTGTCATGGGCTGAGTCAACTGTTTCCTACAATGTCCTGAGCATCTGTATATGAACATACAGGAACCCATTGAAACCCACCTATTTCCATCTTTTCTACATCGCTGGGCACCGGCAGGTCTTTGGTTGACCATCGAACATGTAGGTGGACCACTTGGCGAGCTGCTTTTGGCACAATTTGCAGCCGTACTATGCCGTACTGCTAGGTGTCCTTGTCCACAAACTTGCCATGCTACCTGCAACGTGCTGCAAGGCCGGGTCTTTGAAGAAGGCTTTTCTCCCAGCGACCGTGGGTTGTCAGAAGAAGAGATCACAGCTTACCTGCCAGCTCCCTAGCCGAGCCTGCTGTGCAGTCCCAAGTGGTGTCAGACGTTGTGAGCTGCAGATCTCTTTTCAAGAGGAATCTTTGAAGATGACATGTACCTTAGATGATGTTGCTGCGCAGATCAGCCATGCAGCATCATGCAATGACACAACAAATACGTTTGATCGGGTTTGAGCATTGGAGTACATCCTTCGCGCACATCTAGAATATAATCTGATTATATAATTATTTGATTTAAAACATGTCGACTCCAAACCAGTGGAGAATGAGCGTGCATGTTCTGTGGTACGAATATAGCTGCACCAGCAGACCAAATCTCTCGCAGCTGTTTCGTGGATTTCCTACTATAATTAGCCACCTTTCTTTTCTATTTCTAAAGCTATGATACCTAAGCTGCGCATGTGGGCATCGGACAGTGGCACAACACGAATTGAAATGACTAAATGTCAAGACACGTTGCGGGTCATAACTCTAAAAACCTGGAAGGGATTGGAAGGGCATAAGATAGAGCCACCCCGCTTTGCGAATCGAGAAACTTCAGGTTGACCTGAGGAAAGCTCTGAATCGACAGGAACTGCCATCGATGAACTCAGGATGACTCGCACAAGTCCTGTAGACGTCAAGATGACTGGGACCGAGAAAGAGTGGCAACAATGGGTTGGGAACTCAGGTGACTCAGGTGATTCAGGTCACTCAGGGCGTGACAGACTCACGATTACATCAGCGGCTACATGCTACATGCAGTCGAAACATGTCGAAACATGTCGAAACATGTCGAAACATGTCGAAACATGTCGAAACATGTCGAAACGCTTGAACATGCTTGAACAATATGAACAATCTTGAACATGGCCTTCCAGGCCTCAGAGACGAAATGGCTGCAGGACAAGATGTCGAGAAGAGGGAAGAACACCAGCAACATATTGTAACTATCTTGAACGTTGTGTATTAAGACACTCTTTTAACGAGGGCTTTTTCACATTTTTGTCGGCAAGTCTGCAAGTTCATGATAGTATATATGCACCGTATGTTGTGCCGTGCTTAGCCCCTGAGGACCTGCTAGCTGCAGGAAAGGGCAGTGCAGAGGGTGACTTCAATCCGCACTTCGTTTGATCCTGATCGACGTTCATTATTTCTACAAAAGCAAATAGCAATGAACTGGCAATTTTTGGACCCCAATGTTTCACAAGAATGTGAAATCAAACGGTGCTGTTGTGCATCTAGGTGTCAGATGATCAGCGCGGCATCGCTTTGCCGTCTGAGTACAAGGTTCACGCATGGTTCTGAAGCCTAATGCTTCAAAAGATAAATTCAGCATGATTCAGTCTCGGGTCAATATTAGGTATATAACCCTGATAAACAGGGGTTGTATTTCCTACTTTCATAGGGACGGCTACGAGCCTGATTAAAACCCTTGATTGCTTGGAATGTTGCTCTACTGCTGTAGGACCTGATGCAATTCCTCTCCATAGCATTCCTCACTCTCCTCACCCAATGCAACAACCTACCTTTATGAAGCAACAATGTGATCGGGTCAGCCTGCTGCTGCTAGGCATCCATTGTGGAAAACGGCAACAAAGCCAAGACTTTGGTGAGATTCCGTGAGACAGCAGCAGCGCTGCAAAAAAGACTTGAACGCCTGGGACTCAGAATTCGGAAGTTGGTTGGACGATCCACGATGGCTCAGGAGATCTCAGGAGTTTCAGACTGTTTCCAGATGTTTCCACTCATAAAATTTCTGATGGACCTTACGAACAGGCGTCCTTCTTCGATGTTTGAATAGCATTGAAGATATTTGAAGATCAAATGGAGGATTCCAAGTCCTACGAGTAGAAGCGCCGGTGAATCTTTCGCAAAGTGTTTTGGGGTTGAAGATGCAGTTGAAGGTGCTTCGCAGGCTACAGTTCAAGGTGTGCTGAAGATAGGCACTGTGAGGTAATTACATTAATATAATAATATTACATTTTCATTCAGCTGACCTGAGGTGTGGATAGGCTTCCAACCAAAGATGTCCAGACCCTGAACCTCGGTGGTGAATGGCGTGCAGCTCAATCTGTCAGAATCTGTCGCAGTCGTTTGCAATTCGCTACGGTTTCACTGCGCTGTCCCACCCTGTCCATATGCATCCCTGCGATTCCCAGCGCAACTCTATTCTTGCAACGCTTGAGTTTGCTACTGCAACAGGCTCGCAACCTTCCTGCCGCACTGCTCCTTGGAAGAACTCAGAAGCATCAGAAACTGATTTACGAACTGATATTCCTTCAGCATTGGGTGGGCAGTTTCCCCACTTCACACTTTGCGCCCGCTCTTTTGTGTCTGATTTCCGAGAGAAGACCCTGCAAAAAAAGACCCTGCAATGAATGTTTGGATGGTGTGCGGGCTTGGAAAAAAGAACGTGCATGTTGAGTGAAGCGGCAAGAACAAGCTTTGCTGTTGCTTCTATTGCAGTATTGCAGTTGGGTGCTGGTGAGGCTTGCAGAAGATCGACAGAGTCACATTTGGCATCATGACCGATGAGCAGGTGCTGGACTTAGGAGGGCCTGTGTGAAATCAACCTATTCCATCCTATTCCCAATTCACTTCACACACCTTCATCAGCGATACTTCGCATGTGTAAAAAAAGATAAAAAAGCACAAGTCAGATCCGAGGTGAAAGCAGCTTTGGCCGAGCAGCCCCTTATGCCACTCACTAGGTCGAAGCTGGCGATTCCGTTTGTGGGTGCAGCTCTCAAGCCACCTTTGAGCAACAGCAAACCAACATGAACTGACCAAAACTAACCAAAACCGACCAAAATTTCATCAGGTTTCATCATGTTTCATCATGTCACATTTTGCAAACCCCCAGACTCTGGCTCTATTGCTAACATCCCGCCCAAGGCAAGGACGTTCCTTCGCAGAGCTCCGAATTTGCGCATCCTGACATCGTGTTGCTTTCTCAGAATTTTCACATCGGAAAAGTTCGGATTTCAGCCAAGCACAGAATGATAGCAAAGGATCAGATCTCACACAGTGTCACAGGCAGCTCAATGAGAAGTAATGAGAAGTCAAAGTTTCTCTCCCTTGATGATCTTGATGATCTTGATGATCTTGATGATCTTGATGATCTTGATGCACTCAGACGTCTCAGACTTTGCTTAGGCTTGGCCTGACCTCTTTTGCGTATCGCTACGAAGGTCTACGTCGTTCTGACTTTGATGAGGCCTGCTTTTTGGATCTTTTTTGGATATTTTATTCGTCTGCAAACGTATTATTTATACATTGTACATCCCTTTGTAATGGAGCTGCCATTGCCAAAATTGCTGTCCGTTTTCACATATCCAATTGAGTAGCTTTTTTTTCTGGATGCAGAAAAATAGATAAAGTGGGAACTCCACAAGACATCTTTTGCCCCAGGCGTAGGCTCCCATGCAATGGCATAGGTTGCGTAGGCATTGGCGTAAGCTCGTTTTCGCCTACACCGCGTAGGCTTTGCGTAGACATTTGTTGGCAACAGTTAGAACTCATTCATTTTGCCTTGGTTAGTTGGGTTAGTTGTGATATTTGTGGCTTGTGGTTCCAAAGCCTCATGCCACAATCGAAACAAAGAGAAGCAATGGCCGCGTAGGCAAAGCCTACACCGCATAGGCTCGCGTAGGCACCCTTTAACACCATACCCCGCGTAGGCTACCTCATGCAATGGCGTAGGCTTGGCGTAGACAATTGCGTAGGTTATATGTTACTGGTCATCGAAAGACAAGGATAAAGAACAGTACTCAATTCTATTCAACTCTTTTTTTGGAACTGTCTATCGCGAGCTGCTGCAAGGTAATGTCAGCTCTGGCAGATCGCTTGGAGAATGAAGGAGGTGGTTCTCAGCTGGAAAGACCCACAGCTCTTCGTTGGAGCCCAAACTGTTGAAAAGATACGAAAAGATGGCATGTGGAGATCATGTGAGAATATGTGCTTTGCAGTTTCAAAAGTTTCAACTTCGCCACCATGCCATGACAAGAGCATTTGTAAGGCTGGAAGGCCTGGGTTGAAGAAGCCGGTGCTGTCTTCTGCGTAAAGCAACGTGAGATGGATGAGAGGCAGACCGCAGAGGCATGGTCTCCAGATGTCACACTTCAGACCTTTTCCGACACCAGATCTTCGAATGTCAGACTTCCAAAACTCATTTTCTAGTGACTGATTCTGGCAAGGAAGACTTACTTCATGAAATAGAGCTTCATAGTATTGTGGCCTGATCGCTTCCTGCTCAAGCCCATACAGGCTGAGATCAAACATTTGGCGAGGAAATCTAGTTTGGGCATTCCCGACATTTTCCACCTTGATCCCTTGCACTGGGTGCTTAGGCATTAAGTTCTCCAAGTACTAATGAGAGTTGGATTTGACCATTCCAAAAATCAGATTGTTTGGACTCGCCGCGTAGATTCTCAGCGCTCTACAGTGTACACTACTGTACAGTCAAGCGTCGTTCAGTCAGAGCGTGCACACTTTCGTCATGTTGAGAGAAGGAGAAGGGTTTGAGTTGGAGAGCCGCCTGCATGTGGCTGCCCGAGAAGGTCAGATCGAGACGCTGAAGCGTTTGATTCTGCAACGCGCGGATGTCAACAAGGTTGACGTGGATCTCTACACACCTTTGCACCGAGCTTGTGACAACAACGACGTCGCCTGTACGGAGCTCCTTCTGAATGCCAAAGCTGATCCTGACGTGTCACATCCGGGCCTCGATGGGTGGACTCCTTTGCACGTCGCAGCATGGAAGAACTCTCCGGAATGCACCGCCCTTCTCATCGCAGCTGGTGCTGATTGCAATGCCATTGATTGGTATGGAAAGACTCCCGTGGCTTTAGCTGGTGCGGATGCCAAAGCCCGAATGCCCAGTAAACCTCCTCAAGCCCATGAAGCTCCTCCTGATGACAAGTGGAAGAATCTTCGTGAAGGATGTGTGATGAAGCCATCAGCAGTTCACCTTGCAAACATTGAACGCTGCATGAAGGCTGCGGGAGTTGGAGGATAAGCGGAACAAATCTGAAGAGGTATGATGGTTGAATGATATTGAATCTATTGTTATACAGAGTTATACAAGCCTGTATCAATGGATTCAATCAAATGTTTTGTAGCACCATATCTCTTGTACGATGGGGCAGGATGCAAGGAATCTCATGATCAAAAAAAGGGAAAGGAAGACTGGCCCCGCCTCTCGCTCCCTTCCTTACATTTGCTGTGCGTGCAGTACAGCATACCATTACTGCCATTACACGGCTCCTGCACTTAGTTGCATTATATATTCGTTAGCTGTACACGTCTTTGATTGTCTGTTTAGTTTGCCCTACTGATCCCTCTGCCTTTTGTGTTCTAAGCTTGAAAGTTCCCCCTCAAACTTCGTTCTGTAACCTGAAGATATGTTGCATTTTGTTTTACTTTTTCTGAAGTAACCCTGCTTGTAACTATAGCCATCTACAGTGGAATCTACAGTCTATATCTCAAGTGAGCTGACTTGAGGTGTTGCTTTACCGATTGGTTCCCCTGAGGCCTCCGAAGAATTCGGTGAGCAGCAAGGTGACTTTTGCGCTGACTTTGATGCCAAGGCTAAAGGTGGCTGAGCTGATGATGGAGCGTGACGGAGCTAGTGACACTGGATGAAGCTGGTGTACCGGTGTACCTAACTAGGTACAAAATGGTACAAAGATGTACACAGCTCAATTAGTTCAGTTTTGCCAGCTACTGGGAAATCAACATTTTCGGCAGACCAATGCTGCCTCCTGGAAAAAGTTGGCATTGCCATCTCCATTGTCTCTGCTTGGAGCTAGAACAACCTCAACTGCAAGATAGCATAAACGGAGTTACCGAGAGTTGTTGGCTATGATTTTGCTTGGTGAGAAGGAATCTGGAGAGGATCCCCGTGCCGACAAAAGACCTCGAGCAGGGAGCCAAGAGTATGTAGTGCGCAGCTTTCCTCCTTGGCTATGGTCAATGATAATGATAATAGCTACTACTAATAATATGTCGGTGTGATTTGCATAACTTTTGCCGCAGAGCCTGCCAATCTTGCTGGGAACAGGCATTGTTAGTTTATTTGAACGAATCCAGCCATTGTTTGAATGCTCAGCAGCAACAACCAGATTTTAATATTCATCCAATGTTACTCAGCTCTTCTTCTGTGTCTTAGGTCCTTCCGCTTCACTTGTTGGAGAAGACAAATGCTCCACAGTGACTTGGAAATAGTTTGCCTGTACCAATGATGCCAATATTCAATATTGTGTTCAATCACTCTGTCGTGTGAACAAGTGCGGTCAGATCAAAAGCTCTCTGCATTGGTGTCATAGTCTGCTTCACTTTGGATGTACTTGTACGACTGTACACTTTTCTCTATCTTGCTGCCAACCTCTTTCTTACTCTGTATACCTTTACCTTATCCTATCTGATCTTTTTCAATCATATGTTGTTATCGAGTCATATATTATCGCATCTTACTTTTTTGATCTCATTCTTATCTAATCTGATCTTATCTATACGTAGAGCTAGCTGTATTTCTACAAAACTGTAAAACTATCTATTTGTCTATCTGGCTATTTTTGTTGTGACTCAGGATGCAACGCCTTTTTGAGCTCTTCCGCAGGCCAACAGTAATACTGCCGTACTGAAATACAATATATTACAATGACTATATATATATACAGTGACTACAGCACAGTTGTGACAAGCGAAAGAACTTTGTCCTACCCGGCTTCGCCTCAATGCGGCAGTGACACAGATTGACACAGGCTCCCGTCGGCAATCCATTTCTACTTGGAAACCATCATTTTCCCAAATTTCATGCGATTTCAAGAACAGAAGTCAGCATCTTAAGACTCAAGATGTCTCAAGTGTACACTATCCGGTCTCTTCGCTGTGAAAATGCTGCTGCGCAAGGTGAGTTGACTTGTTTTGGTTTGCTTTAAGGTTCTCTGCTTCTGGTCAAGAAATGGGTGGTTCCATCCTGTTCAAGCAGAGGCAAGATGATGACCTGGTCGAAGTATTGGGAAGCTGAGCTAGTGGGTACACCGGATCATTGTAACAAGCTTGTGAGATGCAGGGGCTGACATTTTGAAGAATTGGTCTCATTTGAATCTTGAAGTCAAGCGTAGATAGTGTAGTAAGATAGCCTTCTACCAGCAACTATCAGTGGATGTCTCTTTTCAGGATTCCTTTTTCCAGGCTGGGCTTTTCTGGCACACCATCTGAGCTCATGCCACGAGAGCTCGGGCAGTGTGAGTATGAGCCTGGCAGTGAGGGCGAGGCTTGGGGCAGAACATGTTGGAGCCACAGCATAGCACCGACTTCAATCCTTTTCAACCATTTTCATATTTCTTTACGCTGTCTGAAGCACAGTTTCGGCATGTTTCGGCCATTTTGCAATTTAGCATATTTTAGCATTTCGGCTTACAAACTCGGGTGCACAGTAGGCATTGAATGGCACTAAATGTTGAAACTCAGCGTGACAGCATTCAGCCAGGTGGTCAGCACCCTCACTTCGCCCTCCATCGTGTCTTTCAAAACTCTGAGCTCCGACTGGACAGTGGAGGCTGGAGATGGCTGGACATGGTTGGACTGTTAAGGATCCGAAGGATTCGCGGATGTTCGAACACAAACTTCCAGGACGAATTTCAACATAAAAATGTGAAGTGATACTGTAGAAATCTGTAGAACGTGACATTTTGATGATGAGAGAACTTGAAATCGCCGTGGAAGATGCAACAGATGGTAACAACAGGCTTTGTTGGATGCAGTTGCTGAAGCAGCGTGTCGTGGAGAGTGCCAAGCTTTGATCGACACAGGCGTTCCAAGCTCAGCAGGCAGTTGATATATGATATACGTAAAATCACGGAATTGCTCTCTAGTTTGATCAGCTCCAGTTACTATTGCTTTGCACATCTTTGCACGTCTTTGCACTTCTCTGCACTTGTCGGATTTGTCGGCAGTGTTGAGGCACTGGTGACCGGCTTGACAAACAAGGAAGTTGCGGAGCACCTTCTTGGCCTAAAGAAGCGCGTGGAAGCTCAGGGAGTGGAGAGCATATCTATATCATTCACACCGCATCGCTCCCCTAGTTCCTAGCAAAATCATGCAAACTCTAAAATCTAAAATATTTCGGAATTGCCAAAGGCTAGTGTGACTACTGTATCCAGTTGTTTGATGTTGTTTGAACGTTCGAATCTTCGTGATTTGCTTGAGGCACGGACGGGACAATGCCCGTGACGTTGCCAGAGTGGATCGAGGGCGTGGTATTTATCGAGGAGGATGGAGCCAAGCGCATCTTGCCACGTCCCCAGAGGCCCTGGACATCCCTGGACCCAGGATCGAGGGCATTGACGGCATTGAGCATGGCATAGCATGACTGAGGAATCGCCAGTCTCGGGAGGTTGGCAAGCTTGCTGCCAGACGCCCAGAAGGTTTGCAGTTCTCTAGATTCAGAATGATTCAGATCTGTGCAGATTATTTGTTGGAGAAGTGCGTGCTTCAATTCAAAGGCTTCAAATGCTTCAAAGTCTGAGTCCAGTCCTTCTTTGAATCGAAATCTGAAGTTCCCATTGAGACAGATCACTTTCTCTAAGGACAGCGGTGTTCCTATATCAGCAAGGTTCTGCTTTTACGATCAGATTCACACCACAGGCCACAATACTGTGCCCCCTATCAATGCTAGCCAGAGTTTGAATCAAGCGTACGTACAGATGCCTGGTAAGATCTGCAAAATTCATCAAATTCTACCTTGTCAGACTTTCCCTTTCCGTTTTGTTCCAATTCGATCAGGCATGGACATCCAACATCGCCTGGATGCAGTCGCAGCCCTCACTCTTGGTGCCAGAGCTCAGAATTCGCGGAAAGACAATGCAGGTCAGTTCCATATCCGTATCGTGTGATTTTCTTATTCATTCGGCGATCTTGGACCCGGCTGCACTCCGAGGCAAAGACATGGTATGGCGTTCGTGTCTCAAGACATCCGTGCAGATTTGCAGCTGCACTTCGCAATCAGCATAGTGAGGTATAGTCTCAGTTTTTCTCGGTCCACACTTAATCTGAACATATCTGGACCGCTCTCCAGAGCCTTCTGCTGTCTGTTTTGTTCCTCTGCGTGAGGCGATTTTGCTCAGGGTGCATACAGGCATGCAGTCCAGATTTCTGCCTGACTTTTTGTTTCTCAATGTAGTTGCATTCTGTGAAATCAACGTGACACTCGCGAGAGACCAAGTGTATAGGCCAGTGATATTGTGGAAGCCACTTGCAAAACCCCGTTGTTGATGACTGACCTTTGTGCAAGCTAAAAATCCTGGTGGGCACATGCCCCCACACATTTTCGGGTTAGCAAAATCTATATATTATATACTACCATATATAATATATAGATAAGCCTGGAATAATCCAAAGTAGTGGGCACAGTCCCTTACCGCCTTTCGAGGATGCAAGACCTTTTGATTTGATTCCTCTGAATTGCTCTCACAATTCTTGCCATGCTCCCTCAAGCCTTTCTCATTTTGTAGCGGTCTTTGTTGAGATCTGCCTGGCTCCTATTCAGACGTGTGCAGGATGCGAGGAATTGGTCGCGGACAGAGCATTTGCCTGTACATCATCCCAGAGTTCTCACCTTGGATCTATGCCATCCACTTCCTCTTCCTTTTTGTGTAAGTCTTTGGATCATTTTGGATCCTTTGTTTGGATATTTGTTGCATGCATTGCACTTCAGGATCGAAGAGCTCATTTCCCGCGATATGGGACTTGCAAGTCTACCGCAGCTGCAGGATGCTGAGTTGCTACGTCGCCTGCCCTGAGAAATTGTTGTTGGTGCTATGTGCCCTGCTCATGTTTGCTCTATTTGCTCTGAAGAGGCCCAAATTCTCAAGCCTGGGCAGCCGGCACAAGGCATAGCTGCATAGCTTGACTTCTGTTTAGCATTGTTTAGCTATCCTTAAACAGGGCAGTTGCAGCTGACGTCTGCCGTTTCTGTCTTTGACCAGGGTGTTTTGGATGCAGTGGCTTGTTGGTTGCTGTGCCAGAGCAGTCCTCAGTACAAACATAGCTTCAGACACATGTCCCATTTCACAGTTCCACCGTGGCAGCTGCATAATGGGTAGTTGTACGCATGTCCTTGACACTGGCAGTTTGAAGTTAGCCATGATTGACCATGGATGCTAGCATGATAAGGCTCGCTTTTTGATCAATAACACTACACAGAGGATGGACCAGAACGGGACCTTTCGCTCCAGGTCCATGCGGACTGAAAAGGTGCAATATGCCATGCTCCAGCTGCAAAATCTTGCAAACATTTGGAGAAGGACGACATCCTCTGCGTGCTGATCTTCGCAGCTTATACTTTTGACATCATTTGAATTCATTTGACATCTTTTGACTCAACTTTTGACATCTTTTGGCTTTTGACATCTTTTGACCTGTGAATTCATAGACCTTGCATGACCTGGCTCTGAGGAGCTCTCTGACGGTGGTCATGGAAGATTACGAGGCAAGCCAGAATGAAGCGAATGCTTGTAGCAGGTTGTGGCAGTTTATTGGAACATATTGGAACATATTGGATCATATTGGAACGCTGTTTTGATCTGTTTTGTGTCCGGATTCAGATTCATCTACCGCTCGAGTGATTTCACGCTGATGAGAAATCTCATCTACAACTTAAAGAGTTTTTAAAGAGTTTGAGTGAGTTTAGAAGAGCTGAATTTAGTGCAATGACTTTGCTTCAGGCCATGGCAGGAATGAAGCCAGACACGCTTGCGAGAGTCCAGGTGTACAAGGAACCCATTGATTTCAAGGCACCGAACCCGGCATTGCAAACATGCCATGGAATCCATTCGGAATCCATTCAAAGTACTCGGAGCGTCGGAGGAGATAACTATGCGTAACCCGTGAGGAAAACTACATACAGTACTTGATAAGCAGGACCAGCAGACAAAGCGAAGAGAGTCCAATACCACAAAGCAGTTGAGTGAGCAGATTTGGAGGATCAACACATTTTCAGCCTTTCTCCGCTGAAGAGAATGGCAGGTCCCTTCAAAAGTTCCGTGAGGGGCTCAGTGACAGCATGACTGTTTGCACAAACAGAGCATTTTGAAGAAACATCTGCAGAAATCATGATTATTTCTCTCGGAAGTTAGTTCATGTTCCTTCTCTGGAACTCCTCCGAACATGCAGGCACATGGACTCCATCGGTGCTGCCGCAGAGCGAAGGACTGACCATGCGATTGGACACTGAATGAACTCGGTAGCGACATTGTGGCCACATTGTAGCCACTAGTTGGCAGTGCCACTCAATGACAGTGTCAATTTGATACATCTTGTGAGGGAAAAGCAGCAGTTTTCTTCAATTCATGCCGCTTGCATTCTTGAGGATTGCTGATGCGCAACGCTTTGTCCAAGATGCTGACAGGACAGGGCCGATTTCTTGCCGTGCTTGGCACTGCACTGGTTTTCGCACAAAGAAACAATATTTTTGTCCATGACCTTGCAACTGATGCAAATCACATAGATCAATTCATGAGCATTTTATGAACATATGTCCACATCTCTGCTGCTTTCCTTTGTTCGATGAGGCCAGAACTGGAAGAGATCCGAGGAAATATGCTCAGACTAGCAGAGGCCAACTGACTCCACGCGAAACTGAGACATATGCAGACACATATAGTCTTGCATTCGAGTCTTACCGACATGCTACACACGTGCTCTGCATACTGGAACAAGGTGCGTTTCAGGTCATTACACGGTCTACACTAGGATGATTGAGAAAGACAACATCAACACAATGGCACCACATTATTAGGGTATTCTGGTATGCTGATTTATCATGATTTATCGGCACTTCTTGTTTTGAAGTACCAAGACCGTGCAAGTTTGTAACTATCATGATTTCATGGGTCGTCCAAGAGTCAGATTGCTTGATACTGCGACTGTCGCTTGATGTCGCTTGTCTCAATGCGAGGCTGGTGGAGAAACACACGAAACTGAGGGAGAGCCCGGCTCACAGCTGCACCTGCTGCATGTGTACATCAAGACAACGAACATGAATCAACCAATGAATCAACCAATGAATCAACCAATGAATCAACCAATGAATGAATCAATGAATGAATCAATTAATGAGTCAATGAATGAATCAGAATCAATCAATGAACGGTTTATAAGAGTCTTGATAGATCTTGATAGTTTGGGATATCCCGTGCTCGCCATGCCTGGAACTGTCTAAGTTCTTTGATTCTAAACGTATTCTAAGTTGAGGCGAGGACTTGAGACTGAGCAACAGCGGGAACAGGAGCAAGAGCGGCAGCAGGAGGTGGCTTGAAAAGAAGCAGACACTTGAAATATCTTAAAATATCTTGAAATCGTTTGAACATCTTTTAACATCTTCCCGAACATCTTTGAACTCCTGGACTTCACAGCGAGAAGGTCCAGCAGGGATGTCACTGCGTTTTCGGAATCACAGCAATTCTATAAGTTTCTCAATGTGAATCTCCAGGTGGAGGAAGAAAATCAAAGAGAGCAGGAGATCCAAATTGAGAAGTTTGTTGACTTGATGCTTGGCGCTGAGCTCTCCCCGCTGTTTTAGACACACATCAGTCACATCAGTGTGACGTTTGCGCAGCGCTTGAAGCACTGGTGAGGCATTGTCGCGATCACGAGGAGCCTGTTCCATGGGACGTGCTGAGCTAAATGTTCATCTCAGGGTTTTCGCCATTGCAACAAACTCTGCAGACACTTTGTGCTCTGCACTTCTTTGCCAAGCTTGGTGGTTCAGGTAGACACCCTAGCTGTGGAGGAGGAGAAGAACCTGCCAAAACAATTCTATGAGGACCGCAGTGAGACAAGCCATGTGACATCATGTAATGTTACAAGTGCGATCTCTTCCGGGGTGCCCAAATATGCCCAAATTGAAATGTTGCCAGGCAAGGGATTTTTGCCTCTGGAAAAGGCAACCGCTGAAATCACTTCCGTGCCTGGCTCAAAACTGTAAGGAATTGATGGGCAAAGGATTGCAAAGACGTCACTGACATGATATCACACGCATCCTGGACGTTCCTGGACTCAAGAGTTCAAATATGTTCAAATGAAACCAGGGAAGAGTGTTTGCTCTCCAGAAACTGGAACCGACCTCAGAGTGCAAATTGTGGCTCCATGTTGTTCCATGTTGCTCCCACACAGCTGGAGCTGGAACCAGCTGCATAGGTTTGACCCCCAATGGAGTGGGTTTCGCAGAGTGAAGAATGTCTACATGCAGCTCGAATGGGCCTTTCCCCCAGTTCGATACTGGAATCGAAACAACCTACGAGATCAGTGTGCAGTTAGCACACGGATCTTAGCCAGACAGACTATGAATGCAGTCACCAAAGGGAGCACCATATATACCTAGCTATGGACTGACACTCAGAATGATCAGAATGTACATAATTACATAGATGCCTAATGATGCCTAGATATAGCCGAAGAATCCCGAAGATCCGTGCAGGTTCCTACTAGCAAACATAACATAACATAACATAACATAACAGCAAACATGAGTTGGAGGTTTGGGTGCAGGGTCTTTCAAGATAGAGTAGACAGAAACAGAAGGCATGCATGAACTTGACTGACTGATGGACTCACTGATCGATTGAGTCATTGATTGAATATCCCAACCAAGAGCCCCAACCAAAGGGAATAGAATTCAATGAATCGAATTAGATAGAATTAGAATTTATTCTGTCACATTGGGTGATGACGGATGTTGCTGCAGGTTGCGCTACATTCCGTTTGTCAGCAAGATGTTGAGTACACACAGGATTCATTCAGTTTCAGACCGTATTTGAGAAACTTTAATGCCGTGAAACTAATACCTGACCGAGCTTTACTTTACCTTACATCAGGCTTATATACCTATACATGCAAATTACAAATTTAATTTAATTTAATCATATTTAATCGATTTTAATCGCTTTTCGTTACATCTGGGTGATATTGCAAACAGGCGCCTTAATGAGGTTGCATTGCTTTTCACACACAACCTACTCCCTGACCACATGCACCTCCTGTTTCATAGTGTTTTGATCAGCCTGCTGTCGAAATTTTGAATTTTTACGTCGTCATATACGTCGTCATGGTTTGGCCAAATCCTGCTTTTTTTTTCTCAGGTTTCAGACAAGTCGCGACTTCGCCGGACTACGAAAGAGCTACAACTGACTCGTGTGGAGGAACACGAGATGCATAGAAAACTGCATTTGGCGTGCCCTACAAGTTTACGAAGTTTACATGTCGGATTTTGGTCGAATCCTGCATTTTCACTGCATCCTTGTTTTTTGAACACCCTCAAGGCATCTCAAGGCTCTTTCTCGACGTCCAGGGTGGAAACCCTCAACATGTTGCTTATTCAGCACTGGGAGGTTGTGTTCAAGTTTGTGCAAGGGGAATGCACATAGTCATGATGCATCAGGAGCTTTTAAGTCATCATGTGCGTGTAAGTCTTGCAAGCAAGCACGTTATTATTTTACAGCACATTCCAGCAGACCCAAGTGTGCTGAAAAACTAAACTAGATGAAGAAGTTGCGATCATCATTTGCCCAGTTCAATCGGTTCAGTCAACCTCTGCTCACTTGATTGAGTTCTCAACACTAGAGATCCTTGCAAGGTGGACTGGCTCGATACTTCAACCCGGTCAAATCAAAAAAGAGCCAAACAAAGAACTCAAACAATTCCTATGATTGAACATGGACAGCAGTTTGAAGTTCAAGATTCAAGAGCATGCGGTCAAATAGATTGTCACATATGAACACGACTATGCACAGGCTTGAAGGTTCACCTGGTTCACCTATAATTTGTCAGCTCTGAAGCAACAACCAAGCAACACCAGGCACCAAGACCCGGTATGAGTCGAGATTGCAGCATGCCGTCCATCTCTCGTGCGACGTCGCTGGATCCAGTGCTTAACTGGGCTTGCGATGCTTGTGATGCGACTGGGACTGGCTTCTATGGTACCTCCACCAGTGTGACCAGTGACTCTGATGACACTCTCAGTGGTCATTGGCTTGGCCATGTCCAGATTTCTCGAGGGCGGGGAGCCCCGCCACCAAGCTGCTTCATTCATCCAGATGTGGAGAGAAAGGCCAATCAAAAGGACCGTCCATTGAGATATAGAGAAATTGCTCCGCCAGCAATGAATTTGCTTTATCATACTGCACTCCTATCAGTCCTTGGGCCCACCTTGATTTTCATCCTAGCCTATTCCAGATCTTCCTGTGACCACGGAATGGACTATCCAGTTCCGTATTGGATATGGCTTTGTGCTGCTCCGTTTGTTGTGTGCCACTTCATCTACGAGGTTCGAGTCTTTCGCTACACCACTATTCCTTACTTCCAAGTGGTTGGAAGGTTCCAAATGCTGACGATCCATTTGGGATTTCATCTGTGGTTTCTAATCAGTGCAGGCAAATCTTTGGCCTTTCAAGGTGCAGTATTTTCCAATGCAGTCTTTGCAGCCAAAACCTTCGCGACAGCATCGTGCCCGATTACTTATACTGCTGACTCGGGCTTCCAGCGAGAGACCAGCTTTAATGAGATTTGGGAAACAACTTTGCACCAATCGACATTTGCATTTTGGATGCGGGAGATTCCACTTTCCGCCCAGGTCTTGATTCTTTGGCTCCTCTCATTCTCACCTATCATCCACGCTTTGCTGGAGTCAATACCAGAGGATCAATGGCCGTGGCAGATCGATACTTCACTTGAAACTGACAACATATCAGCTGAATACACCAACTTTTTGGGTGGCCGATTCACAATGGGCGACTCGCTCATGCTGCTTGGCAGCGGGATGGGTATGTTTCTAATCGATGAGCAAAGCCCATCTTACCCTCGAGAGAAGACCTTTCATATTCTCGAAGGACTCACATCAAGTCTGCAGAACCAGAGCCAAACCAGTGAGCGCGGTGCGCTGAAATCAACAGAGCAGTCCAGAAATGCCCTGCGACATGTATGAGCCACTTGAAATCTACACCAGAAATGCTTTGACCAGATGCTTCTTGAAAGTGATCACACTTGGCCTTTTTAACACTGCTTTGCAGATCCATGTTCAGATTTCAGTATATGCAATGTTTCGCGTCACCAGCAAGAATGAAGAAGTGGATTTTCAGCGCTTGCTGTCTATCGCCTTGAGCATTGCAAGTGCATCGTTCTTGTTGATTCATGTGCAGAAGGTCCTGTTGTATGCTGGACAAGCCCTTTTGAAAGTCGAGCAAGTGATGGAGCATATCAACGAAACAGATGAGCCGGTGACATGGAGAGACTTGAAGAATTATTTTGTTTGGAGAGCGGCAGAGGCCCGAGTTATCCGTTATCGAGAATACGTGAGATGGTCCACAGCTGCTTTTGTGCTTGCTGTTTCCCTGGCAATTATGAAGCTCTGTATGGCCTTCAGATGTCCTGATGCGTTGTGGAACATTGGCTCAATGCATTCCTGCGTCGACCTGGAGACAGTCTTTGAGACTCTCTACGAATCGAAGTAAGTATATTGATTCTATTTGATTCTCATTTTCTACATTGATTTGCATGTACCCAGAATCATGTTGAGAGCAACAGCAATCCGTTTCAAAAAAGGAGCAAGGCGCACTCGACTTTGCAATCACAAGCCGACACAGTTCACATTTAACTTGACTTGCGCAAGTGTATCACAGTGCCACGTAGTGGGTTGTTGCTGATTGATGCTGATTGCAGTATCGTCCAAAACAGAGAAGCCGCATGAAGCAGCAATTGCCAGATCTGGGACTTGTTGAACCGGAAGGGAGCCGGAGATTTTGCCTGGCCCTTGGCAGGTTCTGGCAGGTTCTGGTGTTGGTACTGCTTCCTGCACCTGCTGCACCTGTTGCACCTAGGAAATCGCACCGAAGTGGAGGTATAGAGGTGGACATGCAGAAGACGCCCAAGGTTCTCCTGTGTCTTCAGCTTGGCACATGTTGACAAGACATTGACAATTGACGGCATTTTATGCAAAGGCGCACTTGTGACAGTAGTTGTGAAGACATGTCAATTGCATTAGCATAAAAGCATACAACTCAAAGGTTCAACAAGACACACTCATATATATATAATTATATATATAATTTTAATATGTTTTAATTGTAATATATATATACATAGAATATTATATGTATACATATATAGATAGTATTTGGATTCAGTTGGTTCTTTTTTTGCCGCAGCCTGTTGTAGCTTAGCAACTCTCACGGCCTTCATTTAGCTTATGAGGTCGCCAAGCTCGGCGCCCGTCGACTTTGAGCCGTTTTGGACCTGGTTTCAAAAGCAGCACTTAAAACGTCATCATCGTTCTGCACGATTCTGCACAGGGTGCACAAATTCATCACATTGCTCGATTGCAGCGGTGATTGTTGTGACACCTCGCCAAAAACTAACACGAAGACACAAGCGTGCTAATATCTACCAGGCCTGAGGGAGAGATTGCTCATATGGAGATCCTCAGGCTCTTGCAGGCTTTGGCTTTGGGTGTGTTGCATCTTGATCTTTGTGTCTGTCAAGGTGGAGACACTCTATATCATTGGGTCCCTGTGTCAAGCGGACCTTACCTGATGCTTTAAGATGCTTTAAGTATTTCATTGTGACCGCATTCTACTGAAGCCGCAGCGGCTTTGTACATTGCCACCGGCATTTTCCAAAAAAGATCAAACAGTGGACCGTCTTCAAGACAACCCCCATGCCCCCATGATCCCTCATCAATAATCCTTTGCAACACATCCATTTGGCTGGCAGGCATCCTTTGACTGGGTCGCAGCCTTAAGCATAGCTGCTACAAAGTGTACAGTGAAAGGCCTGAGCTGGACAGTTGAACCGTTTGAACCGAACATGATTTCTGAGATTTTTGAGGATACTGCATTCCACTCGGTCTCTTCAGCGATGGCGGTGTTGAAAAGTGAAGGAGATGGAGAGGCTGCCATGAATAGATAACGAGTCGGAAACGATGACTTCAGGCACTCCAAGATTGGTTCCAGCTACCGTGAGAAACATTGTTTGAAATCTCAGAAATTGTGCCAGGCTTCAGCTGTCGCAAGAGCTGCAGAAGATGAGATAGGTGAATCATGGTGAATCAAGAAATGCAAAGCAAGGCAAAGCAATGCAAAGCATGCAAGACAATGGAGTGCCATCATGATTTGCTGCCCAAATGCAGGTCTCGGGTATGTGGATGCTAGCCGCCTGCTTCGTTTGAGCCCCAGATCTTCCTAGAGTACAGTATCCCATAGCCAAGGCGGAGTTCAGGGGTTCTGAGCTTTCCTCTTTGAAATTCACAGGGAAATTCATATTGATCAAAATGAATCAAAATGAATCAAAATGAAAGTGTGTCATCTGTGTCACTTCAGTGCGTCGCAACTCATGGCTGCAATGGGTCTTTTACCCGTTCTGACATGTCCTGACATGTTCTGCAAAGGTGCAGCCTACTTCCGACCTCGGGATGAGGGACGCGGCTTCATCATTCTCTCACTCGCAGAGGCAGAACACTAGAAATTGCAACTGGAAACAACTGGAAACAACTGGAAACATACATACGTACGTACGCACGTACGCAAGTACGTACGTACACACGTACACACGTACACAAGTACGTACATGCATACCTGCATACATGCATACATGCACACATGCACACATGCATACATGCATACAGCACACATGCACACATGCACACATGCACACATGCACACATGCACACATGCACACATGCACACATGCACACATGCACACATGCACACATGCACACATGCACACATGCACACATGCACACATCCATCCATCCATACTTACATACTTACATACTTACATACTTGCATACTTGCATACTTGCATACTTGCATACTTGCATACTTGCATACATACATACATACATACATACATACACACATACACACATACACACATACACACATACACACATACATACATACATACATACATACATACATACATACATACATACATACATACATACATACATACATACATACATACATACATACATACATACATAACATTTCATTTCATTTCATTTCATTTCATTTCATTACATTACATTACATTACATACATACATACATACATACATACATACATACATACATACATACATACATACATATATACATATATATACATACATACATTTTAATATGTTAGTTCCGAAGTTCCAACAAAACCATATATGTTGATATATGTTCTGTGTTGGGCCTTTGTAGGGCTCCTGTTGGGGCATGTTGGGCATCTGTTGCGTCCATGTTGGGTCATGTTGAGACCAAGTTTGGCAACTTAGCCGATTTTAGGTTCCTTTAAAGAATGTGAAAACACACAGGATTCTAGAGCAATAAAGGCCCCCACAGCTAAAGCTTAATAGCTATTGCAATTGCTTCCGGTTAATGCGTGCACACAAAAAAAGCCTCGGCAACTTCGGTGCGGGCGGATTTTTAATCATGTTTGTCATTGTTTGCTGTTAATTGAGGTCATTTTTGTATTTTTTTTCATCGCTGCAATGGCCAGCTTCCAGCTTTGCAGGCAGAAACACTGCGGCGAATCATGCATTGCAGTAAGGTCCCAAGACACCGCACTTTGACCGACCACAATAGAAAGAGTTGACACGTTGACGAGATGGAAAATTTTGGATCCTCGTGGATCCTCCAAATACCTAACATTCCCCACTCATTGTATTCTTGGATGTTCTGGCGCTGTGTGAATCCTGTATGCTCTGCATGCAAAACAAAATAGCATCATGATCCTTGATTTTGGAGCATACAGACATCCCACAGCGTTTTCTGTTTCGATATATTTTTGGGCCATTTGTTGACCTGATAGACACTGTATTAGTTGATTGACTCTTCGCTGATTCAACTAGAATTTCTATGGTAGGGGACCTGCAAGAGACCTCATAGTGAGCGGGGACTTGTCCTCATTTGGCTACACTGTGCGACTCTGGCTTCACATCTGTGGCCACGTCGTGCAGAGTTTCAGAGTGCACTCTCTGTTCCCGTTCATTCTCACTGAGCACCATGACTTCCCAAGGAGTTGGAAAACCCCTGCTTGCGCAGCATCCAGAGACAAGTGTGGCATTGCACCTGCCTTGAAGACAACCTTGCACCATCATGGTGTCGAGTTATCTAGCGGCCTAGCGAATCAAAGCAAGATTAAACCTGCAATCCTTCACCTCATGATTAGCCAGATGCTGCAATGTGGAGAGACAAATGGTCCAGTGTCCAAAATATGCTTGTGAGACGACGAAAAACTGGGGATGTGTCATGAAAGGCGCTGTGTCATGTCCAACCACATGATGTTTGATGAGTTCGACCCTTAGACACTTGCACGATACATCACGATACGCAAGGGTGCTTACAAACACAAGCACCATCCGTTGGTCATATGCCATGAACTGACACGCACACGCACACGCACAGACGCACACACAGGATTGCTCATACTGCTGAGATCAGGTCTCTGGGTTTCGCAGCGGGACCAAAATTTCAAACTTCCACAATGCTGGAAGCCTGGACTGTTGATGCTAGCATCAGCTGGCAAAATATATTCGGGGTGTGGGAAGATATCGCAATCGGGGCATATTGACGCATCCCAAGAATTATGGACCGCCTGCGCTGTCTGCTTTCTATATCCTTCAGTCCTTCAGCAACTTCACGATTTGTTTATGTGCCACTAAGTGGCTCAGGCAACAAGTCGCGCGTTTTCTGGACTGCCAAACTTTCTACCGCGAACCTGAGCTATCGGTGCTCCTTCGTGTGTGAAGCTGAGCCTCTGCTGTTTGATGGAACCTTGTTTTCAGAGGTGTGATAGGTTTGCTACTCCCAGTGTAGTCCATGAAGCCAATCGCTGCATTTGCATTTGTGCCATCAGTGGCATTGAATAGAATTTGATTCATTTTGATTCGATGGAATTCGCAGAGAACATCTGCTCTGCGTACTCTGCGTCTGCACATTTCCGCATTTGCTCTGTCTCCGAGGCACTGCAACATGACCAGCCATTTGGGCGGCGACGCTTCCTGGAGAGCCAGATGCCCAGGAACGGCTTGAACGGCTTGAACGGATTATGTTCTGAGATGACTCTACTGTATTGTTCACGGCTGAAATCTAGTGCAAAGATGAAAAATGGCATGTGATTTAGGATGTATTCGCACAAGGTATACAGTAACATATAATATGACAATGTTACCATGCATATCACAGGTATTTTTCATCCGCGAATGCAAACGTATAACATGACAACACAGCACAACACAAAATATGATTGATATCGCATTCAATTCGCATTCAATCACACAAATTACATCACCTTGCAGCTATGCATTCAAGATCATACAAGTTCCTCTTGGCTCATCATACTCCCAGCAAAGCTATGGTTACAGCAGCGGTCCGTCCTCTTCCCGTGTGAGTTTCCTCTATATAGCATATATATATATATATTGTATATATTGTATATATTATAGCACAGCATCCAATCGCCTGCAGAGCCTCATCACCATCGGCATTTTTTAAAACAGTTTTTCGATGCAAGCAACGCACAAGACTCACAATATGGCCTAATAGGTCGTGCAGATCAGTCTACTTGCCATAGTGTTTGCGCATTTTCAAAATTAGTTAGTATGGATCAAACTTGAGTGCCACAAAGGGATGATTTCCCACTAAGCACGCCAAAGGTCTGTGATCCCCTTGCCCTGTAATTTTGACCCATACCCAGTTAGATGCAAGAGACATGTGACATAGATACATGTTGACGGAAACAGATGGAGACAGAGACGGACAAGGAGATGAAGAACCAAACAATAAAAACCAGACAACTTGGAAGTCGGCCCGCCAGACATATGTACGCCCATACATGTACATACTTGGTACATAGTTCGTAGTAGCAATTTGGAAGAAGTGCATATTGAAAGTTATCAAAGAATCAAAGATGCTTGCTGGGTAACCTTACCCCATGTCAGCAAGATCAGTGAGCGGATTCAAGAACATTTTTCCCAGTTCTATCATCTATTCACAAAATGTCTTTACTCATTTCTTCTTTCTCTCCTGTCATACAGACTCCGTTCCGACACTCTGTCATACTTATCTTAGTATATCTTATCATATCTTGCCTTCATATTCAGACCAATCTCTTGAGGCTTGGGCAGCTGCAGGCGACGAGCCTTGGCCAACTGGCAGGACAAGATGCACCGATATGCACCGTGTTTTCTTCGCATGTCTTTTCCGCACGAAGTGAATTCAGAGAATGCGTGCAATGCAGGAGCAACCCATTTCAGCAGTCTTGCAGAGAAACTGGCTGGAGCCATGCCCACAGCATTGGCTTTCAGGATGCGAGAACGTGCGAGAAACTGTTTGCATTAAAACAGGCAGATCTACTGTAACCAAATCCTGTAATCATTATTATTATTATTGCCGACATTGTTTGCATATGTTTGCAACTATGTTTGCATATTTCCTGCATATGTTTGCATGAGCATTGCCTAGAGCATTTCCTAAAACATTGCCAACATGTTTAAAGAGTTTGCGTGTCAGTGGCGTGTCAGGTTTGACCAAACTCTTTCTCGTTTGCGAGCTGTTCGCCTAAGAGACGCCATTGAGGGGCAAGGCTTGTCTGTCGAGGCGGAGCTGCCACTGGTGCCAGTGGAGTGAAAAAAATCGTGAAGAAATCTGGACGGTGCCAGATTTGCCAGTCCCAGCGATGAAGGATCAAAATTCGTCATTTTGGCATTGACTTCATTCTTTGCCCCCGCATGTGTGTGAAGAGCGTTCAATCTTTAGGTGCAGAATGACTTAGGAAGTCCATAAGTTCAGTCATATCTTCAAGTACGAAGGTGTAGTGCATCGTTTGAGCGTTTGCCTGTCTCACGGCAGGCAGCCTTTCAGAAGTATGACGTGGACAATTCTGGGCTATTAGAGCCAATGGAGTTTTGCCGCGCTTTGCATGCTGCTTGTCTCAGCTAAGTCTTGTTTGTAACGTTTGTTGAGGCAACTTGTCCCATTGTGTTTCTTTGAGTGCCACTTGTTGCCAAGGATCTGGGATTTGCCTTCACAGCAGAAGAAGTGGCAAATTGGGCGACTTTGTAGCACTAATGGGACATGGGACCAAGTCAGAGAAGCGGCATTGGCCAATCACTTTGTCTTTGTTTTCTATGTTGCAAGTGCCAAATGGTCACATATCAACTTGTGATTGTTGTCGGCGGGCTAGGTTGAAGCCATTGACGAGAATGGCGACTACTGCGTGGACAACCAAGAGCCACTCGTTCAATCAGTACATTTGACGAGCAGTGAAGAGCACTACTGTCATCTACTGTACATTTTTCTTGGGCAACAGAAATGAAAATGCTCGCGCCAACGACCCATCAAAGAAGTGCCCCCTTATCTCTGTGTGTCTATAAACAGATAAAATAAAATAAACAATCCAAGCTTTCGGCCCGTGAACTCTTCAGGGATTTTCAGGGCTTGGCCAGAAGAAACGCACAAGTATGCGAACGTTGCTCCTTATGAACTGCTGCAAGCATTTGCAAACACAAAAGGATGACTGAAAATGACTGAAATGGCGTTTGTTTTGCGTTTGCCGGGGAATGATCATGCGACGATTCTGTGCAGCATTCGCCATTTGTATGCGTTATGTTGCTGAAGTTGAACGCGTCTTTGTCCCACAGGTTCTTGGCCTTTGTGAAAACCCAAGTGAATAACTTGCTGACCAGTGGAATCTCAGGCAAGGGATGAGTTTCAACGACTTCGATGTATTCCAGTACGCTTCAATGTCAATATAAGATAATATAAGTATTTTCATGTATTTGCAAATATATATGTATATAATTGTATATATATATATGTTCAATAGCTTTTAAACTTTTTAAACGCAGGCAGGTAGGACATGTTTAAAGGTCAATAGCCTTTGGCCTCGTCTTGCCGTGAGGCCACAGCTCCCTACCAGAGTCCATTGGACCTGCCAAAAAACCGCGTCAACCACAACCGGTGCAAGACATTTCCAGCCAAAAGCCACTCGTCTAATCTTGGAAGTCCTGACTCCACTTGCAGAAGAAACATCTTGTTGACTCCACTTGCACTTCAATACACCAGAATGGCATACAATTCTCAATGCCATTGGACATCTATGAACGAAATTGAAAGGCTACAAAAAGGGCACAGCCAAATTACATTTCCCGCAGAGTTTTTTTGCTTTTGTGCGAAATGGTTTACAATGTACCATCCAAGGAAGCTGCTGCTTGAGCCTCAGACAGACAAGCTCATTGGTTGGACTCAATTGGACATGGTTTTGTTAAGTGGCTTCAAGCAAGCGGCTCCAAGCGTACCCCAGGAAGAGACAAACTAGTGATGTCGTCACCGCTGCAGAGGCGAAAGATGGTTTTGGCGGTGGCCACTTTGGAGTTCTAGTGATTCTAGTGGTAGAAATTCTGAGATGTCTGAGATCCCGTAGGTGGAGCAGGAAGTGCACTTGCGAAAAGCCCAGCAAAGAAAGGCGTCCTTTGTCACTTTGGAATCCTTTTGCCGCTTGGATCCGCTTGGTATTCTCCGGACTGCTTTTTGGACTCTTATAGATGGATGAGATGTTTTTCTCCTTCAAAGATTTCAAAGCTGCATCTTTCTTGTTTTCATCCTTGGAAGTGCATCGTTGAAGAGGCAGAAGCCGATGAAGAGCGCCTTAAGGCTGAGGAAGAGGAAGGGATAGAGGCGACGTTTGCAGACTCCCACTTTGATCGCAGATCCAGCAGCCATCAGCAACCGCCAGATTTTGCCAGTGTCAATTCCGTGTTGCCAGGTTCTCATTGAGGAAGAGCTTGGCCAAAACCCTGAAAGTGGTGAAGGATGGACAGAATACAACTTTCAGGCAGCCATGTGCATGCATGATCGAATGAGCCATAGTTGTTTGAACAAGCTGGAAGACATGGATACTGAGCAGGCCGCTCGTTTGCCCAAAGAGACCTACGCACTTGGCATCGTTGAGCTGGATTTCTCCTCAGATACTGTATGTTCCATTTCAATTCACATCAAAGTCCTGGATAACTTTTGATATTCTCAAACCTTATCTCATGCGATTCTCATGTGTGACTGAATTGGAGACAATGTCCAGACACTGGTGACACTTTGAGGTACCAGAACTGTACGGCTCCGCTGGGAAGAGCTTCTGCCTGCTTGAACCTGGAGCAGGCCCCATTGTGCAACCGGCACAACACGTTGGATGACACACAGTTGACAAAATCTGAGAGAACTCGTTGGAACTTTCTCTTTGCAGGTCTGGTGGTTGGCACCTCAGAGCGTTTGGATTGCCCTGGTGGCGTCCAATTGCTGCAGCTTCCAGAGCCTTTGTGGGATTCTTTGCCGACATTAAGATTCAGTAGTGAGGTGAAAGAGCTGCAATTGCGCGGCACTGCTGGAGGGCGGTTGAACTGCTTCTCCTTGACTTTGCATCAACCTCAATTCCTCATGTGGAAGTTTCCTCCACATGCTCCGCATGCTGCATTCTGATTGATTTGCAACAAATGATGCAGCTGGGAGCATCACGAAGTGCACCAACCAATCGATGCATGGACTTGAAGTGCCAGTTTGCATCTCTAAATATCTCTAAATCATCAGGTGGTTCAGAGTGCCCAACTTGCCTTTGAAAGCTGACCGCTTGATCTTTCTGGACTTCCCCAGGTGCAACGAGCTGGCATGTACCATAAAAGATCACAAAAGTAGACTTGTCAAGTTCGTCTCAGCATTCTGCCACAAGCGCCCTTGTTGGCCGGAGGCAGAGCAACGACCCCCAGCAGTTCGACACACCAGAAGAGGACAGCTTCAGCCTAGCTTCCAGTGTTTCCCAATATTTTCAACGTTATTCAAGACATTTTTTAATTTGTTCAACATGGTTAAATCATTTTTTACGAAAGGTAGCCTCCTAGCGGGCTACCTTGAGTTGTACTTTGCGAAGCAAAGGGGCGGGCTGGACCCCTTATCCTTGAACGACCAGGAGAAAGGGACCCCCCCCCCTCCCCCCCCCTCAAAGGGAACTCTCGCCATATGCCTGGTGAGTCTCTTCACGCAGCAGCCCCTTCGCAGTGTCTCGTCATCATCACCATCGTCATCATCATCCTCATCATCACCATCATCATCCTCCTCATCACCATCATCATTCGACTTGAAATTCGGATTTTTCGACATCCATTTTCCAAGTACCCAACGGTGCGATGAAAGTGACAGGTTCGAGCATCCATAGGTACCGCAAAAAGAGACATTGGAGTTTGTGCTAACACTGATCGTGTTTTTTTCCCCGCACGATGCGTGTGTCTGACAATGTATACCTCCAAATGGCTATTTAAATGGACTAAGTGATGAGCAACCATGGACATCGTGGGGTGCTCTCTTTTCGGATCCAGATATCTCCGCCCTGCTCTGAATGTCCAGTTCCATGCCCCCCCCCAAGTGAACTCTCGTCACATGCCTTGTGCATCTCTTCACGCAGCAGCCCCTTCGCAGTGTCTCATCATCAGCATCATCAGCATCATCGTCATCATCCTCATCATGATCATCATCGTCATCATCATCATCATCATCATTCAACTTGAAATTCGGATTTTTCGACATCCATTTTCCAAGTACCCAACGGTGCGATGAAAGTGACAGGTTCGAGCATCCATAGGTACCGCAAAAAGAGACATTGGAGTTTGTGCTAACACTGATCGTGTTTTTTTCCCCGCACGATGCGTGTGTCTGACAATGTATACCTCCAAATGGCTATTTAAATGGACTAAGTGATGAGCAACCATGGACATCGTGGGGTGCTCTCTTTTCGGATCCAGATATCTCCGCCCTGCTCTGACTGTCCAGTTCCATGCCCCCCCCCCAAGTGAACTCTCGTCACATGCCTTGTGCGTCTCTTCACGCAGCAGCCCCCCCGCAGTGTCTCATCATCAGCATCATCGTCATCATCATCCTCATCATCATCATCATCATTCGACTTGCGATTCGGATTTTTCGACAACGTCGGCGCTTCTCCATGCTTCGGTTGGACAGAAATTTTCCCTTCGTTCTGTCAAAGCGGTGATTTGCTAGCGCATGACGTCCATATTGACAAGCCTAAGGCTTGGTGTCAGCAGAAAAAGGCCCGGTCGCATGTCGGCTTTCGCACTGAGTGATCCCCCGCGTCCCCTGTGACACAACTACCTTTCGTGTCACCCCTTCTCAAGTCAACATGTTTAAATCATTTTACATATGCATTCTTCAACATCTTTCACCATTTGTCAACCTTTTTTTCTAAAGATGGAACAGGCAAGAGTAGTTGACCCCTGTGAATCAGGAGCAGAACACTGGCAAAATCTTCATCTGGAAGAATGGCATAGTTGCCCCGGAAGGCTCGGAAGTTAGCCGGCAATGAAGTTTGCTTGTGTTTGCTTCATGTTGCTTCACTTTTTCACCGTTTGTGCCGAGGATGCCATGAGCCGCGGATCCTGTCCAAGAAAAAGCGCCGAAATCAGGTACGAAAGACTGGAAAGACTCAGCGCAAAATTGATGAAAATTGATGCAGTTCGAGCTGTGCAAGTTTGAGATTTCTATCACACATTTTCAGCATGTGGATCATGTGGTTTTCGAGGCTTCTCGGGGTACCCCGGCAGCACTGGCCACTGGAGAGTGGCAACTTCGCTTTGTGATACAGGTGCCAAGCTTTCAATACTTCACATCTTCGCACGTTGCATTTTGCATTATGTGGTACGTCAGATGGTACGTCACATGATCCTCCACGTGGTACATCACATGGTATGGTATGTCACACGTACGTCATGGCGTCACATGGTAAGTAACATGGCACCTCACCTTGTAAGTCACATGGTATGTCACATCATATCACGTCACATCCCATCACACAGGATGCACACAAACAGACGCAACTCAAGTGACTATAGTGGACCATCAGATTGCATAGCACTGCATTGCATTCGGCTGCAGCACATCATCAGCTATGCACATGTTTATGCCTACGGCTGGAAAACCGTACGTGCGTTTTGCTTCTTTTTTGAGTATTGCTCTTTGTCTTGGGGTTGGGGTGGGGTGGGGTGGGGGGGCATGTTAACGTTCCTTGTACTTCGTACATGATATATTGCCATGTTGCTAAGATCTCTGGGATCGCTTACTACGTGACATGTTGCTACGCTGCTGAGATCTCTAGTGTGGGTTGGGGTTGGGGTGGGGTGGGGTGGGGTGGGGGGGCATGCTAACGTTCCTTGTACTTCGTACATGATATATTGCCATGTTGCTAAGATCTCTGGGATCGCTTACTACGTGACATGTTGCTACGCTGCTGAGATCTCTGGTGTGGGTTGGGGTTGGGGTTGGGTGGGGTGGGGGGGCATGCTAACGTCCCTTGTACTTCGTACATGATATACTGCCATGTTGCTAAGATCTCTGGGATCGCTTACTACGTGACATGTTGCTACGCTGCTGAGATGTCATGCTATACCTGCGTTGCTGGCAGTGGCGTTATGAGTGCCATAATGGCAACTTGCTGTCGAAGACAGCTTCCACACTGATGGATCGCTGAGCCGACGAAGAGTGTTAAAAAAAATCTGAGCATCCACGTCTGATGCACATGATGTTTACCTGGATTTGTCAAAAATCAATAGATTTTGCATCCACTTTTTTTAACCAAAATTCAGTTATCCAAAGAGTTCGGAAGAGCATTTTATATTGTAAATTACAGGTGATTGTGACTCTCCTGGAAGCAAACAATCAAAACGCTCGCGCGGTTTCCCATCCGCCGGGATGTTTATGGGATGTTTATCAACCTGCTAACACGACCACCTGTTTAATCCTGCTTACCATTCCTATTTTGACCCAACTCTGCCGGGAGAGGCTCATGGAAAAGTTCCAGCTGGCCTTCCGCGGCAAGTTTCTGTGGAGTGCTCGTTTGGCTTTCTAGAGTTTTTTTGAGTCAGGTCTTTGATCTATTCTCTCTTCGGTTTTGGTTGGATTGAAGAATATTTGTTAGGTTGACACGGTTTTAGCATCTTGTACTTGTAGCATATCATAGCATCCTTCCACCATCTTTCATACCCTTTCATCTTTCGCATGTTTTCTGAGGCTGATGCTGAAGCACCTCCAGATTCAGATGGCCAAGTAGGTGACAGTCCAGCAAACGCAATAGGTGACAGTCCGGCAACGGCACAGGGTGCAGCTGCCAATGCGAACAGCTCAGTGCTGAAGACAATGCAGACCTTGCAGACCATGTCGGTGTAATTTGACAGCTTTAGCTGAAGCTTCTCCACAGATCGCTCCACAGAGTGTTTGCTTTTGCTATTGAATTTGCTACCGTGTCCACTGAGGCTGCTCGTGCTCTTTCTGCGGAATCATCCCAAGGCTTGTGAATTGCAAGCTATGGATTAAGGGAAGCATTCATCAGCTTCCAATAGCTTACACGTGACACACTGTGGTGGGTACTGCTTCGAGGAAAGGTGAACTACACTGTTCAAATCACCTGTGACGCGAACAGTGGGGCTCGGGACTTGAGTTGGACCTGAAAGTCTCTGATACAGGAACAGAATCAACTGGATCAAGGAAGCAGCAAGTCAATTAGTTCTGTACATGTTTGCCAATCTTCAAGCAAAAATCATGGAGAAACCGAGTGCAGACCTCACACCGAAACCTAAAGAAAGTGGAATACATCTTAGAACATCTTAGAACGTGTTAGCGCCATATGTATATATACATAATATATATATAATATATATATAATATATATAATATATATATATACATAATATATATATATGTATATATATATACATAATATATATGTATATATATATACACATAATATATATATATACATAAAATATATGTTATATATACACACAAGTCACCACACACACATACATATATAAACATATATACATATATACATATACATATCATATCATATCATATATTACATTACATTATATTATATTATATTGTATTATATTTTATTATATTATATTATTATATTAATATTATATTATATAGTAATAATATAACATAATATAATATAATATGATATGATGTTTTATTGTATTATATTTTGTTATGTTATGTTATATTTTGTTATATTATATGTATATTACACATATATTTTATGTATATTACATGTATATTACATGTATATTATATGTATTTTTTAAATGTATTTTATATGTATTTTATATGTATATTGTATGTATATTATATGTATATTTTATGTATCTTATATGTTTATTATATGTATATTATATGTATTTTTTAAATGTATTTTATATGTATATTATATGTATATAAATGGGATCCCCATATATATGTATATATAACGTATAAATATACATATAATATTATATAGTTTGGGGATCCCCATATAATATATATATACACATAATATTATCTGTATATAACGTATAAATTCCAAACACACACACATATATATATTTATGAAACTGAAGACATGTGCAACAAGGCTCTACGGGTTCGCCCTGCACGAGGGAATCGCCTGGCTAATGGAGGATCAGGCACACAGACGGAGCACTAGCGCAATCGCCTTTCTGTGACAATCATGCTGTTGTGTTGTCGATGTTTGTCGATGTTTATCCATGTTTGTCGATGCTTGTCGCATGTATTAAGGGGAAGAGATTTTCACAGTGATTGCACGTGCGCTCCTTACCACTGTCATCTTCTACTGCCATCCTCTACTGCCATTCTGCCTTTCATGTGCAATCATCTGCTTGAGCCCAATCTGAAGTTTCCCAGGTCTCACGGAAGAACGTCGTCGCTTGATCAAGGATGAACTGTTCGGAAGAGAAGGTCAGGGATGTCAGGGCTCAGGACAAAAATGTAGAGCTAACTGATGAAGGAATGATGAAGGGCCGAAGGGCACGTTGGAATCTGCCGTGCGTTCAGGTGATACCGACTTCATCTCGAAAAGACTGTGGAAAAAGTACATCAAGTCCTTGGTAGGGACCTCAAATTTTGTCAAGAATTTTGCCAGCCTCGATTTGCAAAAGGGACATATATTTTTGTTCTTACTATGAATCATAAATTATCCATCCGTGCATATATTTGGAACAAAGGGTGCAAGCAAGATCGAGTAAGATGCCTTTGTAATCCTTGTAGGTCATTGTATTTTTTTTCAATTTTTCCAAAATAGCAGTTATTCGAATTTGCCCTGAGCAAGGTCAGTGGCCTGGGCAGGTCATTTGAATCCTTGGGATTTCCTGGTGGCAAGCGTCAGTTCAAGGCTCCCCTTCACCTTACTGAGTTTTGCTCCAATCATATGCAACCTCTGACGCTATCTCAAGCTTCTTCCTTTTCCCACCCACAGTTGTCCTTTGTGCAAGCTGTTCAGATTTGTTCAGATTTGTTCAGATTTGTTCAGCATGTTCAGCTTTTCTCTGGCTTCTGCTTTCAGAGGCCACAATGACCCGCAAACTCCGGGAAACTGGAGATGAAGCGATAGCAACTTGGCCAGAAAGAGAACCCCAAATTGAATCAAATCGAAACCTCTGTCACAAGCGGAACAGAGGGATTATCTCAGTTGTCTTCTGTAGATGGAAACTTGATTTTACATGATTTTACCGTTTTACATCGTTTTACCATGTGTAAAATCTGCAGACAAGGCAACTCTCAAAAAAGAGTTCTGCCCAGGTTGCAGTCAGGCAGACAGAAGATGCTGCAGCTGCGATAGCTGATCAGCTTCGAGCCACTGGTGTCCACGGCTTAAGCCACGGCTTAAGGCTGCTTCACAATGGCAACGTTTTTTTGTTTGATGATTTTGATGCCCCGTAGAAAAACTTGGGCCATCTTGGGCCATTGGGAGAAGAGCACAGTTCTGTGACTTGAGAACTGACGTGGTACAGTATGCTGACATGGTACTCTGACATCTGAGGCATTGGCACAAGAACCCGAAGCAATGGAAGACAGGACATTCTCCGGTGTGCTAGGAACTCAGGGAGGGCAGATTGAATATGATGGAGCACTTTTTGCTGCTGAGTTTGAATGTATTGAATACAACACATGCAAAATGAATACTAAAGAGGTCTCCAAGCCTACATACATTACACATAACTGGCAGATATCCATTCAGTAGACAATGTCAAAAACTCTTCGCATTCTCCACTAATTCTTTGATCTCAAACTCGTCTCGAACTCCGAGTAGTGCGTTGCTCACGCGTTGCTCACGCACTCACTCTCTCACCCACTCGCTCACTCCTTCACTCATTCCAGCATATTCCAGCTGTTGCTCATGCTTCGAGCATCTTTGAGCTGTCGCTCAGATCTCAGGCCGAAGCTCTTCGACTTTGTGACGCTCAGCCCCGATGCGCAGGACTCCTGGGGGCCGCTGCGAAACGGAGTGAAGACCTCAGATGACACATGTTAAATAATGTTAAATACATGTTTACCATCGTTTACCTCTTAATTGTTATTTTGTGATATTTTGTGCTGTGCCATTTTGCCAGCAAATGTCTTGTTTGTCATTGTTTTGATGTCTTGTCTTTTCATTCTGCAGAGTTGTGGTACCCTTTCTTACCTTGCATTCACGCTTTGCATTGTAATGTAAGGATCTGTGTGTATACATGTATCAAGTTTCCAGCAAATGCCAGCAAATGCTGAGCAAGGTTCAGGTGTTCTGCGGGCTCATCCCCATGACAATTGACGAACGTCCAACAAAATGACAACAATTGTCAAGAGTGGTCACTGTCACTGACACATACTGACACTATTGTTCGATATTTCTATATTGGACCCCAAGAAGATGCTTCCAATACACCAAATACACCGGCTTGGCCTTCTTCCTTTTGGGACACTAGCATCAGTACACTTCAACTGATTTCCTTGGGTCTTGCACTCTCCATCTTAGATATTATTGTGGTGATTTGTGGTGCCTGTATCACCTTGAATCTTCGTATTTTGTCTCATTATGCCCTTCGTTCTTTTAAAGTACATTTGCTTCTCTGCTTCTCGGATTCATGGGTATGAAATGACCTTGCAAGTGACTTGGTCTGATTGCTACAGTACACTGTTTCCAATGTAGTTAATCATTTTCATGCGCAGTTTCGAGAGAGTTTGTGTTCGCATGTGCACTCTTGCTATGACCACAATGGGGAAGTCTCAGGCGACTGGCGAAATTGGCACGATCGACAACTATGGTGATCGCCTCATGAACTTTGGATCTCTGAACATGACTTGTTTGAAGCTCCGCTCCGTCGCTCCGTTGAACTTTGAACCAACGGTAAGGCGAAGCCTTGGTGTACATCCCAAGTCGAAACGAGGCTGGCAAATAAAAGTTCAAACTGGCAATAATAATCACGCACACCTGGCTGGATGATATGTTCTTTTCGCAATCTTGGCAGGTTCAGAACGTTCACTGGTATAGTTTTCGAGATATTATTTTGGCAACGAAGGGTGGCAAAGAGGCGGGGCGTGACCATAGTTGCTTGTTGCCCAACTCAAATCTTCAAAGACTGCGTTCCGAGAATTCAACTGCATGACCTGCATGACTGTGCTTGCTTTGACCGTTTGGAGGTGGCTACAATGACGACGGAGGCATGCAGTCTACACACACAGAGAGATTCCACTGCCGGCATGCATGTTGCATAAAGCGCTTCATGATTTATGGGAATTGATTCGGAATTCATACATGTCCATGAATATTCATGATATCTTATGTTGTGTCCCTGGAGTGTAGGAATGGCAGCAAATGCCCTCTGTCCGTGAGATCCTCAGCAGTTTGGGTTTGTGTTTCACAGCGTTTCTTCGATTCCAGTGCCAGTCAGGTGCAAACTACGTTGCCCTGGAGCCGTGAGCTGCTGAGGATTTTCCACCCATTGGAGTTTTCCTTTGGTCTTTGTTCCCACTCAAAACGGATTGGAATTACAAGGCGTCTTTAGCTCTCCGACAAATCCATTTACTCTCCATGATTTCAACGTAGTACAAACAACTTCTGCTATTTATCATAGAAGTGTATGCGAAGCTTGTGACCTTTGCAGTGAGCACAACCTAAAGAAATTCGGTACAGCTATGGCATCCAAGCTCTTCTCTTTCGATTTCATTTGTATTAGTATCATATTAAATTCATATATAGTATTAAAATATTGTATTGAAATCGACACCTTGTACCGTCTTATGCCCATCCAGTCTATGTGCACACAATTGATATTGACATTTTGTGAAACTGAGATGCAGCGCCGGGCGTCAGTCTCCATCAGCCTCTATCAGTCTCCTTCGTTCGGCTTAGTTCAGCTTCGGCACGCCAAGTTGGGTTCAGGCCTGGGCCACCTCCGAGTCCGATTCGGCCAGGGAATCAGTGGGCTGCTCGAGGTCGCAGGAGGCTCAGGATGGAGACACTGTGTCCAGAGACGTCGAGAGGATGTTGGAGGTTAAGTTACCAAGACAGACAGAGGCTAGCAGAGGTTGATAGAGGTCGAATTTGCTCAATGACATAATATTAAAACAGAATCTGTGAGAAACGTGCTGCTTTCTGCAGCTGCAGCGTGGAAGAGCCAAGGCCTCGATGCTCGCAACTTGCAGCTGGATTTGGAGGGTGAAGGCTCCTACACGCAGTTCTGTGCTGAACAATGTACTCAGATAAAAACAAAGAGGCGGTGCCTTTGTTTTAGCACAAATACTCGCCCATGCAAGTTTGTAGTTTTTACAACGCCAACGCATAGTCGCGTTACCATCTAAAAGATGTAAAAGCAGTAGAATGAGGCAATTTGCGAATTCGAAGAGTTTTTTGCGCACAGAACGAATGTTGTCCCTTCAAAAAATCCCAAAACATCCCAAACATGACAAGTTATCTCGCATAGTGACACACCGTGTTGCACAATCTTGTCAATCCAAGCGACAGGCGGGCGGTCTGTTGCCTATGCAGATGCGAGCCTCGTGATTGAGGAGGGCCAGGCAAGAGATCGAAATCGATCCACGCCCATTCCGTCCCCCATTGTTCAAACTTATTCCGGAGAGCAACGGCCATGTGGCAATCTTGTTGTATTTTTTCATGATGTATCCAACTCTGAATCCAGCCTTCATCGATCAAGATGTATCAACCTCGTTCAACTCTCAAATCTTTGGCAGGTGCCAGAACTCCAAGGCACGTGGCGAGCGGAAGATGGATCCCATGGCACATTCGAAGGACTGAAGGCCTGACCGCTTGGAGTTAAGAGGTGTTGCCTGCTCTGCTCGGCCAACAGTTTCACAGGGTTTTCACGGGATTTTGTAAATGTCGCGAAGCAAGGAGGCCAATGGTGACCAGTGAAGAAGTTCCAGTCATGACTGAACTTGTTCTGGCCGACATTCTATCACGTTCGTCCTCTTTTGTTTTGGTGATTGCTTCTCTCTTTCTGTTTGCATGGATAAATGGGGGACTACAGCACGGCGAGCGTTAAGAGCCACTCTTACTAGATCCCCCAAATATGTGCACTGCATTTGCATGATTGCAAGGTGCTTCTCAAATGAACCAGATCTGTTTGGTTCCTGCTGGCCAAATACCTGTTTGGATGGAGCAAGCCCACATCCATACTTCGATGGCCCAATTTAGCAAATTGTTCTGGTGAGATAATTAGAGATATTAGAGGCTGCAAAGACATAAAAAGACCATGTCATTTTGCAGGGGCGTTTGAGAGCGTATGTATGTCTACGTGTGTGTTTGCGTTGAAAATGTGGGGGTTGGGCGCAAGTTTCTTGAGCCAGGTCTGTCGCGACTCACGCATGGGTGGAGTATGGCGATTTGAGATCCAGGCAGAAGGAACAGCGCCTCAAAAAGGAAGATCGCCTCGGAGCAGTGAGAGTGACATGGATAGACCAGGATCAATCCATGATCATATTTCTTAGATTTTCTTAGTACATGTATACAACATGGACACAAAAGTCATCATGGGCTCTGGAGAGAACCTGTTCTGAAATTGTGCAGGCTGGAGGAGACCCAATTGAGCATGCATGGAATGCCTGGCTCACTGCTCATCCAGTCTGGCTCCCAAAGACTCCCGACAGTCCTCTTCGTACTTCCAGCACAATGCTACTTGTACCAGATAATCTTGCTACGTAGGAGATGCGTCAATTCCTTTTTGAGATCATTGTGGAAAGTTCAGAAGCAATATGAAGCAATCTTTATTTTTTTTGGTATTCTTTTCCCAATCCGTTTCAGGCTGACTGCGAGGGTGATGCTCGAGCATCTCATTTGTTGAGAATCACCGGAGCTGCATTGGCCCGGTCCTGAAATATGGCTTGCCTCTACTCCAGCATCATGTCTGAGCGACTTGTTAGTCTGCACTTTCATGAGACATTTTGATTCTTTGGCGATTATGACGATTCTGGAATCACTTTCTAGAGCTGGTACTTGCTCTATTCCCAGGATGCCGCTTGATTTGCTTGACTGGGATTCATCTTGAGATGAGCCGTGATATGAGGCTGGCCCTTTCATGAGCGAGAAAGAAACTGTGAGATGCTTGAGCAGCGTTTCGGTGATGTGCTTGTGCTTGCAACAGCTTCTAAGGCTTGAATGCAGATTGAATTGAAGTGCCCATGAATCTTGCTTGCTTCCTCCAAGTTCTCTAAGGTAGAGTGCCATCCAACAATCATGGGAGAGTTCAATTCGCTGACGAGGCACATTTATGTAGCACGAGCATGTCTTGTCCACAAGCCAGGAAAATGTGCAACAAAGTGAAGCTTGTTGTACTTGTGTTGTACTTGTGTTCTGGTTGAAAGGGCAGTTTTCGATGCCAGTTCCAAGATGTTCCAAGCATTCGAACTGCAGTTTTGAATTCAGAACTAATCGTACGGCCTGACCGGCAGCATCCGGCAGCCTAGGTCTCTTCATGTCGAAATGTCCACCGAAGGCTACGCGTACTACCGTACAAAGATGTACAAAGCGTAGATGCAAAAATGAACATATTTGGCACATTTTGGCACGAGAGGTTTCGACGGCTAAATGCTGCGCTCAGTAAATGCTTTGAACCCACTGACTTGTGTTCCTGTTGATCAACCCCTGGATGCACAGGTGAGAAATGGGACGGCATGATCTTCGATGCGGAACTAGGCCAGACATCAGTGGAAGATGAAGATGTGACATGATGTGACACATTGCACATCATTGCACATTCAGTGATGATGATATTAAGATCATCCTTTGTTTGAAAAGGAACTGATGGTGCACTTCGTGGGACCTGGCAGAAAGGAGAACAGCTCCTGCCTCAGTGTTTTGTATACCTTCAGGGTATTCCGTCTCAAGAGATTCTACCATTATTCTACCACATGTACTTTTAACTTGTGGATTCTGTGTTTGGATGTCCCTGCCTATTTGAGATAGGTCCGGACGTTGGATTGCACGACACATCGGGAAGAAGAACACTCAAAGCTGCTTCAAGACCCTGGCTTGGATAACAGCAGATGGTACTGTAACAGCCCCTCATCACACCACACATAAGGAACCCAGATGCGAGATCTTCATTGTCAGTTGGAAGGAAGTCTGATGTGCTCATGCAGCAAGGCCTCAAGTTGATGAAGGTGGCAAGTGGGACGCGAAGGCATGTGTCGTCGGAAGCCTGGAAAAGATTGGAACGGTCATGGTGCTGGAGCATTTCAAAGTGCCGTACAGCAACAGCACAATCTTCAGTCAGTTGTATGATGACTTATGATGTTGTATGATGTTGTATGCGTGTTTCTCAGAAACATTCAGAAACGATCCAAATTTGGATGTTTGCACTGGTACAAGACTATGCAAGCATCAGGTCAAGACAAACCTCCAGATGCCAAGTCCTGATTTGTGATACCGCGACAGCAATGGTACAACACTTGTGCAAAGATGTGCAAAGAACTCTTCAGCTTGGATTTGGTTGCAAAGATTTGCAAAGTGTGTTGACATAAGTTGAAGCTGACTCCTACAATCTCCTACATCTGCATTCACCTGAGGATTTCCACCAGACCACAACCTGGGGACAAAGTCAAGCTTTCCAAGGCACTTTGTCGTTGTGGAGCTATAGATTCATACGGAGTCTACAGTACCATTTCCAGGTACTCCTGGATCTAGTGAATCTACTGACATGTGACCCGAGCCGCATCGCACAAGGGGGTACATGGTAACACCATGGTAACACCATGGTAACACTGGTAAGTGAAATCGCTACCTGCAGAGGCTTACAAGCAATTTGATGGCGAAGATGGATGCTTGAAGCCAGGCAAGGCAGGTTGACATTTATGACCTCAAAGAACTACACCCAAAGTCATGGTTTTTGTGGAAACACACACTCCTAAATTCAGATTGTTGGAATATTGTAAGTTGGTGATGAAAGTCTACAAGTCATCGTATTTTGGGAAACATTTACATAGCCTTTTTTCATCTTTTTTCAACATTTGATCCCTTTTGCATTTGATGCCCACATACACGCGCGCACACACACACACAATGGATCATAGAATCATAGTTGTCTACACCTGAATAAGCCGGTTGGTTCATTCAGGTGTGTCATGTGCTTGAAGCTTGCATAATTTCGGGTCTCATATTCGCACACAGCCAACGCGAACATGCCTTTATATGCCTTTATCATTATATCAGAAACAGATAGCCCGCGCTTTAGAGATGTTCAAGGTTTAGGAAGTTTAGGATAGCAAGGCTCTGCACTTCCGGTATCTCCAGCATTCTCCAGCATTCTCCAGCATTCTCCAGCTCAAGTAGAGGTCCAGGTTCTAAAACTGCTACTGGCACAGGACATCGATCCTGCCAGGACATGAAAAGGAACTTTGGTCCCCAAATCAGAAACAAGTGTGAAATTTGTTTGGTACAGTGAGCAGAATTGTGCAAAGGAGCCTCCTGCAAAGGAGCCTCCATGCACTAGCCATAGACTAGTCTTAAGTAACCGATTTCATGCTCCTTTCATACAGTTCGCATCAGTTCGCTGCCAGCGCCAAGTTCGCTGCCAACGCCATAACTCTTGGCCAGGTCAGATTGGTACACTTGTGGAAGACGACCGCTTGGGGCTTATGCTGTGAACGCATAGTGAGGGACTGTCAAAAGTCGTCTGGATCGAAGCAGTCAGCACAAGCAAGGGACCGCAGCCCGCCGAAACGTGCAACACATGGCCAGGTAGGATCACGCAGGCCCACGCATACACATTCACGCAGCGATAATTTCACCAAGAGAATCACCGCATCGCCAGTGAAATTCATAAATAATGCACATGCCGTTTCCACGGGCGTTTCTACTTCAAATAGTGCGCGAGAGCAAGCAGATGCTGAGACTGAGAGGCTCTGACAGATGATGTGCCAGAGGACATTCCGAAATCGGACGCCCCCGCCAAGGCACCTCATGTCCTTTCCTTGTTGAAGGGCCCAATGGAATGTCCCACTGGTACAACGATGGAGCTCTTGTGGCTGGAAACTCAATGTGTATCTGACATCTTCTGACGGATGCCATGTGACACTGAAATGTAGTGTTGGGAATGCACAAGCAACCAAGATCTGTGTCAATGTCCATTGCATCGCACTAACATGTTTTTTTTACCTTTCCCAGGTGGTGAACAAAGAAGACAAAGAGCTCTTGACTCCACTTGGAGACATGCAGCAAGCTTGGAGAAAGCATGCAGAGCAGATGTGTAATAGCTGTTGCTTGCCCTTTTTTGGGTGGCAACCAAAGCAGAAATCGTATTCTGCGAAACATATGCATTTTTCATCATTTTCTTCGTGCATTATTCTGCTGCAGATTCGTTGATCGGAGGTTTGAAGGTGTTGCTTTGCTTCGTTTCCCAGTTCGCCCAGCTCTGAGACCGACCAATACAGTAAAAAGAGGCCCTCTTTCAGGTTGGCCGCCCATTTAGAGTAACTTGAGATACTTTGAGCAGAATTCAACTTTTGGAGCTCAGGTGAAGGGCTTTGGTATGCAGAGTTGGAGGTGAGCAAACTTGGCAAGTGGCAGTCTGAGTGTGACAGACGTTTGATCCACATCGACCGCTTCCCGAAGCGGGATTCTGTCAAAGCATCCCGGAAGTCGTTGAGCCTTTGCGGCTACCTTGATTTTTTTCTGCTGTTTTTGATTGGACTTGTCAACGGAATCCAAGCAGATGATTCAGTGATACTGTACTACTGCTGTCTGTCTGTATCCAATGCCAACTTCGTGAAAGACCGCACTGCTTGTGAAGCCTTCCTCCTCATTGCTTGTCCCTCCACAGTTGTTGCAAACATTTCTTGCAGTAAGGTCTCAGCCTTGCGTTGGATGGGGGTTGCAGTGCCATTGCCGCACGGAGATTCTCACATTTTTAGGTTCTAACTCGTTACATGTGTGGTTTGAGTTCCTCTCATACTTCGCAGCATCCGGCGTTGCAAATCTTAAGACTTGACTAACATCGGTTGGCTTGAAATTTTCAATGTATGTCCCTTACAGCCACCATCAGCCACTGTATTCAGGAAGAAAGGTTCTCCGAAAATCATTCGTATAATGGCCATCGGTGGTAAAAGCGCTGCTTCTTGGCGGCGTTTTGTTTTGTCAGCGTTTGCTCGGTGCACTGCAACTCTGTTGCACTTTTGATTCTCCAAATTTGTATGAGCTCAATGAGCTCCTGTTTCGTTGCAAGCACATGTAAGCTGAGGTTAAGCTGGACATGGGCTGCTCGGATTCAACAGATACACATATGAAATCATTTGAAATTTGAATTACTGTATTAAATGTATAATATAAATAAATAAATGAATAAATAAATAAAATTGAATAAATAAATAATAAATAATTAAATAAATAATAAATAAATAGATACATGCAGTAAATAAATAAATAAATTCTATTAAATAAATATTATATATATATGTATATATATATATGTATATATGTAATATATGCACATTATATTATATCTGGTCGTGCACATATATCCGTGTGTAAATGTATATATATATATATACTGCAGTCCCTACTGACATGGCACATTCAGTTGGAGGATGCTTTATGCACCCGTGGGGTTTTGGGTTCAAGCTGGTTGTGACCCCCCTCATCCTGTGGGACCGAGTGGGGGGGGTTTGGCCTCCTGTGGGAGAGAGCACACCTCCTGAGGGAGGGTAGTTTGAATGGCCGGTCCCTGGGTGTTTCCAAAGGACAATCAAGCATCCAGGAGCTCGAGCTTCAGAAGGGACAGCTCTCGGAATGTCAGCTGTATAAGGGAGACCTGATGAAGCGGCGCTGGCGGTTGATCCACCTGAGGGTGCGAATGTTGAACAAAGGTTGAAGGACCTACGCCGTGAAGTAGGAAAAGAGAAAGGTGAGAAGAAACACAAGCAGAAAGGAACGGGCTCTGAGAAGGAAAAGCCCGCCAAGAAGAAGAGGAGCCCTGCCGCGGCAGAGAAGCCACCTGTGGTTTGGGAGAGAAAAGCAGGCCGAGCAGCACGATGGCTCGGGCTCTTCTGCTAGTCTTCACGGCCTGTTATTCCAGCTGCTGTTTTGGTGGTTGGCGTGCCAAGTGGACGTGCTTGATCACCAATGATGAAGGGATTTACAGGGCGGTCCATCGGCCACACTGTCCTGGTCACTCATGGCTGAAGCCCTACGTGAGGGGCTGCGGTTTGACACTGAGGATGAAGCAGAATACCCGTGGGAGTTCTGCACCACCTACGCATTGCGCGTGGCCATGGGCCGAAGGACACCCCGGCCTGTGGGCTTGGTTGAGCGAGACCACCTTCTATTCGGCAGTGAAGCGGGCCACCAAGGGTCTGGCCACGGCTGTCAATGACATGTTGAAGTTGAAGGGGATGCGGCCGGGACATGAAGCCCAACACCTGGCTTCGCTGTTCCGCTGTTGAGGCAAGTTTCCACCCGTGGGTGTGACATAAAAAATTTGGTCTGGCGCACTTTGGTGGCTTACAAACGGCACCAACCTCAGCACATCAACACGCTGGAGGCTGGAGGTGTCAGCCTTTTTGGTGGAGATTCGGAGAAGAGCCCGGGATGAGCCCGGGTTCCGCAGATGGTGGGAGCCCGTCTCATCAACATCACAGATTCACAAGTTACGTTTCACTGCCTTACAAACGGTCGGAGCCCCTTCGCCAAACTCAATCGCCTGGTTCGTCGCATTGCCGCGTTGCAGCGAATCTCACCCTCTTCCACGTCTGGACCATCAGCAAGTGGAATTTTGCGGACTACCGGAGCCGCAAGTTCGAGACCTCTTGATGGCAAAAAAGCAACACTTAAAATCTTTGGGGGTGAGACGACGGACCATTCAGTTATACAGGCGAGGAGTTTCACTCTTTTTTGATTTCTCGGATTCATGCATCAGCCAATTCCTGCCACCTATGCTGAGCTGGACTATTCAGGGCGGAATACATCAATCACCTTTTTCAAGAAGGTGAAGCCATCAGTCGGGCAGGATGGCTGTTGAGTGGCATGCGCCGTTTCTATCCGCGGGTAAGAAAAGAGTTGTGCCTAGCCCAGCACTGGTATACAAACTGGACACATCCGAGCGGTTCCAATGCCTTGGAAGGTGCTCCAGGCCCTTGTCGGGCTATGCTGGAAGGAAAAATGGTGGCATTTATTAGGCTTATGCCTTCTGTTAGGTTCCGCTTTCTTCTTGCGTACCCAAGAGGTGTTGTGCCTCAAAGCTGAAGACATTGAGGTCAGCCCGGCCACGGGCTCTTTGGTAGTACGGCTCAAGCGTACCAAAGCCTCTAAGCAGCACCTTCAGACACTCACCCTCGAGCATCCTAAGGTGGCAAACCTGACAGCAATTGCTTTGGCTGGACTTTCCAGCCCTGGCTGTGGCCATGGTCACCCTCCTTTTTTCGGCGTTGTTTCACTTCCCTTTGCGATTTCTTCTTTCTTTCCTCCTTGGGATTTGTCCCATAATCTCTTCGAAGAGGAGGTGCAACCCATTTTTACATGGTGCTTAAGTCCTTAGACTTCGTGATGGTCCAGGGACGTTGGGAAGATCGACGAACGTGCCGTGTTTATCTGGATGATGCCCGCGCTATGCTGGTCAATTTCTCCCTTCCGGATGAAGCCGTGAAACTTTTGAGGACCTTTAAATCTTTTTTGTGACAGATCGCTACGCAAATGGGGCAAAAGCGGGCCGGTTGTGTCTTTTCCTCTTTCATATTCTTTTGCCTGGGGGTTGGGCAGGTTGTGGCAGTGACCGCACTTCACCTAACACGGGTGGCCACCTGTGGGTGCGTGTCTAGTGGTGCGTGTTGCTACAGCCGTGTGAATTTCGCAACGGCACCACAACCTAGAACACCTGCCGGGTTGTGTGGGGACAAACCGTGCGCGACCTGGTGCATAAATAATTTTATAAATATATATATATATATATATAGGTACCGTATGTATATATATATATATAATAGATACATATTCATACTCATGCAGCATGGAACTTGGGAGCAAAAATGCCAGGCGAAGGAGCCCCTCCCAGGAAAAAGGACAAAGAGTCCAAAGATGGCGAGGGGAAAGGAAATGGCGATGAAAATGCCGAGGAGAGATTTGGTATTGAAATGTACTGAGGTACTGGTTTACTGGTTTCTTCTAGTCTTGAATCTTCATCGGTGTGATTTATCACGTCTATCAGATTCTATCAGCTAGCTTGAGGAACGCGGTTGGAGTGGGAAAGGGCAGCAGCATTTCACTGTTTGCAACACTTGTAACAGTGTTTTTTTATTAATATTTTATTGAACGCCTTGCAAAGGCATCCAGCAACCACTCTTGCGTGAGCTTCCGACATCTTCTGACAGCAGGAGGGAAAAGATACTGAGGAAGCTGAGGAAGCCCCAAAAAAGGAAAGTGCCCCAGGCGAGAGGGCGGCGCCTCTCATCACCCGACAGAAACCGACATATATTATCAATTATTATCATATTTTCTGACGCCCTTCAAACATATTTAAACATATTTACTGTATATAAAAGTCTTCAAAAGCTCGTCTGCAAGGTGAAGAAGGCGAGAAGGACGAAGGCGAGGGCGCTCAGGAGTGGGCTTTCCACCTTACTTGGATTCAGCTTGGCTTTATGCTGTGCACTGTTGAAACAACTGAGGGATCACATGTGTTGCTTGTGCGTAGTGTCCCATTGCACCACCGTCTCAGCATTGCCGGGATACTTGTATTGCAACATCCTAAGTCAATTGAATTAGCTTTTGTCGCCAGCCGAGTGAAGGACCCAGCTGATGAAGAAGGCCCGGACCAGCCTTATGGAACTGAAGTCATGTAAAATATTGTAAAATGCAAAGAATGCAACTGCCGCATCTACATTCGTCTAGTAGTGTTAGTAGTGTTTACTCATACTTGGATATATTTAAATTATTTGGCCAATCTGGCGCTTCCCAATTTGCAGGTGCCAGCAATTTGGAGGCTGGATCATGTTGGAGGTCATTGAAATTGGATGACCTCAGATTTGTTCTGAATCCGTTCTGCAAAGGAAATCGGTTTGCTGATTCTATCCGCATATGTATATATTTGGTTGGACTCACTCTTATTTTGAGATATTTTGAGCCATTCCAGCCCAGCGCCAGCATACTTGAGAACAGGAAGGAGAAGGAGGCAAACCACCTGATGGTGAAGCAGAAGAAGCAAAAGAAGGCACGTGAAAGCTCCACTTGTCATTTGCTACATACCAGTGTGTGGGATATACCCATCCAATTCAATACCATCAATCGCTTTTCACAAAGATGTGTTTCATTGCAAGATTGGCCCAGACTTTGGATTGCCAGGTGGTGAGGAACGTGAAAAGGAAGAGGCTTGCAAACCGTCTCTGGTTGAGCTTAAAAATTGGCCACCACAAATGATTCAAGCGGATCTTATTGCACCAGTTTGCCGTATTTCGCAATTCTTCATGTCGTTGACAAGGAAGGAGAAGCAGGAGGCAAGGAAGAAGAAGGAGAAGCAAAAGAAGAAGGAGAAGCAAAAGAAGAGGGAGAAGGAGAAGAGGGAGAAGGTGAAGGTGAAGAAAAAGGTGAAAAGAAAGAAGGCAGGGAATGCAGGACATGCAACTGTAGTTTTGCTTGTGGTGTATCGACCTGCCGCTCGCAGTAGTTCTTGGCATTGCTCTAGTTAAAAGCAGCGTTCAGCACCCGCTCTTGTCGTCTTATTCACCATTGTCGTTCTGTAGGGCTTTGTCGATTTGTTGCCGCTGCAGTTCTCTTTCTCGCACACAGCTTTCCTACTTCAGGTGAAGATGGCGAGGACCTGCGCCACTTTTCTTGGTGCATTGACATTGCTTTGGAACATTTGGGAACGCACTTCAGCAATCTTCAGCAGCTGTTCAAGTTCCTTCACCCGTCGTTTATTATTGTGCTGCTTGTCAGCAATTCTACGGTGCATGAGTACTCGTTACATCTATATAATTCTATATATAAATATAATTAAATATATAATAATATATATAGTTACTACATGTTACTACATGCTACTACATGTTACTACATGCTACTACATGTTACTACTTTATAGATCTTTATAGAGGTGCAGAGTGAGGGAACTTGACAACGCCATCAGGACGAGGAAGAATTCAGCGAAGAAGGGCATTGGAAGTATGGGGAGCCCTGATCACAGATATCACAGATATCACAGTCCTACAGCGAAGTCCTACAATGCCCTGCATGTCATAAACACAGAATCTTGATGAATCTTGAAGCACAACACTATACAGATTATACAGCACTCGTATACCGTATATCATTCTCTTAGATTGCCACCTCAGCAAATGTGCATCGCTATTCATCGCAAACTGAACCATGAGGTCTTTTGGCGCTGCCTGGAAGGAAGGTGATGTCATTGGGATTTTATTTTCTGCCAAGGACCTTGATTTCCACTGTCTTCACTTGACCTCAACAAACCTGCGTATGACAAAACGCCAGTGACGCAGTGTAAAGCACCATATATAAGCACCATATCACTACATATCACAGTAATTAGAACGAGCAGAACGAGCCTGGCAGCTTGGATGTTTTGGTTTGCTCTTGCACGCGACAGTGCAACATAGTGCAACGGATGCCGACAGATTGTGACTGAGTCCACACAGGATGGAGCCTGCAAAATGTCTTTCTCCTTAAATGGCTCATTTGCTGCCCCGATGGGAGAGGCAACAGCGGCAACAGTTGGTTTTGCTGGCGGGTAGAGCAAAGTGTCAACAATGCGACAATATCTAACATGCAGCATTTTTATTATTTTTTACTCTTTTTGGATCTTTTTGCAAATTCCAGAGTCGTGCCCAACATGTCTCTGCAATTATGCCTCGTTTTCAATCTGATCTTCAGGCCTTCTCCATGGATATTGACGAGGACGCACTGAGCTCATCCATTTGTTTTTTCCAGCGGCTCTTCCCTCATCTTCACTCGTGCCTGCCGCATTTTTATGCATTTTTTAGATTCCTCCAGGACTCAGCATTCTCGCTGGTTCTTGCTTCCGGTGATGAAGGACAGAAGACAATGGAACAACGATAGTGTTCTGTGAGTTGTGCTTCGTTTTGCTATGCTATAAGTGCAGAGAGGGTGTGTTAATTTGGGTGTCGCCCACGGCGAGGGGAAATTCAAGTGAACTTTGGCCAACGTCTCTTCCAGACCACTCCCAAACTGGAAGCTCGGAAGCGGATAAGATTGGATAAGATTGGAAGAGATTCCATCTTTAGTTTGTAGAATCTTTCGAGCAAGAGTTGCCGATCCCATGTGTTTGACACAGTAGTGAGGATGAGTCAGGCTGAGGGCGAGTGACACTCTCGACACTCTCAAAGTCTAAGGAAGAGGATGGTGTGGTGCGTGGACTTGGAGAGGCAAGCGACGCAGCTTTTGCAGTTCCAGGTGTGACTCCGTGCTTTTCATTTGAGGCAATGAAGATGCGGCCAGCTTGGAAAGTCCAGCTTCCTAAAGGGGTCAAGGCAGCCTGCGACAACCAAAACACACTGGTAGTCGAGAGAACGAGACTACGAGTTCAGATAGTACTGATAGTACTGTAGTATATAGATGATATAGATGGACGATGGATATAGTAGGTCAATATGCAGATGATTGCAGATGTACGTATACATACGCATACTTATAATAAGTTATATACGTGACGTGAATGCAAAAATCAATTAGAACTCGGTTCAGCTGTGCCCTTTGCTTCAGCCCATAGTACTGTCAGGCCTGGCCAGTCTTCGAAGAGCCATCGAGAACTTCAAAGGGTCGCAAGCCATTGGAGGAACTAAACAAGCTATCTATATCTATCAATGGCTATCAGTGGCTCTCAACGAATGTCGCATGAGTCACATAGTGACATAGTGATACATGGTGAATGTCACCACCCAGTGAAGGTCCATTGATGTCGATAAGCCATTCAGTTTGAATTTTGGCGATGGATTCACATTGACAAACCCTGGCGAGGACAAAGTTGAAGTTGACCAATTACACTCTGCCTCTGACAACTGGGTACAGCTGATGGAAGGTTCTTTGCACTTTGCAGATTGCACTCGTGAGTGTCATTTCAAAGCTGCAAGTGTGAAACAGTGAAACTTGTGCTTCAGGCTGGGTGCAAACAAGAATGCTGGTTGCTGGAACAGAGTATGAAGGTCTCAAGCCTGAACCCAAGTGGAACAGCCACTTCTGTAGCACAGCAATCCTTGCATCGTTTGTGAAGGCTTTCTGAAGGCTTCTTGAAGGGGTCCTTGCAAGTCTGAAAAGTAAGGTTGCGACCGCCTTGGAGTCCAGTAGATCCGCCGCGAAAGAAAAAGGAAGCAAGACCCAGCCTGAGATGTGCTAAGGCTTCCAGCGAGTCGCATGAAGGCAATGAATTGATGGCTCCCCCTCTTGAGCTGTTTCCTTGCAGTGACTTTGTGGAACTAGCTAGTCTCTGAATGACTCAGCCCCTCAATCTAGCAGACACCTGAATGAAAGCAGTCATGAACGCTTCTTCGCACAGCCTTCCAGCTCTTATCATCTCTTACAGTGCCCTTTCCTATCAATTCTTCATCATCGTTTTAGAGGTCATGACTTTTTGCCAAGGAAAAAAGCGTCAACAGACCGTCTATGCCACCTTTGACGCTGAGCCAGAATCCAAACCTGCTTGTGCAAGAAGTCATTCTCCACCAGCTGTCGGTCTTTCTCAGCAATAAGACATACTGGACAGTATGATGTGTATGTATATAATATAAGTATAATAATGGATGAATTTTTGATATCAGATTCCGAGAATCAGATGCTGGCAATGATGGACCGTACTATCCAATTTAGTGGTCAGGTGCGTTTGTCTTGCACTAACAACCTTGAGGCAGGTTGATGCAGGTTGTACACCTTACTTGACAATGTTTCACACAAATTCTCTAGAGCACAACAGGGGAGTCGAGATGTCCAGTATCCCGTCAGCCACTCAAAACCCAGGTTTTGTGAGACCCGCAACTGGCAGTTCACAGGCCCAAGCTCCAGCTGGAGACGCTGTCAGTATTTGTCAGTACCGTACTGATCTGATCTGTACTTAATCCTGTCATTCTCCTGCATTTTGTGATAGTGCTGTGATGAGTGCTTGTTCCATCGTGCTTTTATCATCTTTTATCGTTCTGTATTTGTTCCCTCTCGTTCCTCACGTTGACCCCACGAGTCAAGCCTTTGCTCTGGGGAACCCTGCAGGTAATGATCTTGCAGTCGCTCAAGGGGGGCTTGCGGCTGAGTCTCGAGAACTGCACGGCATTTTGTCCCGGTGGTCTCGACACGACGTGATTATCGCGCTGAGACTTTGTCTTTTAAGATGGCTCAGGAATGCTAGGAGATTCTGGTAGAACGGCTTGATTCCTGCATTTTTAACGGTTCGACTTTCCAGGCCAGACCTTTTGGTAAGTGCGGAGGCTGCGAGCAATGGCCCCAGACCTGTCGTTTGTGATTTTCAGGCTCTACATTCCATTCTTTCCGAGGTAATGGAATCCTCCGCTGGCTGCTGAAAATAGAGGAGGTGTTGAAGTTGAAATGGTTCTCTTTGGCTTGGTAGTTGACGTAGTTGCAAGTCGCTGCCAAAGATTGACAGATTTGACAGTCACAAATGAATTTGCACTTTTGAAGGGCAACGATGCGGTGGAGGTAGGCATTGTGCCTGTCAGCGAAGTTGAGGACAATTTCAACGGCATTTTGTGATCAATTTCGTACAGCTTACAATATCTTACAATCAGCTTACATTTAGTATCATTTTATTGCTGCTGCCTGGTACCTGCTGGCAGCAGTTCTTTTTCCTGGTTTCTATAGTGGTCTTTCTCTTCAAAGATATCCTGGTGCTGCTGGGTTCCAGTGTTGCCAGGGAACATTGCTCGTTCATACTCGTTCATACAAGTGGCAAGCACTGCAAGTATTGCTATAGCAAAGTTACGTGTGCAAAGGAGCCTGGCTACCTCTTCAACACTGGCCAGTGCCCCCCCAAAGTTTCAGCTTTCACTTTATGTTTTGACCATTCTAGCGTAGTCACTTGCCGAAAGTACCACAACTGCTCTGCTTTGCAGGCGTATTCAACTGCTTGGAAAAAGGATGAATTCAGATGACCCCTGAAACATTTGCTGCTTTCCTTTAAATGAGAAGTACTCACTGCTTTCAGAGCCATAGCAAACGAAAATCGATGTTTGCGACTCTCGCGCAACACACCTTTCTGCTTGACGATATTTGACCGGCCTGTGACGGCTGCTCCGCTTTCAGGTGTGGCCTCAAATCCGAAAGTGTCAGCGGAGGTGACGGCGGAGGGGAGCAGAAGTTCATTCCTCAGAACGGGTTCCAAACACATGCCTTGAAAGCACAGTTTAAACATCTTGAAAAATGCTAAACACATGTTTAAGCCTTTAAGCTTAGCCTCATTTTGTTAGAGTAAGACTGCCCAAGCCAGCAAAATCTGGACACATCCACACAATTCTTCCAACTTTATCAGGTTCCTGAGGCTTGCAGAGAGACTATTTGAACCTTCAATTTTCTAGGCCTACATGGCCTATGTACATGAAGTTTGTCGAGATCATTTGCGATGTGGATCGCAAAAAGGCATCGGATGATGCTGGCAGTACCGGAGCATAGTATGTCTTAGCAATTCTTAGTATGATGTCAGAGAAGAAGGTGGGCAACCATGCTCAACTCTTGTGCTAGGCTTCTTTCCATGTCGGGAGCAAAAAGGACAACTTGCAAGAGGCCGGAGTAAAAGCAGACCACAGCTCTGCGAAACGAACAGCTCATTAAGCCAGAACAAATTGCCTATGACAGGTGAAGACTCTTGAGCTACCTTATGATGAGGAAGTAAGGCTTGCGGTGACAGGATGGAGTGGAACGCGCTTGTGCCTCAGGCTGAATGAACAAGAATCTTTGGCATCACAATAATATTCTGGTCGCTTCGCGACGACAACTGCCTGCACGGGAGTGTTAGCTCCGAAGTTCCAATAAAACCATTTATGTTCTATGTTGGGCCTTTGTAGGCTCATGTTGGGGGTATGTTGGGCCCATGTTGGCTCTATGTTGGGCCGTGTTGGGCCCAGGTTGTGCCATGTTGGGACTCTGTTGCATCCTGTTGGGCCTTTATATATTGGCCCTATGGTGAGGCATGTTGGGCCATGTTGGGCCCGTGTTGGGCCGACCTAAATCCTTCCTGAAAAAATACAGGATTCTAGAGCAATAACTGCCCCCCCAATTTAAAGCTTAATAGCCATTGCAATTGCTTCCGGTCAAATGCGTGGACGCAAAAAAACGCTTGGGCACCTTTGGTGCGGGCCTTTTTTTTTTGTGAATGCAGCGCCGCAGTGACAGCGAATACTTTGTGGTGGTAGAGATGTCAATGTCGATGTGCTCCCAGTGTGAGGCATTCAGCTGACATACTTACTGTATCTTACTGTATCTTACTGTACATAACAGTGTTCGTTGTCATCCATCGTCGTCATCTCCGTCATCTCCGTCTTCTGCGTCGTCGTCGTCGTCCTCCTCCTCCTCATCATCATCATCATCGTCATCATCCTCGTCATCATCATCACCATCACCATTATCATCACCATCACCAATATCATCACCATCACCGTCATCACCATCATCACCACCACCATCACCAGCATGAATCAGCATGATCATCACTATCCTCACTATCATGACCAGGACAACGGACAACGACCATGACCATCATCATCGCGACCCGTTGCTGTCATCATGTTAGCATCCCTCATTGTCATATTGTTTCATACTTGTTTCCTTTCCAACAGCATTACCCTAAGCGTCCAAACCCTGAAAAAAATGAAAAAATGTTGGGTCTACGCATGAACCTCGGGTTTTCTGGTGATTTGGCGAAATGCCTGGAGTTTTGATCAAAACCTCAGGTTTCCCACAAAATGTTTGAATGCCACGAGCCGCAGGTTCTTTCTAAGACCAGTTTTCACCAGGATATACTAGGATAATGCGGCACTATCCATCATGAGTTCAAACGGTTTGCTATGTAAAAGAATCAGTGTCTACTTGTCTCCGAAACATCTGAACATCTACCATCCCCCCCACTGGTTGCCTATTTAATATTTTCTTGGTTTGTTGCCTTTGAAACAAAATAAAATAAAAGGATTGGGCGGGGTATTCAGGCCTAGCACACCCTTGACAAACCTCCCATGACAAACTGACCCCGTGGTTATCACCAAAATACATTGTGTTTTCCAAAAAACCTCGGGTTTGCCTAACCCGTGACGAACCCGTGACAAACCCATGACAACCCGTGACATGGGTTTAAACCCTCCTCGAATGATCAAACCAAGTGCATCCATTTTGTTTTTCAGTGCGACACTTATTCCACAAAATCAAGTTTTAAAAGAATATGCGAATTTTCTGGGCTGCAACTCAGAATCATCCCTTGCCATATTTGCCAGGTCCCCTCTATAGTCCTCTATTAGATGGAGTGCCTTTATGGTTCTAAGGTTTTGTCGTAAATGAGGCATGTGAGGCAAACCGCACTTAGAGGGCCGAAACCAAAACCTGGGCCGCTTTGCCAAAGCATCTCGCGCAACTCAGCTGCCAACACGCTACAATAGGATAACTATGGATAACTCGGGCACATGTGACTGGTCCTTGGATCTGACGCTACGTGCAACACACAAAGATGCGAACCGGACGCGTTTGCGCTGCACCCTGAGATTTGAATAGATTTGAAACACATGGACCACATGGATATATTAAGAAACATTGTGAAACACCCGGCATTCCAAGGAGTTCGCCTGGAGCCTCCGCAGAAGTGGATGGGAGGCCAACGTTGTTGAATGCACAATCAAGTGCGGGACATTGCGAAGGGGTTCAGACAGAAAACGATTGATGATGTCCTGCCAAAAAATGGTGCCATACTTTGCCAATCCTTTGCATTATGAATTATGAAGGACCTTCGTTCTTTGACAGCCATAGGGCAAATACTGAGCCAAATGGATTGAAGGTTTCTTTGTATTTTCTATTGTCGATGTCGATGTCATTTCAATTTCAAGGTGACGACTCCGATTCTGACTCTGACTCCAACGGAGAGGAGGTTTGGAAGCGCAGTGTTGTTTGATCTTATTGCAACATGGTACCAGGCAATACAGGCAGTTTTTGTTGGCAACTTGCAAGATCCTTATTCCATGCCCCGCAGGACGATCGATTCTCCAATACTTGTGGAAACGTGGCCTTGTGCTCAATGTGCAAACATAAGTTCAAACTTCAAAGAAGGGTTATCTCAAAGGGCAAATGCTTGCTGGTGGCAACGCAGCGTAATGCATCCAGATGCATCTAGAATAGCCGACAAGCACAAGCTGTTTGGTGCCTTTGTGATTCACACTTTCTGTGATTTTAGCATTGACATTGAAAGACAACTTACAGTATGTCAAACATGATCTGCACACAGTAGGATACAAAGTTGAAGTCAAGTAGCGCCCTCGGGAAGGTACACTTCCAGTCTTGGGACTCAATTTTCTTGACAGGAACTTGCCATGAAGAACAACACCAATACTGCTAATACTGTAGCAGTCGGCAGTCACAAAAGATCACAAAACCAACCTTGACATGGCAAATCACAGGAAACATGCAACCGGTGCTAACTAGCGATCCCCTTGATTTGTGCCGGCGTGTGCTGGTGAAAACCACAAGTGGTGACTCAACACAGACACTGCAACGCCCCTCCAAAATGAAGCTGCCTAGACATGTAAACTGGATAAAACATGATAAAACCATATGGACCATAGGTAAATCGTCTGTAGATGGGTAGAGGTAAGGCAGGTCGAAGTGGATCGAATCAAGTGGAGCAGGGCATGATTTCCATGTTCTGAACAAGTGCCGAATGCCAAAGCAAAGGGCCCAAGGCAGGTCGCCAAGAGCGACAATGTTCGAAAAAATCAAAACATTAAAGCACACTACAATATATACGTATAATTACGTATATATATATATGCATACATATTGTATAGGAAATATGAATTAACCAATATCAACCATGACTATCACCATTTCTGTTCTGGACTACGCGAGTCACTTGTCCCAGTCACCGATTTCTTTTACGTTACAAGCAATTACTGCGCACCAAGTTACCTCTGGCAAAGCAATCAGAAGTCAACCGCTTCATGGCCACCTGGAAATAGAAGGATAAGCCAAGCAACCAAGCGATCGCAACCACAGCAGAGTTATCAAAGCGCTCACCGAAGGTCGCATCAACTTAGTTATGACTTGGACATGTACTGTCATACCACTTTTTGTACCACTGATTATACCGCTTATATATGTCCACTTGTTACATACTTGGCATTACCTGACTGTGGTAAGGTGCAACCCTCTACCTGGCACGTTGCGACTATTTGTGTCGACCTGGAGAAGCGACAGGTGCATGACTTGATCCCGAGCCAACCAGCTGAGCACCGCTGCACCTTTAGACTCGCACCATGATGGCAGCCTGATGGCACAGGAAATGCAGATCATTTTGGATGGTGAACAGCATTTGGTGGTCCAAGACTTATTTGAACTGGCTTCATGGGATTGGAGCCATAGAGCCCACTTCTGCCGAAAACGACACAATCCTGAAAGTACCAATCATTGAAGCGTGCGAACGGCAAGGCCAGAGATCCAAACCTTTTTGCTCCTGAAGGCCTCTTCAGTTTGACTCCAAGATCGAGCAGAAAGCAAACTCACATTTGTCAGAGAAAGATATTTCGGAGATAGACGATGGTTGTGAGAGTGGGTTAGATAACTTGTGCAACTGTATCAACTTGCAACATGTGTGATCATATGTGTCATGAGTCACACAATTAAGACTTTGGATTTACTTGGGATGATTTGGCAGGTGCAGTAGCTCCGGTACCATCTATTGCTAAGGCATCGATCCAGTGGAGGGCCTTGTCCTTTTCGGACGCCGCCGGGTTCGCTACTCATAGTAAGTCATAGAAACCGAAAGGAATTTCTGACTGCATGTGACCTATGGCATCCTGTAGCATACTGTGATTGTTTTGCAGTCGAGGCTGGAAAGATTGCTGAGCGAGAGTGGAGGCTAGGTGGTCACCTCAGGCAGATGCGGATGGAATCGCCGAGTCCTTAGCGCTTTCGGCAAAGGCTCATCTTGCACGTCACTGACGGATCTGAATCATTTGTGATCCTGAGGAAGTTCCTGTCGATTTCAGAGGCAGCCTGAAGTAGCATTGAAGTTTGCTTGGGCAAGAGGGGATTGGAATAAGACGAATAAGGCTCAGGGATGCGTAGGGCACTTTTGGCCGTCAGGGGGGCAGATTGCTCCCATCACCTGACACGTCTTGACATCCAATTGGACCCAGTTTGCACATTTCATACATTTGCACTGTTTACATATTCTTTGCATGTCTGTATCTCATTTTCGCGTTTCTGCTCTGCAGGCTTGGGGCCAACAGCTTCCAAAGGGTGTTTTGTCCTCAATTGCCTCAATGCTCCAAAGGAATATGATTCAGATTGATTCAGTTTGTTAGTTCTTCTCCGTTGGCGCACTTTGCTTTCAACTCTGCCGTGCATTTAGAAATCGATAGAAATTGAGGGTGTTACCTGCTGTCATTGAGGTATGGGGTTGCCGTACATGTGGCTCCAGAAGTGCTGCAGACGTTCGAATCTGTTGGAGCTGTCTGGGCCCGGGGAATCTCACATACCACATCCCTTGGTTTTTGCAGCCGCACGGAAATAGGATTAACACGGATTAGATAATATTAAATAGCACTTCGAAAATCTTCGAAACAAGAATGAACTAACAGATGAATAGAAGACAATAGAAGTGGAACGTAACGGTTGCTCCACAAATGCTGCGAAATGAAAACCACTCGCATAGACTCAGGCCACACTGCACGGCAAAAGAGTGCATCCAGGCAGAGAGCTGCAGCCAGAAGTTTCTCAAACTGCAGGAGTTTTTCAAAAATCATCCGATTGCAGATTGCAGATATCAAGTCATAAGTCAACTGCATATTGCCTCTGCGATCTGCCGTGTCTGAAGTTCTCCTATTCTCTGAATCGGGACGGATTAAATGACCATAAGATTTGTTTTTTCCCAAGTGCCACTTGCAAGGCCTCCGAACGATGCAGACCCACGACACGATGGTCTGACAGTTTCCACCCCAGACCAGGAAACTCATAGAAAATGACCAACATGCCTTGCTGTGCAATGTTGGAATTTGAATCTGTGAATCCCAAAGACACGTGAAACATTGCAATATATTGTAACATATCGTAACATTACTATAACAATGAATGGTGAAACTTGTTCTGTTCCGCAGGTGTTGGTGGCTGATTCCTTCAAAGACCTTGTCCTGGAAAGCAAGGTGTTCCTGGCTCAGCGCCAGCGAGTTCCTGTGTTTTTCTAGCTGTGAAATATGGTGAAATCTATTCAAAGCTGAATTTCAAGCTGCGCAGTTGTTCCTTCCGCAGAGGCAGAATGTTTCAATCTGCCATTTTCTGCCATTTTGCAACCTGTAGAGGCTCATCACCAAGTAGCCACAAGTAGCCTATGAGCCTATGGGTAAAGTATCTTGAAATATATTGAAATATGATGAATGATAAAATCATGTTGTACCTGCCTCCCAACCTTTGACACGGAATTTATCGGAACAATCTTGGGGACTAAACCATTACAGGTTTGCGGCCGGCGTGCTTGTTGCAAGCGCATTTGTCGCACCATCACAGTGAGGATGACGTTTGCCATCGTTCATTATTCAGAATTTATATACGATTATATACGTTTCTTTCATACTTCAATAGTTCACTCTTTTTGATTTCCAGTGACCAAGGCACGTGTTCGTGCTACTTTATGCACCCTGGTGTGAAGCATGCCGGAGGCCTAAAGTTGTAAGTACCATGGAGGTTTGGAAAATGTGAATAAATTGAGAATGTTTAGATAGATCCTTGGTTCGGTATCAAAGCAAAAAAAAACAACTAAGCTGCTCCAGTAGGGGAGTTCCTACTTCACGAGACATCTTGCTGCAAATTGAAGTTAAACAAAAAATGATGAGCTGCAATCAGTTCATCCAACTCTCGAGAGACTCCAGGGCCAAATCAAGAATCTACAAGATTAGACAAGATTAGTTTTGAATCTGTCAGCAAATTCTTTGCATTTTTTGGCTGGATTTAGGTCAGGAGGTGAAACCTCACTGGAGGAAGCTGGCCAAGATGCTGAAGGATTCCAAAGTGCTGGGGATAGCGGTCGCATGTTGCACAACAAATCATTGCTTTACCAATTCCTTCTGACTTTCTGCAGGGGTCAAGCAACATCCACATCGCCATGATGGACTCAGACGAAAACGATGCGCATACGACTCAGTGGACCATGGACCAAGCACTTGCCAGATTCGAGCTATGCCAGTTATGCCAGTTACAGTATGCTTGCAGATCTCGCAGTTCCGATTTGCACAGAATGATGATTTGTGGGACCATCCCCGAATCTTCGGTGAACGTGGCATTCGTGGCATCTTTGCAATTCTGTCCAGATTCTGTCACCGGTTTAGCAAGTTTAGTCTGGGAAAATACTTTCAGGTGTTAACCAATTCGTGCGACTGCAAGGCCAAGCCGCTTCTTCCCAGAATCCTTCATTCCAAATGTCAAGTCTCTTGCTCAGTCAACAAGAGCTACAAGTCGTGCTGCAACAAGATCTTCAAGCCTCAGTGCTACCGGAGACAAAGCTTCAGTTGCCGTCTCCAGATAATTTGATTCAACTCGTGTTGGATTTGCCCGCAGTGTGAGCTTTGGATAGTCATAGTTTCGGTTGCTTTCACAGCCTTTTTTAGACTTCCACGAGCGTTTTGGTTTGGGGTCTCAGATCGTCCTGGTATAGTTTACTTCAAATATGTTTCTTTCTTGGCTTCTAGTTAACAGCAGATATTCCAAGCGTCATCTCGAAACTCAGAGGAGTTATGATCGTGATGATCAGAGAACATGTAACACGGTCCTTCAAAATTTAGACTCTAGTTTTGTAGTGGCCGCTGTCGAATCTGCAATGATGCGCCGCAACAACCGAGCCGTGTGCTTGTTGTGCATTTTGATTGTGCCAGCCTTCATCACAGTGACGGGGCCAAATTTAGAAGCATTTTCCGCCGATGGTTGAGACCATTTGCGACCTATTTTTAGTGCAACATGCTACAGAATTGCTGGCGCGAAATCACAAACTCGCTGCTGACAGACTCTCATTAAGCAGTTGAACTCTACTGGCAGCATGCACCGCAGCACAAAGATATGCAAAGCTTGTGTTGCATTCTCACACCCAGATCAACCGAGTTCACATTTGTAAGGTGGCCAACTGTTGCACTATTCTTCAATTTCAGACGACTATCACAGGCCAGTCATGGTCATCCCCATTTTTCATCGCTTCCGTTGTTGCCTCGCCTGTAGTGGCAGTATGTGGCAGTGACATGCCAAGGACAGCTACTCTTTCTTTGCACGCATCGCTTCCTTGCGACGCGGCAAAGCATCACCATGTGAGGGATGCTAGGTCTTCATAGTTTTTTCACAAATATGTTGCAATGCCATGCAATGCCTGCAATATCCTGCAAGGATTTCAGGAACACTTTTCATTTTTTTCAGAGTTGAAGCTGACAACCAGTTTTACTACAGGCTGGCATATGGCCGGCACTTTCTTGTTTACAACATTTTACAACTGCTTCATACTGCTTCAATTGTTTCGATATTTCCCTATGTTTCACTCAACACAGAGTCAAACCAAATCCAGAGTCGATGAAGTTGGACCTGAGGATTGCCTCACGTGGGAATTCCACCGAACGAGGTGCAGGGTGTTGCAGCTCTACGCAGTGCTGTGGCTACGAGTGGCATGGAACCACTGGCAGATCCACTGACACTCTTGCGGTTTTACAGGCATGGTGGGCCTGGTGGCAAGTTCGCATGCAGACCTCAGTTTACAAATTTTACAACAGTTTTCAATTAATTTCAATTATTGTAGTTTAGAATGTTTAGAAGCGGTTGGCTATAGACTGATAGCAGCTGACTGAGAGAATGATATGAATGATATGAATAAGATCTAGATTAGCGAATGGGAAAGCTAGGGAAATGATGGGAAATGCACAATTGTTTCCTCTGGCTGGAATCCTTTGTTTCCAAGCACGATTCAAGGCAAGGTACTTCACCGGTTTGCTTGAACATGCCCAATTTTTTTCCTGGACATTTTGCGGTATGAACTGGCTGCGCATACCACTATGAGTATTGTGAGTCCAAAGTCCATGATGTCTAATCAGGAGAGTGAGACAAGCAGAAACAACAACAACTCTGGGAATATCTGGCCATGCTGCTTCTGACTCAGGATGCCAAAGCATGGCTGGTGAAGGGGTGCAACTAAAGCTTACACTAAAATCACTAAAGTAAATGGCTGAAGCAAGCGCTACCAAAAATGCAAGAGCTCTTGCAAATCTATGTCCAACCATGCAAAACCCAATGAAACTACAAGATCATCAGCTTTGCAGATGTTTAGGTAGATTTTTTGGTCAAGAATGGGCACGCTCTCTTTTTTTTGGTACTCTTAGCTCTCGTACTTTCTAGCTTTTGGATTCTACTTTTGATTTGCTGCAGTTGTTTTGTTGCAGGGCTCGCAACCGAAATATTGATGCTGCTGCAGAGATGTACAACACCACAATGGCCTGGCGATCAAGTTATTCGATTCAGGAGCTCATGGATGCTTTTGGAACTGAAGGGCACTATGCCACTGACGGTGGTCGAGTAACTGATCCTATCGACTGGACTTGGGTTCCACATCCAAACACATTGGAAGCCGAGTTGGCCTATCGGCATGCCTTTTTTACTCGCTTGCCTGCGGAGATTTCGCCTGAGCCCGTTTTGATTTGGCGCGCAGGCCACGCAGACTATCAAGGAATTGTTCGAGAGGATTTGGTTGACATCATGATCAAGGCCTTTATTGTGCATCTGGAAGTTTCCAGACTGCAAACCCGATAAACCATAGACATTTCAACTTTTTGTTTCCAGCCTTTGCTTGTTCACGGCCATCGTCACAATATGACTGCAAGAGTCCCTGTCGCCATCTTCACCCCCCACCAAGATGCCAGTGCGTGTGTGAGTTTTGCACCACTTCTGTCGAGGGTTTGGAAGATTCAACATTACTGACAGAAAAAAATGCTTGCAAGCACAGGTGAACCATCGGAAATTGATTTAAATTACCAGATCTTCCAAGTTCTAGTTTGTATTAGTGAGGTTTGGGGTACAATTACTTACATGTATCATTGCTGAGCAGTAGTTGCGACTCAGCAGGTTCTGATAGATTTTTTGCGAGGGTTGGTTGATTGTCAAGAGGACTGCCACACGCTGCTGAAAATCGTAAGCCCAGGAAACAGAAGACACTGGTAGCTTATCAAAACGAGCCGACTTGAGCTTCTTCTATATACTGTATGCATTTGTATGATTGTAATTATGATTGAATGATGCAGGACGTTCACTTGGCAGCTTGACAAACTCGGTGAAATCCGACATAGTCCGACTTTCAAGTCCTGTTTTTTCAAATTCGTTGACCTACTTTCAGCCGAGGACGCTTTGCAAGCCTCCAGGGCTGCATCTTTGAGGAAAGGGAAGCTGGTCCGAGCTCGTCTTATCGTAGATTGCGACGGCCTTGGTATTGAAAATATGCGCTACCTTTCCATTTTGAAGAAGATCATCACCTTGGGAAAGTCTTATTATCCCGAAGTTGCTGCTACAGTAACAGTGATCCGGGCCCCTGGGTTTAGTGCGTTCTTTTACAATTTGCTAAAGCCTTTGCTACCGAAGTTGCTCCAAGAAAAGATTTGGTTGCTCGGTCGAGACTTTCGCGAAGGGTTGATGAAACATACTGGTTTGGACGCGAAGTCCCTGCCAGATTTTCTGGGAGGTGAAATTACTGATGTCGAATTTGCAAAAGTGCAACCGGTGCCCAGCAATGCCCTAGACTATCTCTCTCAACCAGAATTCCAGTCATGACTCTGCTTTACTCGTACGGCTTGAAACATCCGTTGCAGATTCCATGTGTGCCGATCTCAATGGGATCGCTTGCGCGCTTTGGCCAAGCCATTGGAATCAAAAGACTGAGTCATGTGAAATAGCAGAAATAGATACAAAATGATACAACTAGATACAAATAGCCCAATGCGGGCGACAGGTTTCAATCTGCACAGTTCGAATAGTACAGCGCTCCCATAGTGCATGAACATGTGCACATGGAGAGTTTGACTTGTGCTGAAGGCACAAAAAGTTACAAGTGCTTCTGCTCCATTCTGCTCCATTCTGCTCCATTCTGCTCCCTTTGCCGCCTCACGCAGATCGTCCTACGACTCTGCGACCATGACATGACATGACATGCAAATTCTCAAGGTCGCTCCCTGTAGTGTGGGATCCACCACTAAGGCTCTTCCTGGCAGGCAAAAAGGGCAAGCCGCTTGCCTGCAACTCGCGGGAAAGAACCTTTGAGTCCGACTCTCAGAGACTCTCAGAGACTCAGGGATTCCCTGTTTCTTCGAATCAAAGTCGACTTGTAACGCTTGTAATTTAAAATTGACTCCGTTAACAATGAGCTGTCATGAACTGTCAACCTTCTCTCAAACCTCACTTGGATTCATTTGGAGCGGCTACTTAGCTTGCTGGATGTCAGACGGTCTTGCACTCTTGGGATGCCATGAAGTTACATCATCACATAACATTTCCCTCCCAGGTCCTACGTGAAGTTTTTGGAAGAACACACCAATGTCAGCCTTGAATCAGCCGCTGAAGTCTCTTGGCAAAAGTGCTTTTAGCTTCTGATATCTTCTGATGCTTTTTGGCAGTGAACCTACTACAGCTGTACGTAGATTTTTGGGGTACAAATGGGGTTCACGAAGTAAGAGATATAAAAGGAGGACCTGGATCCACCTGATTGATTTAATATGATTGGTGGATACCCTTCATCTTGGACCCTTAGGCCTTAGGTGTGAAGACAAGTCTGTTTTAGTTTGTATTGATTGGTCAACCGCTTCTGTAGAGGAGACTGGCAATGCGTCGTCAGGAGTTCTACCCGCAGTACTGTGAAGTGAACTCTGTCGCTTGCTAAGATTCTAAGACTGAAACTGAGTACGGTTCGTTCACATTCACGGCAAATACAGCAATATGAAAGCCTTTTGTTGTGTAATTGACCAGCAGATGGCAGTACATGGATGACATTCAATGGGGAAAAACGTCGCAAAACAGCTTGCACTTCATAAACACAAAGGAAAACCATTGGACATGTTGTACTTGGACCTCTTCATCGCCGAAGCCGTGTTGTGTCTTTGTCCAATGAGGTTCCAGCGCTGGTCGAAGAACTCAGACAAGCGGCAATGATACAGGAGACATGGGGAGACATGGGGAGGAGTCCAGGGAGTACATTGGTGGTGTATAAAAGGATATGGATGCAGGACAAGAACTGGGAGTTTTGCATAATATCAACCATCGGCTCGCAAGCATGTAACATCTCTGATGGCATCGGCCCGCACTGTACTGCCCATGTCAGCACAAACTTGTTGCAGTGCCAGAGGTGAACAACATTAAGTCATTTGAAGGGTTTTCTCTATATCTGTTTACTGAAGTCATAGCACGACAACTACGGCAGTACAAATTAAACATTTGCACCAGCTCGGCAAGATTCACTATTGATGCATTGTAGCCAAGCAACATATGAGATTCAAGGTCTTGCCAAAATGAAGATGACATTTTGCTTCTAATTGCAAAGCTGCAAAGTCTTCAGGGTCATCAACTGGATTTCTTCTTGCTTCTGCCTTTCCAATCAGACAGGCAAATGACAAGAGATTAAACTTTGGTATCTAAAGAAGAACCGGTACCCGTATTGCAGCTGTGCACCGAGTGTCTTACTAGTTTTTTTTTTTTTAATATTTGAATCGCTCTGAAGTTAATCGAAATCTCTTGACAAGCACTGACCTCAAGCACCAGTCTGCGGTTCTATAATGTTCTACACGACAAGCTGTCAGCAACATGAAGCGCCACTGGCAAATTTGCACAGGAGTTGAAGCTCATGCAGCACCTAACTCAGAGCTGACAGCTGGCGCTTCAGCATGATCCAGGTCCATTGACACACGGCCCAAGGTGGAGAAGACCTCCGTTGCAAGCGCTTGCGCTGTTTCTGTATTCGTACCTGCTGGACAGCATACATCTACTTGATCTACTTTCAATGTGCTTTCAATATGCTTTCATATCATATGATTCATACCCTTCATGCACTATGATAAATTTCGATAGGAAGAGCCTCACATTGCATATATTGCAGGATCCCAATGTGCACTCTTCAGTTGCAATCACACCAATCGCAGATGCCTGGAACCTAAGCTTTGAAAGCTTGGATACATGAAACAGAATCGCTGAGACCATCCTCAAAAATAAGGCTATCCGTGAGGACGAAACCCACTTGGTCCCAATCTCAGGAAGTTTGTAAGCAATGCCCAACAAAAGTTAGCTCGCAAGCTTTCTATTTGATTGACATCCAGACCTATAATGCATATCAACATGGTCATCAACATAGATCTATATTCTATATATTATAATATATTATACTGTATTAAGATTATAAATCCTTCTAATTTCTTCTAATTCATTGAAGAGGTTAGCATGGTTTAGTCATGTGTTGTGTTTGGTATCTCGTATCGCAGTGCATCTGAAAGCTCTGAATTTGTCCAAGTTGGTGAGGAACCAGTTTTTGGGCGTTTCCAGGAATTTCATATTTCAAGGCATATTTTTCAGATGCTTCAATTGGAACCCCGTTGTAATTGCCTGTGACATGACACTAGGCTCCAGCCCCAGAGCCTTCACCACAGCTTCAGAGGCGCAGAGACAGGGAAACTTTGGGAAACTTGGCAGTCAGGCATAGCGTAGTTGCATATCTAGCATTTGTTCTAGCAGACTCTAGCAATGAGCTTTTCATCTGTGACCTGTCCTACACCCTCAACTGTTGTCTTGATGTTGAGCTCTCGAACAAGGGGTCCATCTGCGCCGGAAGCAGCGCAACGGCTCCTCGCAACTTGGCCCTGATTGTCAAACGGCAGGGTAGCTCTAGAGATAAGCTCATGAGCAAACGAGGCACTGAGTATGAAGGTGCTTGTTCACTATTTTTGCAGGCACAGAGTTTAAACACTTAGCCTATTAATAATTACAAAGAAGGTCATCGATTATAGGACCTGGCAACGAAGCTGCCGTTATGGCCATTTGTAGCTCTTCAGCTTTGGGGCAATTTGAGCACAGCCGCTGAAGATCAGAGCACGTAAAGGACATATTTGAATTCACCTGCCACTCTTCCCATGACCATCATATATGGCTGTTGAGACTGTGTGACAGACATGGACGCTTTTTGCAGATCTTAGCTGACATCCAAGCATCCAAGCTCGAACACACTGATCACAATGGCCACGCGTCACATGGATGCAGCACTTGGGCGATTGGGCGCATCACTTCAAGAAGAGCTCAACTCCACCCTGCAACCACTTGTTCAGCAAATTGTGATACAATCCACACAGATTTGTGTTGATCTTTGCAAAGACAGGCTTTCTGAACTATTAGATCAAGTGGAGAATCGAGGAGCTCCTGTGGACCCAGTCTACACTGCTGTAACCAAAGGTCGTGGTCCAACACCAGAGGAAGCTGCAAGAGCTTCTGCAAAATTGTTGGTTTCTGCTGCACTTCTGTCTTCGGGAGTTCTAGTTGAAGCACCAGAGACTGTGGGCTTCACGACACAATCAACCCAAACGGTCACTGTCCCTGTTCCCGTTGCTCCCGTCCCCGTTGTCCCCGTTGCCCCCAGTGCCACTGCTGCCACTGTTGCCACTGCTGCTGCCACAGCAAGCATCACGAGCCATTCCGCAACTGGCACACCAGCAACAGCTGCCAAAGCAGCAGCTCCAATGGCTCCAAGCCCAGTGGCCAAAAAGGCCACCCCGGTGCCTAAAGCTGCACAAGCCGCGCAAGCGTTCAAAGCGATGCCACAGAAGGCACCACCTCTACAGCCTCAAGCTGCACAAGCTGCATCGCCATTGCCAGTGCCCAAACCGAAAGTGGAGCCCCGCAAGAGCTTTGCAGAGCAAGTCGCAGTTGGTGTCTCGAGCATCTTTGGCAAGTCCACGCCGCCCAAAGCAAAAAGCAAGGAAAGCGTTCAGACAGGGCCACCGCCAAGCGTGATGAGTATGATTCGGAAAAGCTATCAAGCGGCGGCAAAAAGCGAAGAACAGCCCAAGGACGTCAAAGAGGAGAAGACGCCAATACCAAAGCCGAAAACACCAGGACGAGTTTCCACAAGATCTGTGCAAGCATTGCCTCGGAAAACTCAGCGAAGCAGTGCGGTTGGAGAAGAAGATCTTAGTGTCTAGGAGACTGAGAGACTGAGAGCTCATGGATTCAAAAAAGATCGACTGCATTGAATGGTGTGTCGACTGTGACAGTGTAGGTATTCAAACAGGTCCGATGATATTTCTATATATTTCTTTAATTGGTTGGACAATTGGATGCGTCTTACAGAAAGCAGGATTCTCGTGGGAAAAGTGGGAGAAGGAAGTGGACTGGTTTGGCGTAACCTTTCAACCACTGCATGCGAGTACTGCTAGCTACACTAGCGGTTCCTGCTGAATGAGGAGAGCTTATGATGTAGCTGTTGCAATCACACTCCTTGATACTGGTTGTATTCCTCAACGCTAGGACCGACCTCCTTTGAACTTAGGCAACGCCGCAATCCACAGAACCTCCAAGGTTGGTGCACTGATCACAACATGCCAATGGTGAAGGATTCAAAGGAACTCAATGGGATGTATTTGAATTTCCTCTGCACATCAAGTTCTCGAACGTCTAATATCAGTACTTTCTAAGATTTTCTAAGTACTTTGAACCAGCGGTGTGCTGGAGGCTTGTGCGACATGTCTCCCAACCGCTGTTTGCTGGACCTGCGTTGTCCAGGGGTGCCGGGCCTCCTGGACATCGAAAAGCCTCCAGTTGAAGCATGTTCTTCATTCATGAGGTTTTAAATATTCTTAAATTATGATGAACCAGGTATCGGTCTAGATTTTATGTCCGCCAAGACTGCTGAGAAGTGTCAACAATCAAAATGAAGTATTCGATACACTGCGTCAGAGATGCGTCCAGGGATTGTAGAATCCTCCAAGGTGTCAGGCCAGAGATCACCTCTACTGCTGAAACCTGGACTGCACTTGGGATTTGCAGTTGTCAAGGTCAGTGAAAAAGCCCTGCAGAAATGATCAAGAAATAAGATGACACAAGTGACATAAGTATAAATATTATAAATTGCAGTAAGATGAAGTAAGTCAGACCAAGTTCTGTGATCTTTTCTGTCTGCAGGGTAGATTGATGTAGATTGTCTTAGGAATCGGGTCATTTCGACGCCGCTGGAGCAGGCCTATCCGCACCCCAAAGCTTGGAAAGTCTTCGACAATCACAGCATCATGCAGATCATGCAGCATGTTTCTTCAGAAGCTTCTATTTTTGACAGGTGGCAGATCCTCACAAGCTCGAAGAAGAGTTGAAGTCTTCGCCTTTGCATTTCTTGTTCTTTTGTCTAGGAGTGACAGAACTGACGCTCTAGAGATTTCTGGATTTACTTTAGTGATCTTTAGTGTTTGGCGACTCCGACTCCGACTTTGGTTGCAAACTTGAGCTTGCACAAGTTCTTAGCAAAATGGGCTCCAAGATACACGAAACAAGTACTAGTCATTTCAACATCTTGGCACAACAGGCTTTGGACATCCGTTTCAAACATACATGACATACGCATCCTCCGACTAAGGCGTGCCCACCTTTCAGAATTGCTGGATAAAGAGCTTCAGGCAGAGCTGAAGAAGGCAAGTTCTCTTCCAATCGTGAAACACTGCATTGACATGCGTTGGATCAGAAACATCACATGGAATATCTTTGAATCATGTTGAATCCATTGCATCGAGATAATTGACATATTGACACTTACTAGGCACAGCCTGACAATGTTCGGGACTTTGTGCGAGACTTTTGCCTGCGCATGGCAGTGGCGAGCTTGGTGTTCCTGGTTGGATGAAGTGGGGAATGCTTGCAGGATGAAGCTGCGTGAGCCAATGATGGCACAATTCGATGCAATGACACATGATGACACATTTTCAGATTTTTCAGGCTCCCAAATTTCAGCATCGGCTGTTCTTCAACGCCCGCCTTGGTGTGTGGAGCCCTCAGAATTTGGGAGCAGTTCTGTCCTGCAGATCGATCCTGTAACGTTCAAGGTCTTGGCGAATACCTCCGGCGGCAACTTCAATCGTCGCTGCCACCCGCATTTTTCGGTCTCTCAGGTGGTGGCTGATGAAATTGATTGAACTTGTTTTTCTTGGCTTACTCAATAATACGTGTCTATGTTCAATGATGTTCAGGAGATGGGTGCGACGTGAGCTAACTCGCATTGGACGAAAGCCTCGTGACCCTGAGCTTGCATGGGCAGAGGTGGGAGCTCCCGGGACTTGAGGATTTGAAATTTACTGCTCTTTCATGCTCTTTTATGATCTTTTGAACCTTTTATGATCTTTATCTCAATCTCTTTCTCTTCGTTTGAATTTGAATTCAGAGTTCCTCGATGTTCCTCGAACAGAGCTCCACTTCTCGGAAGGCACGAATAGCTCCCATGACTGCAGCGGCTTTAAGGAGCAACTGGCGTAGAGCCAGGATCTTGGCGCTGGATGATCTGGATGAGGGTTCAGGTTGAGATATGGAAATCATGAATTATAGTCGTACAATATGATATTAATGTAATATTGATATAGTTTAATATAGTACAGTTTTTAATTGTATCTAATTGGACTGGCATTTGATTTGAACATGATTGGACCACCTTACTGTTCTAGTGTCAATCATGGTTTTCGTCCGTTTTGACTTTGAACCGTTGGTAGTCAATTTTCGAGACATGTTAGAAGATGTTGGAAGATATTGAAGCCACAACGGTGCTCGCTCTGCCGCTCAGAGCACAGTCTCGAGGTTGAGGAGGCCATTTGCAAAGAGACAAGCTGGGAGGCAGGACTTAAGTCGCTTAAGAGAGTCTCTCGGAGCAAATGGTTTGGGTATCGTATGGTATCGTAGTTTAATCTTTATCGTACTTTATTAAAGCATTGTACTACATGGATCTACATGGTATATACTGATGGTTGAACATACGTACATATATGTACAGTCTGTACAGTAGTTCTTTGCCAGCTATTCTTAGAGCTTCTCAGATTCAAAGCGGTTTGTGAACACCTTTGTCGCAGGATGTCCGAGGAATGATCATTGATCGTTTGATACAACGAATTGCTAATTTGTTCTAAGTTGTGTTGAAAAGAAAAAAGGTTGGTGTTGGCCGGTACTGGTAGTGCGGCATGAGAACAGAGAATTAGATAGAGCATGATAGAACTAGTGACATTTGTCCTCTAGTTTAGGGCGTCCTTTGTGACCTACGTGTGTACGAGTATGTATCAAATTGTGATATCATTGTGAGGCTGGAATCGCTGCTCTGCAAATTCTGCTGGAGCGCGGTTTCGATCCCAATGCCGCTCCATTCAGGATCTCGCTCTGCACTCAGGGAATTGTTTCAGTTGGCTTTGATCTTTCCATGCAAGTGCACCACAGTGAACATCTTATGCTGCACCATAGCAATCCACAACATGCATCGCTCCATAGTTTACCTATTTGTACTATATTGCATTGTACTGCTGTAATCTCAGATCTCCTCGCACATTCCTCGCATATCTTGGCTTTGGCTCAATTGTTACTTTTGCAAACTGTGATGACTGTGATGTAAAGACGGTACATCTCAGTTGCAAGGCCGCTCTTGCTGGCATCGCTTGCAGGGACCGAGCAACAGAGCATGCTTGCCCAAGCCATGATATCAATCATCAGCCTTGCGAGAATGCCCATGGCACACGGCACTGCGCATTTTCAAAGCTGTATCTCCAGATTTCTCCACAGGTTCAGGTGTCATTTGGAGAACTGTACTTGCAATAGATTGCAATCAGCAATTGTGAGTTCCAGGAAGCTTGAGTGCGCTTGCAACTCGCAGGAATCTTCACGCGGCACAGTTTCTTTATGTTCGCGGTGCTGACATGCATCAAGGAGGAGGCAACCAAGAAGACTTGAAGATTTGTTGTTTTTTCAAAAAGTAGAGATTTGGGAAGGATGGAGCGTTCTGGAAATGCATCATGAACTATCATATTCCTGAGTACTAAGTACTTCCTCCAGGCGAGGCAATGCTAGTCTGATCTTGTGGTGCAACAGTATAGATTTTAAGAATTGGATGTGACTGTATGATGCAGCATTTGCACAATGTCAATTTATCCTTGGATGCCCTTTTTCCATACTGAACGTCTTTTCAACCTTTTTCCGGGCTTCAGACATATTTTTTGTCTTGCTTTGCATGATACTCAATAGCTACCATGGCACGAGGTGCTAGCCAGCATCAGCAATTGCTTCCAATCGATGGAGCATCAGCTTGCGGATTCTTGCGTTTGGCTCCTAGACTATCTGCCATGTTCAGGACATTTCAGGACGACGCCAAGCAATACTGTCTTTCTAGATCATCCTAGTTACTTGCCCAAGTCAATTTTGCTACCTGCCCCGACTCGGCCGTAGATACTGAGAGCGAGGCGAGAGAGCGAGAGAGAGAGAGAGAGAGATAGATAGATAGATAGATGGATAGATAGATAGATAGATAGAGATAGATAGATAGAGATAGATAGATAGAGATAGATAGAGATAGATAGATAGATAGAGAGAGATAGAGAGAGATAGATAGATAGATAGATAGAGAGAGAGAGAGAGATAGATAGATAGCTAGCTAGCTAGATAGATAGATAGATAGATAGACAGAGATAGATAGAGATAGAGATAGATAGAGATAGAGAGAGATAGATAGATAGATAGATAGATAGATAGATAGATAGATAGATAGATAGATAGATAGATAGATAGATAGATAGATAGATAGATAGATAGATAGATAGATAGATAGATAGATAGATAGATAGATAGATAGATAGATAGATATAGAGAGATAGATCGATAGATAGATAGATCGATAGATAGATAGATCGATAGATAGATAGATCGATAGATAGATAGATCGATAGATGGATAGTTGGATAGTTGGATAGATGGATAGGATTAGATTAGATTAGATTATGTAGATTTGATTGGATTAGATTCGCTTCGCTAAGATTAAATAGATAGAGCACGCGCGCGTGGGCGCGTTGGCCCAAGTTGGCTGTCGGAGCTTTTCTGGGTGTATCGCTGCTGCTGCTCATGGGTACCATGTGCTGCTGCCGCCGCCGCTGCTGCTGCTGCATCCGATATTGTCATACTTGCCATGGTCATGCTTGCCATGGGTTGCCTTGGGTACTCGTAGCCATGGGTGCGCTACCCAGTACTGTATCTCATTGTATCTCAAATGCCAGCACTTGCAAAGGAGTTGGAATGTGAGGCACCAAAACGGGATTTGATTTCTGCTGTGTGGGGCCACCAGTATGTTTGTACAAATATGTACAACTTATGCACCTTTCCGAGTTGTTGATCTTGTTTGTGCTGCTGTTTCTCACCCACGGATATGCCCTTCGCTTTCAGCCACCGTGATGGTGACCTGGTGGGGTGTGACTGTTGGTTGCTGTCAAGTCAAGACTGTCTTAGATTTCATTGACGGATCGACCGGCTCGATGTCATTTGTCAGCTGGGCTTTCGGAGATAGTACACTGCAATGGCCTACAATGGCGTACACTGCAACCAAGGCCTCGTGGCCTTCTTCCGGGAAAACGGTTCAACTGGTGCCAGGGCATTGCATTTTGCTGCCAGCCCCGGGCTTTGTCACAACCTGTGCATTCAACCGAAATGCTGAAATCATGTGAAATCTATGCAACTTTTGCTTACTTTAGCTGTTGGTACTTTGAGGTGGCGGACACCTGGATGTTTGCAGATATTTGCTGGCTACCGGGGCCTGCAACTTACTCTATTTACAAACGATGACAGCTGGAGAAAGCCGGCTCTGGTAGTCCGAAATTCTCGTACAGTTGGAACCATCTTGGCAATTACTATCAGACATCTGGAGTGCGCATAGAGTTTCAATCTGCTGTGTAAACATGTGTGCGAGGTGAGTCCAGATCTCAAGGCTGACAAAGGAATTTCAGCCTTTACTCTTGCTCTGTTGTATGGTGAATGCTTGGCTGCGCTGGTGGAAGCCTGAGAGAATCTGAGAGATCAGAAAACCTCATTGTTTCGGCCTGCTTTCGGCTTTGAGTTGTTTGGGAGACTGTGCATTACTATGACAGCCCATGGCCCTGTACAAGCGAATCACTCAGGTCTTGCTGCCGAATTGTTCACCTGCCAATCTTGAAGAGGCGCATGGCGCACATGGAAAAAATCCCAGCCTGAATCTTCCGAGTCTACATGAGTCTACAGTCTATAATTATATATCGGGAGAACGTGTTTGGTCGCCCCAATGCTTTTGCTGATTAGAATGCGCTCAGTGTGTATGCAGTTGAACACGAACGTTATTAGGAGGCTTTTGAAACGTGCGCAACTTCTGTGACACGTGCACAACTGCTGGGAAACGTGCACAACATCTCTGACACGTGCACAACATCTCTGAAACGTGCACATATAGAATACTTGAAAACACTGGGTGGCGGTGAAACACGTTATACAATATATCCAGTAGTACCCGCATGAGGCGGGACGGAAGTTGCCTTAGGGTTATACTATAACACTTTTCTCATCTATAGAACTTGCATGCGCCGTGCGCCAGCGAGGCCCGTTTTTTTTTTTAACTGTTGCGCTGCTGTTCAAGAACATGACCTGCGCGGCGCGTGACCCCGGTGCAATGCACAAAGTACTTCCCAGTACTACTTTGTACTACTACAAAGCTTGCACAAAGCTTGGCCCAGTACTACTTTGCACTACAAAGCTCGCAAAAAGGACTTCCTAGCACTACCTTGTACTACAGGGCTTGCACAAAGCACGTCCCAGTACTACTTTGTACTACAAAGCTCGCAAAAAGAATGTCCCTGTACTGCCTTGTACTACAAAGCTTGCGCAAAGCTTGGCCCAGTACTACTTTGTACTACAAAGCTCGCAAAAAGGACTTCCTAGCACTACCTTGTACTACAAAGCTTGCACAAAGCACGTCCCAGTACTACTTTGTACTACAAAGCTCGCAAAAAGAATGTCCCTGTACTGCCTTGTACTACAAAGCTTGCGCAAAGCTTGGCCCAGTACTACTTTGTACTACAATGCTCGCAAAAAGGACTTCCCAGTACAACCTTGTACTAGAAAGCTTGCACAAAGCACGTCCCAGTACTACTTTGTACTACAAAGCTTGCAAGAAGAATGTCCCTGTACTACCTTGTACTACAAAGCTTGCACAAAGCACGTCCCAGTACTACTTTGTACATGCATGCAACAGTCATGCAGCCACTACAATACGTTTTGCAGCATGACGTGGCTAACCCGCATCTCTCTACGCACATGTCGACAAAACTACTGTTATGTTATGAGTTATGTGATGTATTGTTCTGTGATGTAAGTCTCACACCACCCTTCTCACACCACGCTTCACGATGTATTGTTATGTTATGTAAAGTCACTTCATGATGTATTACTATGTGATGTAAAGTCTCACACAACCCTTCTCACACCACCCTTCTCACACCACCCTTCACGATGTATTGTTATGTCATGTAAAGCCACTTCATGATGTATTGTTACGTGATGTAAAGTCTCACACCACCCTTCTCACACCACTCTTCATGATGTATTGTTATGTCATGTAAAGTCACTTCATGATGTATTGTTATGTGATGTGAAGTCACTTGAATACCACCCTTCATGATGTATGGTTATGTCATGTAAAGTCACTTGAATAAAAGTCATCCAACAATTCGGAAGATTGCTTCCTAACTTCCTTTGATAATATGTATTTAATATGTTTTTTTTTAAAAAAAACTGTATTTCAATCTTACGTTGGATCTGCCCAAAGGCCTTGCCCGGCGAGGTGTGCTGGAGAGTAGGCGGAACAGAGAATCAATTGGTTTGCTGCAGTTCGGTGTGGGAGTCGGAATCGTTGTGGCATGTTGGCGGCACATTTCCCGACATCGTCAAGGCTTGGCGGGTGGCTCCACTGTGTTGCATTTAGCAGCACATTTAGGTGGATCCAGAGTGCTGCTGGCATTGTTTTCTGAATACAAGAGTTCAACGGCTTAAGGGCATTGCTTTGCGTCAGGTGTTTTTTTTACTTTCATGGAGAAATAAACTTTGACATTTGACGTGCTAGATGACTATGCGATGCTATGTGATGATCTCTGTTTAGGGTTTGGTGATGTGTTGTGCGTTCCAGATGCAGACCGGTGCAAATCGTTGCGGAGCCAGGAAAGACTACTGGCTCCACTGCTTGAGAGATGTCCAGTGCTGCTGAACCGTGCCAACTGGGCGCAGGAGTCGAAGCAGAGCTGTAAAAAAACGCGGTCACTTGGACCTTTGTCACTTGAACATAGCAGGACTACTTTGTCCACAGGGTACTGGTATGTGTTGAATTGTGTTGACCGTATTGGTTAGAGAATGAGAAAAGGAATTGAAAAGGAATCGAATGTAAATGATCCCAACTTTCAGGAGATTCCCGCAATGCTTGCTCCCACAATGTCCCGCACTTAGGCCCGAAGGAGTTTGTAGGTTGCATCAGTTGAAGTATATTACAACATATTACAACAAGAAAGGACTACCCTGACTGTTGGATTCGTTTCAGAATTTTCAGCTGAGGATGCGACCCACGCTGCAACCACGATCACTTCATGCATTCGAGGCGTTGGGCGAACCGACCTCAGTGACTCTCTCAAAAAAAAACTGACCGCTGCAACTGTACTGCAAAGTCTGCGTCTAGAGGAGTTTTGAAACTTGAAGGCCTAGTTCTCCCATAGAAGTCCAGTGGTCACTACAGTCACTAATGGCAGAGATTGGCTACAACATGGACTTGTTTTCCGTTTCTTTCCCTGTCCTGTCCATACTGCATATCCGTGTAGCAAGTCAGAATCAAGTTGATGCATTGTCATCATTTTGCTCAAGGAATGCCCTGAGAGTGCCAGCGTTGAAGATCGAATGAAGGTTGCCATTGCAGGAGCCCGCACCTGAGCAATAAAGGAGTGAGACATGGTGAGTCTTGGTGATTCAGAAGCAATGCACAGGCGTAGGAAGCAGAGTGGCTAAGGTCCTTGGCGAGGATGCCAGTGCCACCGATGACCAGCTGAAGGGAGAAATGTGTGTGATGGCCTTGATGATAAGAGACAAACCGTGAACATCAGCAATATCAATATCTGTAGTAAGTATATGATATACGTAATACAGATATTGCGTATTTTGTCACCTCGCCTAGCTATAGACTATTATAGACTGATAAGAAGATACATCTGCGGTGATTTGGGAATCTGTCTTTCAGCATACCAATAGTTTCATCCGTTTGTTTATTGAGGTCATTTGCATGGAGGGCCCAGCAGACGGGGTCATCTCCCCAGTCTTCTTCCTGTGCCTTTCACTGCCATGAATGAGAATCAAGTAGCTTGTTTTGAATCAATCATTGAAGCTTGCAAGGCTCGCAAGACCTAAATGCTCCTGTTGCACTGCCAGGAAACACCCTTCAAGCGACTCTATTGTGGCCACTGCTTCCATCGCGGTTGCACTTGGCTTAGGTATGCATGCGGGATTTTTCGGTTAGACACAGCAGTTGATCAATATGTTTATTGCTGTTAAAGTTTATCATATTGAAACTCGCGAGTCAAGGAGAACTTAAGAAGGACTCGCAGATGGCTCGACTCATGCATGCTTTGCAATCCGTTGTTGATGCTCTCAGGTTTGGGTGGCTGGCGTGCGGAGGGACAGAACGGCGCATCATGCGTTTCGCTCAGTATCGGACAGAAGGACGATGCCATCAGATGCTTGTGCAAGTCCCGCAAAATCATCAAAAACAATTACCTGCCTGAAGCGCTTTGGAAAAAATTACTTGAAAATTCAATGGACTTCCGTGAAAGCGACAGACTTAGGCCCGGCATGCAGAAAACCTTTGCCTGAGCCCACTGCTCGTGCGGAGGTGCGCAGAAAGAATGTTTGTGAAACAGTTCAGCTGTTGAGTTGCATTTGGACCTATGAAATGAGCGATACTGATTGACAGTCAGCATACCATCAACTTTCAACAGCAAGACCACTCCGGGTACGCTTGAATTCTAAGAAATAGGGACATATAGGGACTGTTTGCCCGATGTTCCCAGATGTTCCCAGGCTGGAGGCCTGACTCTCCTTGAGCTGGCGACCCTGGGAAACTCAGACGACCTGGCATCCCTACTTCTTTCAGTAGGAGCAGGCGGCAAGGCCTCGCGACTCGCTTCTCAAGTTTGAAATATTTTGAAATGAACAAAGCGCGGCACAAAGCAAGGCAAAGCAGGCTGTGCAAAGTCAATGCCACGCCACGTGCAAATTTCAACTTTCCACAACGCATTGCCAGTGCCTTGCCAGTGCCGCACCCGTTCTGCGGCTTCAACAGCACTGCCAGGCATCGAAGAGCTCGGACATCACGCCTCTCATGTGGGCCGCAGCCTGTAGTGTCTTTAAGCAAAGCATGCACGACATGATACGATATGAGTGATGGGATGAAGTGTGTTGAAGTCACAATTGACCAGAGTTGATGAGTTTTGTGTTTCTGCCTAAAAGCAACACCAAGGCGCACTGGAAAGGATGCGAAGCAGTTGCAACCGTCCTTACCTCGAAAGGCCTGAGCTGAGTTGAAACCACCAAAAGCTGTGACTGAGCTCCAGCCTAACACCAGCCAACCTGGAAAGCTTGCAAAAAATGAACCACTAGCCGCTGGGTGCCTGTGATATCCTGTGATATTCTATTATGGAGTGGTTGCACTTGCTACTTGTACAGGCTGGCAGCTCACCAACAGTGACTTGGAAGGCAGGGAGATGAGTATTGCCATGGATTGCTTCAAATTACAAGCTGAGATTGTGACCAATAGATTGCGATAGATTGCGCATGTTGAAAAGGGTCTGACATGGCTGCATGAGTTTGTTTTTAAATGTTCTTAGCAGGCACCACCTTCTTACTCGTAGTGTCAATGGGTCACAATAGATTGCCTTCTTCTCTGAAGTGAATCGCAGCTGTAAGTACACCCTGCTTTAAACTTCGGCTTGACAAGTTGTCACGTGTTATCACTATTATCAATGAACATGGACAGGACTGCAAATCCTGCGGAATTTGCAGCGTCGTGCCAGCAAGCAGCAGGCAAGTTAGCGGTTGGTTAATGTTGGATGTACACAGAGTTGATATTAGCCTTGTCCTGGAAGGCCACTGAGGCCGCTGCACAAGAGGGTGGGAGTAGCAGCAGCAAGCCGTCTGGGCCTTTGTCTCATGCGAATGGAGGAGTGAATCATATGGAAGGAGTTGAGATGTGTCGACTTGCCAAACAGGTCGGAAAAGAAGAATCAAAACGAAGAGGACGTTCTAAGAACCTCTTTGAACCTTTGATGTTGAAGGTCGTAAACTGCCAACAGATCGCATTCACGATTATGTTGCAGACCAAAAACGGCTATACCACTGGCAGGAAAAAGATAAAGAGAAAGACGAAGAGGATGAAGAAGATGAAGCGATCGAACCCACAATGTGCATGCCCCAACCGATTGATCAATCCAGCGTTTGCACAACTGTTGATCAGATTGATCATGTGGTGTGTTTGGATACACACCAAATCGAAAATGGCGAAGTCAAAGGTTTGCATGCCAACTGGTAGTTGCAAAGATGGCACTTCATCTCTAATGAAGAATGGATGAAATCCACCCTTTGCATCCCTTTGCCATTGTTGTTCTGCAATGCGGATTGAACGATACTTCTCCAAGATTCTCCAAGGAGATTCAGCAGTCGTACAATGCTAATTTAAATTGCTAAACATAGGCTGCTGACCAGGCTCTTTTCCACTCTTCTGTGTTCATGGACTAATCGATATTAAATGATATTAATATATTAATATTAATATACGTATATAAATATATATAAATATGATTATATATATATGAATCACAATCATTTGTGCATATTTGTGCAGGTTACAGCTGTTGGAAGTTAATGTCTCCGCTTTGTGGCACCACCTGTGTGCTCCGGCCTTGGTGACATTTTGGCATTTTAATGCATTTGAGATGAACAGAGAGCAAAGCTTTTTTGGAGGGCTGAGGGAAATGTGAGGGAAATCAAACACAATTCAAGCACATCAGAGAGCAAGAGGGGGCAAGCGAGTTCCAGCCAAATCCGGCTTTGAGTTTGTTTGACGCTGCTCAGTTTGAAGCGGATGTTTGAGAGCTTCGACACAAGGCCATCAGACACAGCGAAGCTGTCCTCGAATTAAGAGTCCTGGCCCAAGCGACCGGCGAAGCTTGCTGTGCTGCAGCTGGATTTGACATGATTTCGGATTGATTTGGCCGTTTTGAGAGCTGGAGGCACCTTGACCTCAAAGGGTGGACAGTATGCTAAATCAAGCCATAGACTGCTACCTCCCATCTTGGACCACTCGGTACATCTCAGTACTTCCCAGTACTGGGCGGATACGAGTACCATATGAGTACCATATGAGTACGATGAGTCTTGAGATGATTTGAGATGTCTGGATGTCTTGAGTCTTGTCTTCTCTTTCATCGTCTCAGCTCTTCGTCGGTGTTTTGCCAGCTCCAAGGCACGGATGGCCTCAAGTTCGAAGCCTCAGTCTGGAGCCCGAATCTATCCAAATCTAGGATATGTATGATATAGATGCAGTGTGCACAGAAATGATGCAGAAATGATGCGGGAATGATGGGCCTAGTCTGTCGCATCATGCGTTGGGAACTTGTTCTTGTGCTCCAATCTGCCATGATGCGTTTGCCTTGCGACTTTCACATTTACATGTGTCCCTCTGCCAAGCTTGCTTTCCCGATCTTTCCTGTTGATCTTTTTCACTCGAAGAAGCATACAATCTGCAGGGCCCGTGGCTTCCACCCACACAGATTGTTTTTTATTTTTTCCCTGCGCAGCTTACAATGTGCCTGTCACGTATTCATGTGTTGATCTTTGGGGGTTCTTGGGTTGTAAGGTGGGTCAGTTTGATGGAGTCTGTATACGACCCGGGCAGTGGAAGATAATAGATGATAATAGTGGAATGCTGAAGCAAAACACTTGCTTCCATGGCTTGAACTCACGCCTGTGTCGAGGTCTGTGATGACTGCAGACCGGCCTAGAGTCTGGCTCTCGGAAGTTTGCCTCTGACCTAAATTTGTTCCGTGCTTGCTCCTGCAATAGAATCCATAGATGTTTGGCAAGATCTGGCAAGTCTGTCTGACTGTCTGGAATCAGGTTGATGACCCTCAACCAAGCGCTGCGGAGTTTTTGAAGGCCTGCAGTGCCGCGCACGAGTCCCAAGCGATTGTGTCAATTTGATGTTGCATAGCGAACGAAGTACATCGAAGTATAGAGTAATCATGCAGGGCTCACACTTTCGGCAGAATCACCTGCAAATTTAGGTTGTCAAGTGCTGGTGAGTCCAGCATTGCTGCCGAAAGCAGACTCGAGGCACTCTCCCACATGCTTCAAAGCTAGTTTCCCAGTAAATTCGTTCTCTTTGTGTTGTGGAGAAACTCTTGTGTCAGCAAACCCCCGACCTTCCACCAAGATGGATACATCTCCCAATTAGAGTTGAGTTTACAGCACAAGAGCAAAAAGGCTATTCATGGCTAGTTCAAGTCCAGAAACCCTTGATGAGGTAGCAATAACAATGCCTTATATGGTATTGCATGGTCATATTGGCTCAGATTAGTTCATTCTGTTATGTCATGGAAATTTCTTTCATGCCACTTTTGGGCTCTTCTCCTCCAAAGGGACGCATTTGTCGATTCTCTGAGGGGTAGCCACGTAGCCTCTCAGCATTGGATAGAAAGTCTCCCCCAGGCAGCGAAGGTGTTTGCCCTCCGGCGGTTTGCCCGAAGCTTGAACTGCAACGTGCATCCTTGAACTACGTGGTCGAGAGTGGTATATTGATCTACCGAAAATGCGATAATATGAATGCATTGAAGCTGTGGTTATCTACTAGAGTACTTCTAGCTGGTTTGCTATGTTTTGCTTATGCCTATTTTCTTCCCTCTCTAATGCTGAGATGCTATGTTGGGCTTACTTAGCTGCTGTGGACAATGACCTTAGGCAGAAGGGCAAACCCAATCGATCATGTCAGCAATGGCCCTGCGTCAGGGACTCAAAAGGGTGCAAACAAGATTTGGATGGCATAGGGGTAGCAGAAATGCAGTTTGCATGTTCTTTGGTCATCAAAGACTCAGAATTGAAATGAATAGAATGAAAAGAAGGAACGTGTATATATATTTGACTATTTGTAGAATTACAATAATTACATTACCAGTACGTGTTTTTGCAGAGTGACAAGTTGCGAAGTCTGGATGACCTAGGGCACTTGCCCTTCAACATTCCAACAGTCTGAGGTCTGGTTTTAGGAGCTAAACCTGGCTCCGCAAGGCATTGAGCCATGTTGAGCCATGTTGAGCCATGCTGAGCCATGCTGAGCCATGCTACGTCATGCCGACTGAACGTGTTTGTTTCAATTTTTGCGGGTTGGTCTTAGCAGCATCTTCCCGTATCTCTTGGATGTTGTGTCCTCAAGACAGTTGAAGCCTTCCTGATTTTCACATGGTGCCTGGACATAAAGTTGCGACATAAAGACAGGCCAGCTCTATGAACGTACAGAAATCCCTCACCCCTAAAAAATGAATATTGGGGGAGGAGGGTACACCCCTCAAAATATACGTTTCTAGGTCTGGGAAGCACGTTCCCCGGGAATTGATTTTATTCAATATTTTTTGTTTGGTGGAGGGGGGGTATAGCTTCATGGTGCCCCCCCGCCTCCTATTGCTTATACATTTTAGGGGCTATCTGCAACCCCCCTCTCTGTTTTATGGTGTTTTATGCATTTGTAGGAGGTCCTGTAGGTATTCCCCAGGATGGCCGGTGTATTGACCCCCCCTGGTCTTATACATTTATAGCTGTTAGTGTCATCACTTCGAAATCAACTACCGTACCAGAAGGTTAAAACCATTTAAAACCGATGTCCCAAGAGAATTCCAAGTAAAGACCCTATTCTCTTGATTCCACACCTGCCAGGTGAGGGTCTCTAGATTCTAGATTTTATCAGAGTTACTTTCTCCTGCCTTCCTCCTCCGTCCTCCTTGCTCAATTGCGAGCACCAGATCGCAGTGGGCGCTGCTGGGCTTCAACCGCGAGCTCCAGAGCTCAGTGGGCACTGCTGGACCTCAACCGCGAGATCCAGAGCTCGGTGGGCACCTGCGGACCTCAACCGCGGGCGCCAGATCTCAGTGGGCACTTCCGGGCCTCAACCCCGAGCTCCAGAGCTCAGTGGGCACCTGCGGACCTCAACTGGAGCTACAGATCTCAGTGGGCACTGCCGGGCCTCAGCCAGCCAGAGAGAATGTCAGATAGAATGCCAGAGAGAATTGTCAGATAGAATGCCAAAAAGAATTTCAAAACAGATGCCAGATAGTATGCCAGAAAGAATGTCATAGAGAATGTCAGAATAGATGCCGCAAAAAATGCCAGAATGAATGCCTGAAAAGATGCCAGTTAGAATGTCAGAATAGATGCCGGATAGAATGCCAAGAAGAATGTCAGAATATTTGCCAGGATGAACGCCAGAAAGTTGTCAGAATATATGCCAGAAAGTATGTCAGAATAGATGCCAGAAAGATCCAGAAAGAATGTCAGATAGAATGTCAGAATAAATATGCTATATATACTTCCGGATGGTATGTCAGAAACTATGTCAAAATAGTGTTTCAGGGTGGGGATCGCTCGAAGAAAGCAATTGTTCTTTTTTTGGCTGTTCTCAAACATCGTGGGAAAACTCCAAAGGTCGTGGCTTACAAGATCATCTTTTGCATTCAGAATTTGCAACCCATGGGATATACTTACAATATCTTATAATATCGGATTTTCCGGATTGTACAGAATGGAATTCAATGAGCTTAGAATTTTCGGTGGATTTTGAATGTGCAAGCAGACTCCTGGTGCTTGGATCATTGAAGTTACGGATCCGTAGATTCATACACACGCACACACACATATATATGTACGTATATATACATATACATATACATATACATATACATATACATATACATTTACATATACATTTACATATACATATAAAATATGTGAATATATAGATATATGTATGTAGGTATGTATGTATGTAACGTAACGTAACGTAACGTAACGTGACGTGACGTGACGTGACGTGACGTGACGTGACGTAACGTAACGTAACGTAACGTAACGTAACGTAATGTAATGTAATGTAATGTATGAATGATTGCACAGAGACATTTTTTTATAATTTCTGCCGATGCTAGGCTCTTGGCAAAGTTGTCTGAGAGTTTCATGGCGCTGTGCTCACAAGCACCCTTGCGCCCAGCAGATGAGGCGCCCTATCAGTGGAACCTGATGGCTACCCAAGAAACAGGATGAAACAAGCAGGAACCATCAGGAACAATTCAGAAAGGGGCAGTGGTTGTGGATATGATTATAGAGTGGTTAGTGGCGGGCAGTGGCCTCTCCTGTTGCTTTGGTTGTTACAAAGTGAGAAACTGAGGACATGAAAATGATTGAAAATGCATGTAATAGAAACATAATGGAGCAAACAACCTTCTAGTTATTTCCCATACACTTTCTTGGGCCCACTTGGTACATTTCCTGTCCAGGAAGTGCTCCCCCTTTTGACGCAGCTGCAGCTTGCAGTAGAAGTGCTCAGCCCAGATCCACCAACTCATAGAAACCCACTGTGTTTCACCTGAAACCACAGAATCCACAGCCCCTGAAGCCCGTCTTCATGGCCTTGGCACATGTCGAAGTCTCCGAACACTGTTCATGTGGCTTGCAGCTGAACATGAGCGAGAATGGAATGGAGACATGCGAATGCATAACCCCAGAGAGTGGAGCCAGACTTACAACTGTTTGTGGAAGCGACCTTCTGCGCATTTCGCTGGCGCCATAGGTTCTGTTTGTCATGAAGCAATAGTCTTGCTTGTTTCATGGCAATCCAACCTGACACATGGAGTAGGAGAGTGCAGATACAGTGGTGCAAGACCCTGCTTTTGAAACACCAATAATTACTTGGTTGAAGAGTCTTGCCCTGAAACGCTTCCCTCTTTTTGCAAGTCAAGTGGGGGAGTTCTGGCTGCTACGAAGCTTGTTGTAGGTAGTGGTGGAGGGTAACAAAGTAACAAAACATAACAGGCCATTATCATTATTACAAAGCATTTCGATCCAAGTGCAAAGCCATGCTTGGTGACTGGTCCTGCCGTCACGTGCAAGACAAGGCGGGTTTTGTATGATTCGTTGTGGCATGCTGCAGGTTTTTTGAAGTTTCCAAGAAGGTTTTTCCCTGCCATGGTTCTTGGCATCGCAGATTCAGAACCTCACAAGCAAGAAGATTATTCGTACTGCTGCTGCTGTTCTTTCCGCTTGCTTCTAGCAAAACATTGTAGGCAGGACGACTGCCCTTTCTAAGCAGATATCACCAGGCAGGGTTTGACAAAGGTCATACCAGTAGAAACATAGAAGCCAACCGAACACCAGAATTGGAACAACTCTTTGATTTGTGGCCAACAGGCACCCCGGCGCTTGGAGGATGATTATGAAGTTACCACCACCGCTTTGCCCTCGGTGCTTCGCAGTGAACCGATTTTTCACACGATGATCACGTGAGTGAATTGCTGAGGTCCTCGGGTCTGGAGCAGTGGAAATGTCATGTTGGGCATTTGTCGCGTTCAACCTTCGCGACGAGTGGCCATAAAGACTGCAAGTGTCTCGGCAAGAATGAGCTATATTTTTTTGCCTGCCACTCGGCCTCATTGTGGAAGCGCGCCTAATGCTTAGGTCTGGTCGGTGTTCTACCTAAAAGACTTGAGGCTCGCGCTTCCAGCAGATCCTTTTCTTGCTGTTATTTGTTTATCATTTTCTCCCCCCAAACCCTGGAAGGATCTCAAATCTGAGCTTAAGATCCTTCTTTGCCTCGATCATCCACACGTGGTTCGCCTTCTTGATGTCTATGTGTCTGATGAAAAGCTGGAGATGGTAATGGAATGCAACTCAGCAAGAACAGAGGGTATGAGAAACACAGCAAGCTTAACTGGCTTGCACCAAGAAAATTAAGTACTTCTGTGTGGCACTATTTGTGAAGGTGTTGGTTTTGCACAGCGATCACATGTGATTGTATACTTTGTTTTCTTTTATTTTTAATGGCGTTTGAAACCGAACCAACTCTTTGCGTCAAGATGGATTCAGTTTCAAGCAGGGTGCCATGCCAACCTTCGATGACATGCTCTCTAACAGAATCAGCAAGGCTTGCTGCTACGCTAAGGCATGCAGGGTGGTGAATTGAAGAGGTCCGGAAGGTTTCACATGGAGGAAGAAGAGGTGGGAGATGGAACAAGTCATTCTACAGACTTCAGTGGACTCTGTCATACGTGGAAGCTCGTGCTTGACCCAATTCTGGTGAGGCTGCTGGTCTTCTACAGCAGATGTTGTTGGCTTTGAGCTATTTGCACAGCCACGGCGTTGTCCATCGGGACAGAACCAAACTAGTGCGTTTTTCTTTGAGAGATCTGCTACGACTGGCACCGTGCCTTATTAGTTGTCTTCGAAGCAGTGAATTGGAAGGACCTTAAGCTCAGCAACTTCATGTTCAGCCGTGACAGGCAGGCCATGTTGAGAAACACGTGCAAGAGACGCACTTATTATATGCACCTATGATGAACATGTTTGATGGATATTCGTCACGTCCCATATTTGGACCTATTTGCTTTTGGTGGAGGCAAATTCTTAAACTGATTGATTTTGGCTTGAGCAAGTTCTACGCTCATCCAGAAGTGACCTGGCTGCAGCTGCAGCAGATCCTTGAATGCAAGGAAAACGTGATCCGTTTCAAATCAATTGCAATGTGGCTAAGGGAAGAGACAGCTTGGTGTCTGGCTCCCAAAATCAAGCTTGTGCCTTCAAATTCATGGAGCTGACAGTGACTGTCTGACAGTGTAGGTGCAAAAGCTCACGGCCAGAGTTGTATGTTTTGGTGCTAAAGGATGCAAACTTGCTGCGGAACCTTGGGATATGCTGCGCCGGAAGCAAAGAACTCAGACAAGCGTCGGGGTAGCAATGCCAGGGCAGCAATGCCAGGGTAGCAATGCCAGTTTCACAACATTTCATTGTTCAATGGGTGTTGAATTCCGTTGATAGGTTTGACATGCTTTAAGTGTACACCAGGTCTTTGATGCGACGTACACCAGCCAATGTGACACGTGCCTTGGATTGGCAAATCACAAGTGACTCGTGGCTGGGTGAAGCTGGGATGCTCGTGACGTGAGGTGGAGCTTGGGTGTAATCACTTACTTTTTGCTGTCGGTGGCTGAGTCTGGACATCACAGGGACATGACCTGCAAAAAGGGAGAACAAGGGATAAGAGAGGTAGGGTTGTTGCAAGAGAGCACTCAAGACTCAAGGTCTGGAGAGATGCCATTTTTTGTGACCGAGTTGCACACAGACTGCTTGCATTCCATGTGTTCGACGTGCTTGGGCACAAGTTATTATAGACTGACATATGAGTCAGAGGTATAACATAGAGGTTGATTTCACAGCATATGGACACTATTAGGACAAAATTACACTTTGTTTCAAAAGATTTCAAAAGTTAAAATCTGCAACAACACCGTGTTGCCTGAGGACACTGACGAGGATGCGTTGATTGCAAAGACACAACGAGGTGAGTATGCAATGAAATCTGATAGTTGGATGAGCCTCTCATTGGAAGCTATGGACTTCACCCAGGCGACTCTTTTGCACAGAGTGTTTGGCACAGATGTGTCATGATGTGTCGATATATACAATATATATATACATATATATATAAAGATATACACATAATTATATACATATATATATACATATTAATAAGTTGTGGAACAGCAGGAGATTCTCTCGACAGAGCGAGCAATGGAATCTCAAAAGTTGTCCAAAGGCATTGCTGCGAGTGGACCCGGAGAAGCGAATGACCGCAGCAGAAGCATTACAGCATCCATGGCTCAAGGCCAACCTGGGACAACTGGACTGGACAAACTTTGCGCTCTATAGTAAATATGATCAAACCTCAACTTCTGTACATGTCTATACCGATACAATACACTTGCACATGGTAGTGAGAACTCAGCTCCTTTTACCCACTAATCAAGGGGTTGACAACTCAAAGGATTGATCTAGCATCACACTTGGACAGAAGCAAAGGTCAAAAAAGCCCCCCACAGGAATTCATTGAATCCGAGTTTGTCCTTATTTGTTTTCTTTTGGCTTTGCAGGCTTTTGCCCCACGGGGAGTAGCCTGGATGCACTGTCATATTGCATGCTGGAAACTTTCAGAGACCGACTAGTTGCACTCAGGGCAATGATGCGTGCAAAGTTCAGATTCAGAGTGGCAGTCTGATGCAGTCTGATGCATTCTGTATCATTCTGTGTTCTCTGAGGTCAAGGATGTGTCTCATTCGATCTTGGAGGAGATAGGTCAATTTGCAGAACAGACTCCTTTGCGGAGATGTTTTCGAAGATTGCTACTAAGCGGCACTTTGTGGGCACTGGATAGCTAGAGCCATGAGGCCTGCCCCTGAGCTTAGCTCCAAGGATTGCAATTAGCTTGGAGGACGAACAAACTCAAGAGCTCCGGGAGGCAAGTTGAAGATGGCCATGCCATGCCCATATTTGTGACGTGCAGATACGTGCAGTAGATTGACAGATTTGACAGTTGACAATTCATACTTTTCGAATTTGGGCTAACCATGGCTAACCGATCTAACCCTTCAGATCTTTGCATTCTTTGCTCCTAGAAAGTAGGCGGCTGAGAGTCCTTCATCAGGCCTTCTTGCATATGGACGTCCACAAACGCGGAAAGATCACGGCAGCGCAGCTGGAAAAGATCCTGACCCAAAGGTTCTTTGATGCAAATCAGTGCTGTCTTGGTGGAGTTATGATATCGTATGATATCGTTATGTTGTGCCATTGAACATGTTTAATTATGGCCATTTTGAGTGTTACGCACAGCATCTTCTCATCTTCTTATGCGTGATCGGTTTTGCTCCTTTGAGGTTGGACTGGGATCCAAGAAAAGCAAGAGATGCCACAAGAGCATTGGACTTTACTGGGGACAATTCTGTTACCTGGTTGCAAGATGTTGCAAGTTTGTCATCAAGACATGTAAGGCGCATGGAGGTACAGTGTACACTGCCGAAAAATCACTCGCTGGATCTATTGTAGTCTCCGAGACCTTCGAGCCTGTCAAAGCAAGGTCCACTTTTCCGAGTTCTTGGCAGCGCAACTTTGAAGCAAGAGAGAGATGTGGTGTCAAATGATGTCCAATCTATTCTAATGTCACGTTTTACATGTGTTTACATCTGTTTACATCTTTTTACTGTACTGGACACACTGCACATACTGCACGTGCTGCACATGAAGCAAGTGCTGATTAGAGCTCCATCAAAGCTCGATCTAGCAAGGACTTATCCAACGTACAAATCGGAGGAATCGTTGCTGAGGGCAACCTTTAGAAGGCTTGACCGTGAGGCTCAAAACCTGCTGCATGAGTTCACAAAATGCAAAAGCTGTTCAAAGATGTTCAAAGCACATTGTAACATTCCCATACATTCCCTACATTAGTCATTAGTCAGAGACTGGTAGGGAGCCACAACGAAGGAGCTGATAGGATCTGAATGGTCCATACATTCTCAGGATTCAATGACAAGCATTATTTCTTACACTCTAAATATGGTCCCTCGTGCTCCAAGAAGTTTGCTGGCTTAAGAATGGTGCTGACATGTATCCTTAGGATTTGTGTCCAGATCAGTCCAGATCAACAGCTAGTCTATTCACTTGAAGCACTGGTACTGGATTTGGTTGATGTCGCTGGACACAAGACCTTCAGAGACTCCTGTTTCAGTTTTGCTTCAGGCAAAAGGCCATGTCAACCTTGACGATCTCCATGCAATAGGGTGGAGGGAGCTTCGAGTAGACTCAGGATCTAAATTGTTACTCGACTGAGACGCGGCATTTGCAGATTCAAGCTCTTGTATTGGGTCCACCATGGTGCGACCTGCAATATGTAACCACATGTGGCACATGTGCAATGCCGACTGTATGATACTGTATCCTTTTGAAGACTTCTTGCGCCAATTCCAGCAGATTTAAGCCTGACTTCAGCTGACTTCCATCCTGTACAACGAATGCACCGAGTTTCCACCAAGGTTGGAGTGGCTCCAAGCTTCTGCAGGCATAGCAGGGCACCAATGATAAACATCATATGAAAACAACAAGATTTGCACAAAAAACGCATCAGTTATTGTCTATTACTGAATTTTAACTGTGGTGCGGTGACCAGAGGACTACGCCAGTGTACCTTGGTTAGGTTTCTACCAGCAATGTTCTGACCAACCCGCAGTTTCCACAATATTCTGCATGTATCGGATAAGAATAAGGAAAGGACGTGGGCAGACCCAGACAATTCAGGTTGTGCCAGATGCTAAGCTAAGATCGTCTGAGCTTCTTGCACGTTCAGCATTCTCAGCCTTTCCATGAAAGGCCAGCGCCTCCATTTTCCTCAATTCAAAGCTTACCTTGATGGTGATTCGGACAGCATCGGGAAATGTCAGCACTGAGAACAGTTTGCGGGGTTCACAGTGTGGAAGCATTGTGCATTGTGTTTATACAAGGGTAAGGGTACTGTATGAGAGAATCTGCAGGATTTGTTCCAGTAATATCCTGAAGGGCTAGGCATAATCAAGACATGTGACATGCTGCTGAAATTTCTGTACAATTGGACTTTCTCCAGGACCCAACGTGGACGACCCCCTCAACAAAAAGTTGCTGCGCAATGCAGTGAAGATGTAGTTGCTGGATTTTACTGGTGGCTGATATTCGCTGTTGAATCTCTGTTGTCCATACGACGCACTTTTGCCCAGGAGGGTCTGTCAAGTTTCTTTGCTACGGCGACCGAAGACATTCCAACTATCCTATCCCATCCAACTGATCACGAAAGTACCATATGAAATTTAGCTGATGGATCCTCCTGGAAATCAATGATTAAGAAATCATTGTTATCGGTTGAATCAATCACAGTGACCAACACATGGGAAGAGTAGTTTGCGTGCTGGGAATGCTAGTGCTGCAAACTGCGCCCAAGGGAGGAAACATGTCCTCAGTGCAGTGTGCAAAGCTGTCGCACTATTGTCATTTTGTCGGGCCGCGCTCGAAACTGGAAGATGACAAAATACAGCATCCGCCAAAGTTTTTTTGGAGAGTGGCGTTGACTGTTCATGACTGCTCACGACAAATTTACATAATTATATAATTAATTATCATATAATGAATTATAATTATAATGCATAATAATGCGTGTGAGTATACAATATACAGTAATTGCTTATAGACAGACAGACAGATAGATAGGAATAGATAGGAATAGATAGGAATAGATAGGAATAGATAAGATTAGATAAGATTAGATACGGTAACGACATTTAAATATGTGGAGGGCGGGCCAGACCGCGAGGCCCCGGAGGTAGTATGAAATACCAGTTCGTATATTTAAATGTAATTGCACCATGTTTTAATGAATTGTATTCCGTATGTTTAAATGGCTGGGCGGGCCAAGGAAAACCTTCCCGGAGGTAGTCGAAAATACCTGTTCGTAAAAATCCGTATATTTAAATGTAGTTACCGTAAGATTAGATAAGATTAGATTAGGTAGAGAGTCTTTCCTAGCTGACAATTCCAGCTAAAGACCCTCCACCTCTGAGGCACTGCCTGCCGAGCGCGGCGTTCAATTCCTGGGGTTGAGCAGGGTGCCCCAAAAAGTGAAGCAATGAGATGCTTCAGACGCTTCAACATTGTAAACGTTGTAACATTTTGTGCTTGGGGGATAACCCATGGAATCCCATGGAGACACTGCAAATGCAGAAACGAGTCAGAGGCAACCGGTCAGGGGGTTACGGCTGCCTTTGATATTGGTTTCTCGACGCCTATTCTTTCAGGCTTGTCAACCGCATCTGGAACATTGAGAGAGGCTTTAGCAGGGGAGGCACATCTGGACCTATGTTGCTTGAAGTTGCGGCCTGTCAGGAATTGGTATGGTTGGTTTGTATTTTTATGACAAATCAAGCAAGTGAAACGATTTCTCCCGATTGCTGTCACTTTCATACTGACAGAAGCCTTCTGAAACCAAAATACTTGTTTACAGACACATATGTGCCACTTCAATCCACTTCAGGTTTGAGAATAATCTTAGTTCATCTTACTTAGTTCTTACAATTGTGTGCAGGACTGTGTCTAGCTGGAGCCGATACTGTACAGCAGATACCGACAACAATGATCAAAAATGCAAGTGAATACCAACGAGACACAACGAGATGTTCTGAAGAGATTGGCCAGGTGGAAGGCCTGGCCGCTCTTCATCCAGGAAACCTTCTGCTTTGGAGAGGCAGCCTCTTTACAGTTTTTGACAAAGGTACAAGAATATTCAAAATATGTCCAAACTGCAACAGATTGAAACACTCTTGGCCTTTCAATTGCCTAACTGCTTCAGCTTCAAGACCTTTGATATCCTTTTATCCCGCAGGCTTGCATTACTCACCCACCTTGAAAGTGAGTTTGCAATTTCAGTCCAGCGGTTGTCCGCTCCAAATATCACTGTAACTTCTGCAAGCGTGCGTTGGACCTTGCTCATGTCAGGCTGTGTGTCAGTAACATCCGATCCGATGTTGGCAAAAGAGGCAGCGGCAGTACAGGTCTCTCCCTCTCTCTCTCTCTCTCTCTCCATGGATCAAATCTGACTAAACTCTCCTCTACGCGCAGAAGTAAATGTCAATCCATGCAGATCACGGTTGCAAGGTCCGCTCCGATATTCTTCTCCGTATGTAGAGCTAAACACTTCAGCAGACTTCAGACTGCGTTCATGCTGTTTAGTAATGTTTGGTAATATTTAGCAATTGTTGCTGAGTAACTGGTTTCAACGAGGTAAAAGGTTTTTTGCTAGATCGAAGGCTGCTCTGGAGAAGAGTGTGTCCCTGGTGTTCAAGGCGGCTGCATAGCAACGGTGTGAGAATGACGTGACTTGACATGAGTTGACTGAGTTCGTTGACATGTACTATCATTATCCATCATTTACTATGTTTATGATGTATCTGTGTTTCACAGTTTCACACATGTTTCGCATAGTTCTTTACCAAGCCTCATTTGCAGGTTCGCAGCAGCTGCTCCAGAGATGTGGCAGCGTGCGACAGCTGGCTCATCTGGGACTCTTAGGACTAATCTTTTTCTCCAATGCACCTGTGAATTGTTTGAGGAACAGTCGAAGACAAGAGAGTACATCCGGAAAAGTAGCTGCTTCTTATACCCCCCCTGGTACATTACTTGGTTTGCTTATGTTTGCTTGGTATATTACTTGGAACTGGATGGAACTATATAGTATGACTTCTGTCTTTTTAATACGTTCGATATCTAGATTCTGACCTGGAAGGTACTCGCCTTCTCCTGACTTGAGGGAACGGCTGCTACCTCCCAGGCCCCCGACAAGTTATGAGAAAACATGAGAATCATGAGAAAGCTCCCAAACAAGACAAGGCCTTGCGCTACTGGCGCTACAGTGAATTCGCGCAATGTTGTGAGAATTTGGGGAGCGCTGGAGGCGGTGCTTCAGAGTAGTCGGAATCTTCGCCCTGGAGGACGCTGCACTTACAGATCTTGCAGAAAGCAGTAGACGTGCCTTCAGTGTGGTGTATACGATATGCACGAGCTTTCAGAAATCCATTCGGTGTTATTTGACAATCTACTGTGAGGACATGATTCTGCAACGCGGAACCTCCTCCTCAGGCATGAACTGATCATACAAACTAGACACTTTGTGCCTTTGTGCCTTTGTGCTGCACTTTGTCTCGAAGTTTGTCCTTGAACATCCTTGGACGTTTTTCGTTATTTTTCGTTGACTTAAATGTCCGGATGTGTGCTTCTTTTCAGCTTCCTGGATGTTGAGACATGTTGAGACCACTTTCTTAAAGCTGGTTGTAGATGATTTCAGTGTTACTTGCGAGGGCGATCTTGAATCATCTACAGTACGTTCTTTGGAATTCCCTCCCCTTGCTTCTTGCCTTCTCACAGTCCTTCCCACATGTTCTTTTCCCTCCTTTGAATCTGTCTCGGTCTTTGCCTGGCCTTACTTGAGAATTTGCTGCTGGATTGATTCTCGGTATTCTCATCATTTAAGAATGCACTGGTCCCCGCTTTTTTGTTCACTGAAGGACTGAAGCAGGATGTGATGTCAGTGTATGTTGGGGTGGGGGGATTGGGAATATTTAGAATCCGTTTTTTTCAGATTTGTTTGGAATGACTCTCTCTCAAAGTTACCCTGTCTTGTTTGCATGTAACGATGGGGAACACCAGCAGTGACAATCTTCGACTCTCTGGGCTTCTGCACAGGGACCAAGTAATGTTGATAATGTAAAACAATGTAAGATAATGTAATAATATAGCATGTATGTTGATAAAAGATGGTATCATTTGATGACCTTTTCAGACAAGACCTGAAGCACTCACCTCCAATCCGTGAAGAGCTGCAAAAGGGGGAAAACAAGTGGGGGGGCATTCCTAGAAGGCTAGCGGCTGGACATTCCAAGTTTCTGGCAAAGGACATTTCGCAGTCAATACTGAGACTTGACCATGGTCCAACATCTTTGATTTGACAGGGGGCAGTTCTGGCATTTTGTTGAAATTCCGCTGTTCCCTCAACACCGCCTCCATTGGAACACACTTCTTTTCAGATAGTCTGGAATGAGCAGCGACTACGGCAGGCCATGCTGCCGAGCTACTTGAAGCCTTTGAGGCCTTTCAACACTTGCAAAGTGTGTCAGCGACGACCATGGTTTTCTCATCTGATGTTTGCTTTGCCACTGGGTTCTCCTGGTCAAATGTTGAAGAAGACATGGCAACAGAATTCAACGGAAACAGGCCTCAACTTGACCCAAATCATCTTTCTGATCTTTCTGCAGATCTTTCAGATACCTTTATAGTGGAAATTTATACATACCTCTGAATGCTTAAACCAAAAATGTATATATTGTATTATATTGTATATTATATAGTATTATAATATTGATTAATATTGTACAGATTTTATAAATTCCTTTAAATCGTGGCTTTGCACTCGATTGTTCGTCCATGCCATTGGAAGGTGCCCAATGTGGGCTCTTCCTTCGGTGCCTTGGCCTGGGAGGCGAAGCCGCTTTGGATTCGGTAGCAGAATGTGGCATGTTTCCAGAAGCTGAATTGAATGCTATATGTATATATATATATTATATTATATGTATATGATATATGATATAGAAATATATGATACATATGCTGCGATCTGCTGCGTATTGCTATTGAATGATATTTTAGCGATTTTGGAGTGTTGGATCAAATTTCGATATACAATATCTGAAAGAAATGCACACATAAATATATAGAACTGATTGGATTGGTTGACTTGGTCTCTATGAACACGTGGTGGCAACGTACTGCATGTGTTTGCAGGAAGCATGCACAAGGAAGGCGGCTTGCGTTGTTCTTGATGAAGAGGAGCAGCCACAGGCCCGGTGTGCTGCGCTTTTCCAAATTTGCCTTTTGATTATACATTTTGATTATTGTTTATTGCTTGTCTCAGGCAACTGCACTGGCAGCCAAGATCTGAATTCAAAAGGATTCGCCGACAGCACCTCTTGTGATCTTTTGTCATGCTTTTGGTGCAATTTCACAATCTTTTTGCATACAAGTTTGTTACATTGTACGGAAACGTATTGAATTTGTTCCAAAGCTGCAAGCTAGCGAAATCCTGAGTTCAGACCTAGAGCCTTATGAAATCGTATGAAATGTGTTAACATTTATTCCATTTGCCAAGCTCGTTGACGAGCCTCAAAAGCCATTTGTTGTGCATCCCAATTAGTTCATATTCAGAAAAGAGTTGAACAAGTGAACAAGGCAATGGAAACGAGAGGCAAATGATTGAGATGCTACTCTGCAAAGAGCTGTACCATTCTTTGCCCTCAGAATCGTTTTCTGAAAAGAGCCACGTCGGAGCCAGTGCAGCCAAGAATCCAATCAGCATGTGCGGTTTGCATCAGCGACAATTTGACTACAGGACAAGGCAGTGAAAGCTCCTCATTCTCCATCATGTTCCCATTTGTCTTGGTAAGCCTTTTGCAGGACACAAAACAAGCGTCATTGCAAGAACCTAGGTGAAACATGTCACAGCCATACGTTTTGTAAAGACTGCCGCTCCTGTTAGTGTGAGCTGAGAATATCAAAGAGAAGAAAGACATTGAGAGGACAGCTAGCTCCCTGGGAGCCAAAGTAAGATTTTTTGTCCCTACTGATAGAGCCTAGCCCACACTTCCTCTACAATTTCTTGTGCTGGCAGGACAGCAAACAACACAACACACAATCATTCTGGATACATGCCTAACTACAAAAACCGCAAACAAGACTGTGAAAGTCATTCAAGAGCGTGAACATGTTAAAGCGTGCTGTGTGGCCCATGAACATAGAATATTGAAACAAAGGTGTGAAGCAGAGAAGACCGGCATGAATGAGAAAAGGCTTGCGTAAGGCGTAAAGCTTTCATCAACCTGCAATGCTGCAAATAGACAAGAATAGAAGGAGAAGGATCGAATTGCTTGTCAGTGTTGCTGCAATTGTATGAATTTAGATGCATTTAGTGTTTGCTGCTGAAACACAAGCATGCGTGTGCTTGCTGGCGCTTGGCTCAGAAGGACGCGAGCTTTTAAGTTATTGGCATCAACATTCAGCAACATGTCCGAAAGTTCTCGAGCTCCTCGTGTTTTATTTGTTCTTCGTCTTTTTCCCCTGGCGCTTGCCTCTTCTGAACAGTGAATCATGGCTCGGCGCTCTATCAGTCTTCTCGCCCCTGCAGTGGCGATCGTCAAGATCTCAAAGCTGTTCTTCAAATTTGCTGTCAATCCATATCAAGCCAAAAACAGATTGTGACATTGCCTTGAGAAGCCAAACACACCTATAAAAACCGTGGGTCTCTTGCACAAGACATCATTGAGCATCTCGAATCTCTAAAGCCCAGGAACAGGACTTCCCGAGTTCTCTGGTTTCACCCTTTGGACTATTTTGAAATTTCTGGAATGTCTCCAGGTCTTGCTGTTCAGTGTTGTGACTGGACAGTTGAACTTTCTGGTGCCGCAGCTTTCCCACAAGGCAGGAAAGATCAGGAAAGCAGCCTGCTTCCACTGGTCCAACTGAGCAAATTCAACAGCAAGAGCTAAGATGTGCGCCAGTGGCAAATAGATTGCAATTTGTAAGAAATTCGTTCACCTTCTCATATCCAGTGGTTCCAGTGTAATTATAATATATTATAATATATTATTGATGTATTTGCATGTTTCTGCTGCCAGGGACAGATGATGGGATTGCTTTCGTCTTCTACTTTGACCCAGGCTCATGAAATTGGTGTCAAGGTGTAAGGCTGTCTCAGCATGTCCAATGAACGATTTGTATCGACTTGTGCCTCAGGGTTTGAAGACGTCATATGCTGCATCTGAGAGTTCATCACAGCCACATTGGGCGGTCGCTACTCGCCAAAATAATCAGTGCTGCCAATAACATCCAATAACTATGCGGAAGTGATCTCAGCAATTTGGCCTTGACATGCCTTGACTACTCTTGACTTTGGACATCTTTGGACATTTCGATGCCTTTTGCAATGCCACGGATTCTGCCGAGGCATCCGCCGTCGTAGTTGCATTGGCGGCAAGGAATCTCAGAAAAGTTGCAACGAAGGCACCGCAAACTTTATTGTCGGTGTCAAGACAAGTGCATACACCACACCTGCAGGAGGGTCAAGACTTAAGACTCAAGACATTAAAGTACTTTGATTTAAACGTGCGGCGAGAGTATGCTGCGATGTAGCAGAATGTAGCACCCATTGCACAACTGTAGGGAACAGCAAAGGTAAAGGAACCCAAAGATACCCAAAGCAGTTACTTAAGGCACTACTGCCAAGAATAGTCTGGGCTGCATTGTTGTAAAACTCAAATAGTATAGATATGTATAGATAATAATTATTAAACATGTTTGCAACATTTTGCAGCATTGAATGCGGAGCATTGGGGGACTTTCCAGGCAAAGACAAAGAAGCAGCAGCTCCGTGACATGACGGCTCCAGATACTGCTGATGCGGTTCGAGAGGTGCGATGTGTTATCTTCAGCGAACAATTTCCAAGTGATTCCAAGTGTGCATTTGTCTTCGATTTCCAGGAGAGAAAGAAGGGAGCCAAGAACGTGAAGGGAGGTTCAAAGATGCAAAGGCAAGCAATGGCAAGCACGCAAACGATGATCCATTGTGACATCGTGCGAATTGATTGATACAAAACGGGCAGAACGGGTGTCTAGTGTGTGAGGTTTTTCAGCGTCCGGAATCGCAAATTCTGGGACTTCACAGTTTGGCCTAGCCCTTTGATGCAGTGAAGTATTCTGCATGCTACACAGATAGCTGAAATATGCTCAAGTCAGAATCAAGTCCCATCAAGGCCCCGAACCTATTTCAAGCGCGTTTGGGAGAAGAAGGACCTGACAAGAGATGACGGTATTGAAACCCGGATAAACCCGGTAATGGATGGTTTTCCCTTCCGCATTTGTGTCCCATTTGGATCCATTTGGCTTCACTTGGCCACACCATCGCTCAGTCATGTGGCAGGATTGGCTTTATGCTGCACTCTTTGGCTCCTCGGAAGCACTGTGGCAAAAAAGGACAAAAGGAACTGCCGAATCCTTGATGAATTTGTTTTAATTTGATGATCTTAAAAGATCTTAAAATGGCGGTGTCATGCTGTGTCCTTGATAATTGATATTATAATTGATGATTTTTATCCTTTTTCATCTGCCGTTTGCTCATTTATTTCGTCCCGAGGATTGATCCACGCCGGCCAGAGTCTCACTCTGTAGACAACGAGTGCAGAAAGATGTGTTGACTTGAGAACTACGTAATTAATATTAATTAATTACGATGATCTTGACTGTACTTGAGGCTCACTCGCTTGTATTATGGCATATGGTATTGAAATTCAGACATTGCTGGGTGTATTCTGTAATGTGGAGGAGCCTTCTGCGCGCCTTTCTACTTCTCTTGGGATGCCCTTGCTGTCGGTTTCGTCGGCTATGCTGCTTGGATGCACAATCTGTCTAGAGTCTAGAATGCACAACGCATGTAATGATATGCCATGATATGCCCATGCTATGTAAGTAGGGATGATTGTGATATTTACAATATACTTCGTGATATTTCTGCAAGCCATGCTACCCAGACCCATGAGTAGCAAGAAACATCGTACGAGACAATTGGTTTCTGCATGTTTCTGCCAATATCAGCATACATATCTAGATGATTCTAAATGTATAATGATAATTAATGATATTAACGTAATGATATGTATAAATATATATGTATGATATGTGTCATATGTGTGATATGTATGATATGTATGTATGTATGTAATGTAATGTAATGTAATGTAATGTAATGTAATGTAATGTAATGTAATGTAATGTAATATACTGTACTGTACTGTACTGTACTGTACTGTACTGTACTGTACTGTACTGTTATGTATGTATGCATGCATGCATGTATGTGTGTATGTATATTATGTATGAATGTATGTTATGTTATGTTATGCTATGCTATGTTATGTTATGTTATGTTATGTATGTTGGTATGGTATGGTATGGTATGGTATGGTATGGTATGGTATGTATGGATGGAATGTAATGTAATGTAATGGAATGGAATGGAATGTAATGTAATGTATGTGTAATGTATGTGTAATGTATGTGTAATGTATGTGTAATGTGTATGTATTGTGTATGTATTGCGTATGTATTGCGTATGTATTGTGTATGTGTATGTAATGTATGTATTGCGTATGTATTGCGTATGTAATGTAATGCAATGCAATGTAATGGAATGGAATGGAATTTATGTAATGTAATGTAGTGTAGTGTAATGTTATGTTATGTTAGTATGTTAGTATGTTTGTTTGTTTGTTTGTTTGTTTGTATGTGTGTTTGTTTGTTTGTTTGTTTGTATGTGTGTTTGTTTGTTTGTTTGTTTGTTTGTTTGTTTGTTTGTTTGTTTGTTTGTTGTTTTGTTTGGTTTGTTTGTTTGTTTGTCTGTTGTTTTGTTTGGTTGGTTGGTTGGTTGGTTGGTTGGTTGGTTTGTTTGTTTGTTTTTTTGTTGTTTTGTTTGGTTTGTTTGTTTGTTTGTCTGTTTGTTTGTATGTAATGTAATGTAATTTAATGTAGTGTAGTGTAGTGTAATGTAATGTAATGTATGTGCAATGTAATGTAATGTAATGTAATGTAATGTAATGTAATGTAATGTAATGTAATGTAATGTAATGTAATGTATGTGCAATGTAATGTAATGTAATGTAATGTAATGTAATGTAATGTAATGTAATGTAATGTAATGTAATGTAATGTAATGTAATGTAATGTAATGTAATGTACGTACATTGATTAATGACGTATATAAGTATATAATGTATAAAATTGTTAGAGCAGAATATGTCTGGCGTATGGCCTCTATGGCGTTTGAAATCGTTGGAGAACCTCACGCCAGGTCATCACTGGTATGTTGGGCATCACGCTGTCCTATCACCGCCAGCTCGCGCACCTGTCCTTCAAAAGTCCCAAAGCTCCTCAGCTACGCCATGCTACTCCCAAATATGACCAAGCAAGGAAGGAGAACAGAAGAGTCGAACAGGATCACATAAAATATATTGAGTATATATATATATATGATTATATATGTAATTATATGTATAATATAAATATATCATAGTATATCTTAAAGTAATACTGTATATTTTTTGGTTGGCCCAACCTCTTTCACTTTTTCAGGTTGTGGAATACTTCATGGCTTACTGCGGAGCCCTGGCCATGCAGAGCCATCCAATCAATTGGGTGTCATCTCATCGGCATCACCATGGAGCAACTGTGCTTGGACAGCAGTTAGCTGATAAAACATAGCATATTATCATGATATTAGCTGTCGAGAAACATGTGAAAGCAGCACTGTATCACTGCATTTGCCGAGAAACCTCCAAGAAGTGTCCAATTGACTGAATAGAGAAGAAGCAGCTCAATCCGCAACTGCAAGGACACAGCCAATGATGTCCATTCTCCCAAAGATGGATTTTGGTGGTCGCACGCAGGGTGGCTCTTGGACCAGAAGGCCGTTCTAATCAAATTGCAATGCAGTGAGATCCGTTAGTTGGTACTTACCCCAAGCCTGGAACCTGCAAGAACGGCAGAAATGCAGTCAAACTCAGAATGCGATTCTGCAGCTAATGTTGTTGCCAGGGAACTTGGATGAGGGTGGACAAAAGCAATGCTGAGGATTTGTCAAAGCAGCGACCCAGCAGCAAATTTGCAACGGCTTTGCATTTCCTCCTGAAGTACTGCAGCTCAAACCCTTCTGCTCAATGTCTTGTGCCTGTTCGGGCTGAGGTGGTTTTACAGGTTCTTGCAAAAGACATATCCACTGCATGTCGGAGCCCAAATTGTTTCCTGTCGTGGCTGGCCCTGCCTACACACAAGAGAAACCATTCCCGACACAATCAATCCCCCGACACTTTGAGGCAATTGTCCTACCCATTGTGGGACTCTACTGTTGGGGTGGTTTGCCATATGCAAGCGGCCAAGTACTTTTTGCAGTGCAGGATTACAGCGTAGCTTCAGTTTTAGCTTTATTTGATTCAGTCTTGATTTTTTTTCCAGCACATGTTCAAAACTGAAAAATCATGTTCACCATACTTTTCATTTGGATTTGACTGACTGGATTTTCCAAGGTGCTTTGGGGATTCTTCGCAAGAGTGGTATGGACCTGGCACATCACATGGGCGGTGAATTCTGTCAGCCACGTTTGGGGTAGCTCGGTTGAAAGTCTCTTGATAGATATAGCTGAATATGCTGAATAGATGTGTTTAACTGAAACATATTGAAACATATACCACCATAGTCCATCATATACCTTCTCTAATTCGGTATGTTTTTAGATCAATCTGCTGCCTGTAAAGCAATCTTCGTTGACACTGTTGGCGTGTTTGCCCCAGGTTTTCAGGACTGGAATACAGGTGACATCTCGATGAACAACTGGCTGATTGGCATCCTCGCATTCGGTGCCTTCGTCAGAAAAGCTCGGCAAATCAATCAAAGTTGACCGCAAAGGTTCTGGAAACTTGCCGTAGTTCCGTAGCCTTGTCCTTTGCAGCAATCAGCACATATGACATATGCATGTGGTATTCATGTGGTTTCACATGTATAACATTGTATAACTTCACACACAGCTGTTGTGTTTGAGTGCGATTCCAAGTAGTTTGCTCCCAGTGCTTGCAACAGCAGAATTTCCTGGCGTTCCTCTCACTCTAATGGTGCAGCAGGATTTTCTACGATTTTTGCATTTAATTTGCTTGCAAAGGTGAGGGCTGGCACAACAACCACCATGCATTTGAGACATCGTGCCGACATGGGCTGCAGCTTGCCACAAGATCCGATTTCATCAGATTTAAACAGTTGCATTCAAGGAATAACTGGAGAATGTTTGGTTTTCATTTGTCACGTTTGTTCGGCCTTTGTGATTTGGTGATATGCATGTTCAGGCCAGTTACTTGCAGTGCTCTTTCGGTACTTTGATCCTTACAGAGTCAGCGTGCAATTCGTAGTGTTCGCCCCCCCATGACATCATCATGCTGTTGTGTCCCCCAGTGGCAGAAAGCTGCAGCTGGGGACCAGCGGATGGGCGGACCCAAGTCGAATACCGCTTTCAAAAACTGATCAATGATATCATATCACCAAGGAAATGGTGGCAAATCGACCAGCCCTTATCCTTGACTTCGCAATGTGGAAATTGCATCAGCAGATTCCCAAAGGTTTGCATGCATTGTGCAACCAGTTGCTTTTCTGCGTTTGCACATGTTGGAATTAAGGATATGACTTGGTACACCATAAAGTTGCTGGAGTCCGTGGGACTTGCATGGGATCTCAAGTATCCGTTCCTCGGTCCTGTTGAGACCACGTTTTTGAGATTTGACTGCCATTGACTGCTCAATGGTTTTGAGTCCATCGGTGCTTGTACATCTACTGAATCTACTGAATCTACTTCGCAAGACATGGGCACTTCCAAGGAGTGAAGCCAAGAAGAGGCTCGTTGCGACGAACATGTGTACAAGAAGATACAAGAAGTAAGTAGCGAATCAAATGTGCGTGCTGCATCTAGGTGTCACATGGTGCCATTTGAATGATGTGACAATGAAGAAAGGTCATCTTCCCTTCAGGAAGCTGAGTTGGGACGCAGACGAAGCGGCTAGCGCTGCAATTGCTTGAAACAAGCCATTACATGCTGTGAGCTCAGAAGTCGAAGAGACAAAGCAGGTGTTAAAGACAAGGGCACAAGAAACCTTCATGTTAACTTGAATCAGTTTACTAAAAGACCTGGCGATTCTAGTATTCATTTGGCAAGATTGCAGTAAAAACACGTAAAAAAACGCGTGTGGCCAACATGCCCCTTCTGGACACTCCCAAGTCTTCTCCGTACGTTCAGAATGTGTGAACTTTTCCACAAGTCTTTCAATATGCTGGATGCCTGAAATGCAGAACATGATGAGGGTGAACATCTTACAGAGTGTTCGGCTTATTTAATGGCCAGGGGCAAAACGAGTGAATCTTCCAAATGCAGATGCCAAATCTTCAAATCAAATGGAGCTGCCAAGATCTACTCAAGCTCTACTTGCTCAGGCGTTCGACCGCAGGGCCATCGCGCCCTTTGCAGCGCGAATGCCAATCCATTCCGGTGCAGGGAGCATTTGTGCCCGCCGCACAATTGCGCTCTCCTACAGGGAGTCCCAAGCAAACTTTTTTCCACATTCCGTCCGCCTTTGTAGGGCGAATAGAATTAATCAATCTAGCAGAGTTGTAAAATTCTAAAGGCACGGCCTGCGATATGTCAAGTGACTTTGCAATCCCGTGGCACGCGCTCTGTGCAAGAGTCCAAAAACAAAAGTGTTCATGTGCAGATTCTGTGAGATTCCTTGAATTCTGCATGTACCTTTTACATCAACATCCATTTACATCTCATGAAGGTAGCCATATGCTGGCTGTAAAGCTCATAATAGATCTCAAACAACTTGAGAAGCTCGCAGCTCGACCAGATGCATTCCGCAGTCTTCCAACCTCATGTGAGGTCTGCAGATGGCCATGTAGAATGAAGCATGTCATCATGCACATACATTGTGTTACATGCACATACATGGTAATTAATGCTGCTTCGTGAACCCCCCAAGGAAAGGGAATGAACAACTATTGCCCTTCAGCTTCATACTGTGAGGTTTGTAAGACTGCCCTTTGTAGGGCTGGTGCATCTTGGAACAACACATTAGAATGCAAACAAAAACCTACCACATGTTTGGAGCGTGCACTCAGGCTAGTACCAACAAAGGGCATCGAAGACATATTTGTTTTAGACGAGCCTCACAGGAGATTACGACAACTCCACTGGATCCGGGTGAACCTGCATGTATGCAAGTGAACGCCTGATAGAAGTCATGCACATTCATCCATTATGAAAATTAAAAAGAAACCATGGAACGCAGTGCAGTGAAAGCCGTTCACAATTGGAGTTGACCCCACAACCAGTTGTTGTCACAGGAATTCCGGCAAGGATAGTCGAGTCTATCAGCGTCCGAGACAAAGATTGTGATGTGGAAGGGCCTTGCCGAGACATTCTTTGGGCCTAGTGACCCTAGTGTGCCGTGCCCTGTCCGATGCCGCCTCTTCTTTGATTGCAGCATGGGCAAAGGAGCCTTTGCTAGCTCCATATGTTGTGTTTCTGGCAAAGATGCCAGCTTCTGGGCGTAGCATGTACGACGTGTTCAGGACTACACGCCTTGAAAACAAGTGCAATGACACTTGCAGCTGGTGTGCTGTGTCGTTTTGCCAATAATATTCATGATTTAGTGATATCACTTGCATCACTCACATGATCTCACTGATCTCACTTTTGTGTCTTGGTCTTGCGAGTTTTTTTTTTTTGTGTGTGTGTGTGTTTGCGACTCAGTGTATATGGCTGTGTACGAGTAGTACCGGACAAGGCGGAGGCGGAAGTTTCAAGGATAGGACACAAAAGGAGAGGTGAGTTGTTGTGATGCGTGGATGGCAGAGCGAATCCACTGATGGACCGAAAGGTGGTTGGAGTTGTGCTTTTTGGAGTGGTTGCAGTGGTCGCAGCCACAACTGCTGGATGTAGTGTGCTGTAGTGCAGCTGTAGTTGTAGTTGTAGTGTAGTGGAGTTGTAGTTGTGTGTAGTGTAATCAGTGTATATAGTGAAGTTGCAGTTGTAGTTGTGGTGTGGTGCAATGAGTGTAGTGTAATGTGATGTAGTGTAGTGCGCTGTAGTGTTGTGGGCTGTAGCGTCGTCCAGTGTAGTGTGCTGTAGTGTTGTGTGCTGTAGTATAGTCTAGTGTAGTGTAGTCTGGTGTAGTGTAAAGTAGTATAGTTGTAGTTGTGGATAGGCTGTAGTTGTAGTTAGTGCAGTATGTGCAGTGTAACGTAGCGTGGCGTAGCGTGGCGTAGTGTAGCGCAGCGTAATTAGTGTAATATCGCGTAGTGTAGCGTAGTGTAGTGTAATCAGTGTAGTGTAATGTAGTGTAGAGTGTAGTTGCAGCTGTAGTTGGAGTTGTAGCTGTCAAAGATGTAGTGCAGTGTAGTGTAGTGTAGCGTAGTGTAGTGTAATGAGTGTAGCGTAGCGTTGTGTAATGTAGTGTATTGTAGTTGTAGTTGTAGTTGCAGTTGTAGCTGTATTTGTAGTCTAGTATAGTGTAGTGTAATGTAATTAGTGTAGTGTAACGTAGTGTAGTTGTAGCTGCAGCTGTAACGGCAGTAGTAACGGTAGTTGTAGTTGTAGTTTTAGTTGTAGTGTAATTAGCGTTGTGTACTGTAATTAGCGTAGTGTAGTGTAATTAGCGTAGTGTAGTGTAGTGTAATTAGTGTACTGTAGCGTAGTATATTTGTTTTTGTATTTGTAGTGGTAGTGTAGTGTGGTTGTAGTTGCAGTTGTAGTTGTCTATCTATCTATCTATCTATTTATCTATTTATCTGTCTGTCTATCTATGTATCTATCTATCTATCTATCTATCTTGATGTCGTTTGGCGTGGCCGGCACAAGGGATTGTACACCTTGTCAAAAGTGAGCAAAACGTCAGGTTTTTCTAGCATGTCCAAAAACCAAGGCAGCCGTGGGACATTTGAAGAGGCTCTGGAAAGAGGCATTTTCCATGGCAGGCGCAGTACCAGAGACATGTTCATCAGAGATGTTAGGAGGTCCGGGCGCAGATTTCCTGAGAGTGATTGCATTTTGGAGCTTCAGATCTTCAATTTTGGGAAGGTGATTTTGTGTGACAGGTGCAACACTTTGTATGACCTGGCCTCACTTTTTCGTGGCAGGCGCAGCACTTTAAACAGATGGAGTGGAAAAATCGCAAAACGCATTGGCACGAGGCCGTCAGCTCTGCATTCAACTTTCCATTTTTGAAGGAAGCCTCGCAGAATTTCTTCGTTTTTGATGTTGTCAACTTGGAAAATTGAGGAGGTCTCGCGGAATTGCTTCGTTTTCGACGTTGTCAAGTTCAAAAATTGAGGAAAGTTTGCAGAATAGCTTTGTTTTCAGGAAATGTGCTTCGCGCCACAACGGGGTGCACCTTTTCGACGTCTCAACTTCCAAAAAAGCTCTGAGCATGCTGTGCTTTGTACATTTTGACTTGGACATGTGCTTCGCGCCACAACGGCGTCCACCTTTTCGACATCTCAACTTCCAAAAAAGCTCTGAGCATGCTGTGCTTTGTACATTTTGACTTGGACATGTGCTTCGCGCCACAACGGCGTCCACCTTTTCGACATCTCAACTTCCAAAAGTTCTCCGAGAATGGTGCGTTTTGTACATTTTGACTTGGAAATGTGCTTCGCGCCACAACGGCGTGCAATTTTTCATCTCTCATCTGGCCACATGGCTCCGCACCCGCCGCTTTAGCGAGCCTACTTTTCGACCCCGGAGCCACAAATCATTGGAAAAATACAGTGTTTTGCGCCTTTGCTTTCGCGCACCTGCATTTTTTTCTTATCGCTCTTTCTCTTCCCTAATCTTCTCTCTTCTGCCCTTCTCTTCTCTGATTCTTTCCACCTCTGCTTGTCCATCCGTCCATATTGTCGGAAGTTTGACTTCCAAACTTCCCTCGACGAATGTGTCTTTGTTTATATGTTTGTGTGTGTGTGCGCGGGCTCACTCCCTCCCTCCTTCCTCTCCCTCCCTCCCTCCCTCTCTCTCTCTCCCTCCCTCCCCTCCCTCCCTCTCTCTCTCTCTCCCTCTCTTTGCGGTTTTGTGAAAAGCAGAGGCAAGGAGCAAGTTGGAGCGTTCCAAGAAGCTGGCCAGGTGTGGTCAGCCTCTCAGGCGGTTGCTGCATGTTGCTGTCACGTCATGTCTCCATTCATGTACTGTGCGTAGTCCAAATTTGGCAAGGCAAACAGCACCTTGTGTGCAGTGCAGCATGGTTTTGCTAAGGTTGTCGGGAGTCAAAGATGCACTGATGCTACATAAATGTATCTATTTCCTGGCCCATTCTGAGACGATCAGATTCAGGACGTGCGTGTTTCTTCTTGACATCGGGATATAATGCGCTTCAGACAATGAAACAGGGTGCCTCTATGCAGTCGCACCTTTGGAACTTGGAACCAGCCTTTGCCAGGACGCTGCAATGCTTTATCCTGAATGGGGTGATTTTCTTGGGCAGGTTCGGGAGCACTTTTTGCAGTGTGTTCCATTAGTTTAGTTTTTCTAATGTAGTCAGTCCTGCAATGTCCTGCAAAAAGGAGGTAAGTATACAATACGTATACCGTATACATTTAATTTCCTCTTCAAAATGTTGGCAATTCACTTTGAGCTAGTCTTTGATGATGATGGTTGGAATGACTGCAACAAATTTGTCAGTGTTGGTCCTGCACAGTATATTGCTGTTCAACTTTGCCGTGGAACCGGTAGGATTCTCGGAAATTCAATTGTCGCGCTGTGCAGACAGATGTCACAGACAGATGTCGCGATGTCTCGAACATGGTGTGGAACACTAGTCACTAAAAATCACTACTTCTCAGGCGCTCAACTTCCTGAAGCGGTTGGTGCAGGAACTGGGACATCTGGGACGTTCGGCCGACGCATTCGAAGTTGCAACACTCATGACTCATGAATTGAAAAGGCGCCCAAAGTATCCCAAACTATCCCAACGTGGCATGTGCCGAATGTTTTCTCCCCTTTGGCCTGCGGCAAGAAACGCAAAAGGAGGATGAAGTTTGGGCCACTGATTTCATAGCCGCTGACTTAAAGGAAGCCTGAGGACAAAGTCTTTTTTTCTTTCGTTTTTTGTGCATGCGACTGGCCAACCGACAGCCCAACTGAGGCAACTTCCTTCTCAGTGCTTTACAAGGCCGAGTTTGCTTTGCCTAAATGTGAATTGAGAAGCTGGAAAAGCATGTTCAACATTTGAGGCCATGGTGTGGCACTTATGCATCAAAATCAGGACTGAACTTGAGATACACCTTGACTATCTTTCACTCCAGGTGTTTTGGATCTACCCCATCTATTGTATTTCCTTCGTGCTGAACACGGTGATGTACCAAGAGGCTCAAAGTTTGTCTTTTGTAATGTTCACTTGCAGGCCTTTGCAGGTTTCCCTTGCACCATCCCAAAAACACCTTGCCGTACAGACGCAGAAGCTGGTGCTTCATTTTTTCCCCACCTGCCAGGTGAGGGTTGTTAGATTTTATGTCAGTTGCCTCCTCCTCCTCCTGCTCCTCCTCCTCCGCCTCCTCCTGCCTCGTCCTCCTCTCCTCCCCCTCCTCGTCCTCCTTGTCATCCTTGTCGTCCTTGTCGTCCTCGTCGTCCTCGTCGTCCTTGCTCAACTGCGACCCGCGATCCACAGTGTTCTCTGCCGGACCTCAACCACGACCACCCACGCCCAGTGTTCCCTGCCGGACCTCAACCACGACCATCCACGCCCAGTGTTCCCTGCCGGACCTCAACCACGACCATCCACGCCCAGTGTTCCCTGCCGGACCTCAACCACGACCATCCACGCCCAGTGTTCCCTGCCGGACCTCAACCGCGAGTATCCCCGCCCAGTGTTCCCTGCCGGACTTCAACCACGACCATCCACGCCCAGTGTTCCCTGCCGGACCTCAACCGCGAGTATCCACGCCAAAAGATATGCCACATAGAGTGCCAGAAGATATGCCAGATAGAATGTTAGAAGATATGCCAGATAGAATGCCAGAAGGTATGCCAGATAGAATGCCAGATAGAATGTCAGCTAGAATGCCAGAAGATATGCCAGATAAAGTGCCAGAATGTTTGCCAGATAGAATGCCAGCAGATTTGCCAGATAATATGCCAGAAGATATGCTAGATAGAATGCCAGATGGAATGCCAGAAGATTTGCCAGATAATATGCCAGAAGATATGCCAGATAGAATGCCAGATGGAATGCCAGAAGATATGCCAGAACATATGCCAGAAGATATGCCAGAAGATATGCCAGAACATCTGCCAGAAGATATGCCAGAACAACTGCCAGAAGATATGCCAGGTAGAATGCCAGAAGATATGCCAGATAGAATGCCAGATCGAATGCCAGAAAATATGTCAGATAGAATGCCAGAAGATTTGCCAGTAACAAAATGTATAAATGTCATGGTGGGGATCACACGAAGTAAAGTAATTTTACTTGCACTCTTCCATACTCTTCCGTACTGCCTCAACTCTTTGCATCGAGTCTCGATTCTGTGTCACATCAGACATGCTCGAATTCGCTCTCCGTGCAGATTGCGGACAGTGCGCTTCGATCTACGCAGCGCGCTCCAGTCCCTGGCATTCCAGTCTTAGGACCCACATTTGTGCTCTAGTTTTAAGTGTGCGGGTGCATGGAGCGAGTGTAATTTCTGGTCTTGCACAGTTTTTTGTGATGGTGATGTGTTTTTTTTTTCGGCAGCCAGCGGCTTTTCAGAACGCATAATTCAAGAGACGTGGCGAGTCTTAGCCGAAGCCTCGACAGATGTGAGCAGAGTCAATTAAACTTTCAACTTACATTTGTATCATTTATGGCAGGATTGAATTCCTGTTTCACCAGCCCTGAGGTGAATCTTGTCTACCTGGTGGAGATGTATTTGGTACTCCAACCGCCTGTGTCATGTTTTGAGCATCAGTGTTGTCTTGGAGGACTGACAGAAATGCAGTTGAAGCACAGTGGAGCATGGATTCCAGCACAGAAAAGAAACTACTCGATTCCCTTGCAGACACGAGCACCGGACGCTTTTTCTGAAACACACCTTCGAGCACTCCTCGCAGCCAAGTACGTGCTTGGTAGAGACGACCAAACAGAAACACAATCAAACACATACAAACACCAATTCTCCAAAACTTTGCCAACACTTTACAGGAGCACCTGCCGGGATGACCTCTCTCCAAAAATCACCGCGGGTTAAGTCCAATAAAATCCAACAAAGAATTGGATTATCCTCATTCCGTCCTGCGACCACAGCAGAGCAGATCTACAGAAAACCTACTCCGGCTGAAAAATAGTTTACGCGTCTTACCGCATCACATTTGTTGGGTCTGAACGTGCTCCCAAAATGGGGCAGGGCGTCAGCCTCGAGCCAAGTCTCCATCTTGCAACTCGCACTTGTTGTAGAATGTTGCAGAGCAAACCAGAGCACCATTTAGTTTTGGGATGTCTTTGGTGTGTTTGATTTTGAGAGCTTGGAGGAGCCGCTTTCAAGAAGAAGCACTGTTTTTGGACTTCAAAAGCAGGGTTGCACATGGATGCAACATGGAGCTGACAGCAAGATCTTGTGACGTAGCACCACACCCAGGTGCTGAGGCTGACCCCCTGAGCCTGAAAGAGCTGCTCAGCAGAGGCGCAGAAATGCATTTGCTGCATTGAATTGGCACGAGGTGGCTGGATGTGGCTGGATCATAATTAAATAACCATGTGTGAAAGTGTCTGAAGAATATTCAGCTCTGATGTGCTGCTCTTGGGGCTTCTGGAGGTTATGTGGCATGTGACATGTGAGGACTCCAAACTCCTTTCAAACACTCAGTAATACTACATGCTCATACATGCTCTACATGCTTCAAGCGTCAAAGGGATATCACTGTCGGATTGATAAAACCTGGACCTTCCATAGTTCAAGAATTATTGAACTTTTTGGTTTTGGGCCGACTTTACACGCAAAAGTTCAAGTTTGGCTCAAATGGTGCAAAAAGGGCAAAAAGTTGAACATCAACGAACTGTCTCCTTGACCTATGTTTAGTTTTTTGGGCGACTTTTGGGTAGATGCAGATTTGCCTAGAGTATATAGATTCTGCCTGCCTGCCCACCGTAGGGATTCAAAATCCAGGGGGGGCGGGGGCATACTCTAGAAACCTAGTAGATCGCTGATGTGTGAAGGAAGAAAGTCACGTCATCAAACATATTCCATCATTTTCTCATGGATTGTTTTTTTTTCAAGAGGGAACTACCCGCAAAAAGTGTGCAAATCCCCGCAAAAAGTACGCAAATTCCCGCAAAAGTACGCTAATCAGGATTTTTCACTTTTGGAAATCAGGGTTCAACAAAATTCTGCGGGTTGATGGCTTACACTCAACCAAACTTACCATTTCTGGATCGGGGGGTGCAAGAAACGAAAAAATGGCGCAATGTTTGCAGAGGTGATTGTGAAATTAAGTGATCAGGCAACAGTGTAACACCATGTAACACCTTGATTCTGCATGATTCTGCAAGCATGCTGGTTTGAACTCTGCTTATTTTATTGCAGTTTGGGGATGTACTGTACCAAGTCCAGTTCAATATGATCTCGGACATTGTGTAACAGTGTAACACAATGCTGTGAACACCGCACTTGGGGGAAAGACTGCCAGAACTTGGGGATGGAAGAGGAATATGGATAGTTCAATTTTTCTCAGAATAGTTGAGTTTTGCCTCAAAAAGTGCGAATAGTGTAAATAGTGCAGAAGTGCAAAAAGTGAAGAAAATTCCTCACTTTGGAAGGATCAAGTACTTAACTTACAAAATTTACAGTAATTGAAATGTCACATATCCTTCCCCATTTTGTGCAAACCTCGGTCAGGCACTGATAGAAGCAGCCAAGTGCAGTTCTTGCCTCATTTGTTCATCCGAGTGGGGAAGTTTTGGGCACGTGCAAAAGTGATGATACATGCCGGACTTTGTGGGTATACATAAGCATGTATAATCATGTATGTAAAATTATGTAAATATGTACGGTGTATTTCGATGCATATCTCAAACGTATACATAGTATACATATGTATACATGTAGTATACATGCTTTGCAGGGTTGCAGCCTCAATGGCCGGACTTTGTAGAAACTTCAGATGTACTCCCATAAGGCCTGCCTCAGTCTCGCAAGACCTGAGCAGCCCGCATCATGTGAAGGCTGAGCGAAGATGCTTTGAAGTCGTTTAGTTTTCCTTCATTGCTCCCATTCCTCGGATCTGCTTAAAGGATCTTAAAGATCTTAAAGGATGTTAAAGGATCGTAGAGGATGTTAAATGAATCTTAAAGGTAGTTTCAGTGATGGCTTTGCGAACTGAATGTGACAGACGTGATACGAGTCTTTCACGGTGGGTAGGCATGGAGCTTTGAAGCCCAAGGGAAATCCATGGCGGAGGCACAGAAATTTCACAGTCAGCTTTGCGATCGTGGCGATTGTTGCGACTTTTCAGTTGTTTCCTGAAGTCTCCTGAACACCGATTCGCTTCAGGCTCCAGTACCTCTTTGTGACAGAGGCGGCCTATTCAATGCAAAATTGCACAGGCTCCGCTGCGACCGCTGCGATGAAATGAATGCGAATGAAACTGAAAAGTCAAGCCGCGTCCAGCAGATGAAGATGTGTCGTGTAGACAGGAGCCGCAGCTATGTCATTTTACACATTCAGAAGGCTGAAGCAACTGCAGCAGTGAGAATCTCGGGAATCAGTGAGTCAATGAGGGCAGCTAGTTAGGCGATGAAACGCTCCAAGAGGAAACATGGATTTCCTGTCACTTGCTGCAATTTGGTGCAGCTGGACACCATTTTTATACAGAGAACAGATGGCAACAATACATTCAAACATCAAACAATATGAGTATGAGCATTAGCGTTGGCCAAGCGAATCAAGAGTCAGTCCTACTAGCAGGTTTCTTTTGGAGATTGCTCTTACAATGCAAATGTATCACTTAGGTAAAGCCTTTTGGAATTGGTGGACTCAATGACTTTGCAGCTGAAGCAGGCTCTTCAAATTGCAAAACCACTTGCACGTACTTGCACCACATGCAAAGGGATGAAGAGTTGACTGTGGTCAAGCCTTGTAAGGGCTTCTAAGAGTTTCGGTGACTGGTGAAGTTGTTTGGTGTTGTCAGCCGGTTTATGCCGATCTTTTGGATTTCTTCACCTTGCCTGGAATGTAAAACTTATATATATAATTGAGCAGCATCAAAAACCTCCATGAAGGGATTTAGTATTCGGGTTCATGTGGGGAACCCCCCGCGAAAGCCAAACCTTCACGCGCGAAAGCCGCGCGAAAGCTCTGCGAAAGGAGTGCGTCAAGGTCGAGCCGCGAAAGCAGTGGCGAAAGCAGGTAGATAGTAGAAGCACATTCCATCATTTACGGGCAATTTTCCGCGAAAGCAACCGCGAAAGATATTACGAAATACATGTCGCCGCGAAAGCCAGAACTGTGCGCGCGAAAGAACCGCGAAAGCCGTTGCGAAAGCTTGTAAGGATTAGAACCAAATCGCTACCCGGTTTTCGACGCCGCTCAATTATATAATATATATATATATTATGTGTATATATATATATACATACATATATATATATATATACTCTGGTGGTGCCATGATTGAAGAGTCACTTTCGGTCTGATTTCTGGTTGAATAGTGTTGATATGTTGATATGTTTTGACATTTTTTAGGCACTCACCGCAAAAATCACTTGATTTGCCTCACATCTCCTCAGGCATGGTGTGCAGCCCAAGAGGACTTGGTCCTCCAGATGTACATTGGAACAAAGTTCAGGACAGGCTGTGCATGGCTGCGCTATGCTGCCACAGGGTGATGTTATTAACCATGTTATTGTACTATAGTGACTCAATGTGACTCATATTGTACCGGGGTCCAAGATCGTCCAAGATGGTCCAAGTCGGCTTAGGGCAGAAAGAGAACTCAATATGCTCAATGCTCAAGTTGCTCAAGTAGCTCAAGTTGCTCAATGCAAATAATGTGCAATGTGTTGAATGTCTGGCACCACAGTGCATCGCTGTCGATGTGCTGTGGAACTGATGTATTTATATAGGTGTTTTTGTCATCATATCGGAATGTATTGAATGTGTTGAATATGTGACTTTTTGATTCGGTGTTTGTTGCGGTTGTTATATATACAGTTTATAGATACAGTTTATACTTGTTGCGGTACATGTGCGATCAGCTTTTCAAGCAGATTGGATCAGTGTGCTGTTCCTTGCATTGTCGATCTCTTTCGGTGGAAGGTTTTGCCCGGGCTTTCTCACGAGATCTTTGTATGGCATCTTGACCTCTACATGTATGTATAGCGTCTCACAATGTCAGACAGTCATATTTTTGCATACATCAAGGCCCTTCTTGGTGTTCAGATTCCCTGCCAGCTTTTGTGTTTGAGTGCATGTTGTCATCTCTCCGATGAAATGACGAAATGGAAAGACGGGAAGGTTGAAAGATCTAAAAGACAAACCGCTCTAAGATCTAAGGCATGGCCGAAGCACTGAGGCAACGCTGCGGGTTTGTGACCCAGATTAACGGATATTAGAATATATAGAATATACCCTCTGGTTATTTAACATAGCCATGGAAAATGGCCCATTTATAGATGATTTTCCCATTAAAACCTCCATTTATAAGGGATGTTCCATGGCTATGTTAAATAACCAGATGGTATATAGAATATTGTATATTAGAATGTTCGATACCTGACACATCCTGAGACTCTGCGCTCCGCACATTTCTGCCTGTCTTTTCTGTTTCTGAGGCACTCGTGCAAACCAAAGCTTGGGAGCTGGAGCGTTTGCCTGCCATGTTTGTTATCACCTCGTAGTAGCTGGTTTCTGACTCTTGCCGGCACGTATTGCGAGATATTGCAAGTCAAACTATCATGAATCCCCAACAATATTCGAATATAAAATAATATATATATACATTATATTAATTATGATATAGAAAAATATATTACCAGACCATGCGGACCGTCATTGACTACTAATACTGTTGTTATTCATTGATTTCATTGATTATCGAGAACAGGCTTTCCGATGAAGCCTTTGCAGCTCATCGGACATGAATCAGCACAGCTATATCCAACTGACTGCGCTCTTCGAAATTCTTTGAATCACTGCAAAGAGGTGCTCTTCGCAATTCACTTGCTCGGCACAAAGACTTCGCGGCATCGCTGAGGCATCTCCAAAATTCGATCATTATGACAGATGTCACATATTTAAATTACAATGTTACATGAACATGATACACAAATGAAATTGAATGAATATAAATCATGGTATGGTTGATTTAGATGTACGCAAGTTGGAATGAGAAGCGATTGCATTCTTCTTTGCCATGCTACTGATCAACTTGCATTGGAGCCATTAAAGCTGTGGCACATCGCAGGCAGTCGGTGACGATCAGAGGATGTCAGGACATTGAGCAGAAAGATGCAGAAAGATGCAGAAAGCATAATACACCATCAAAGTCCGGCTGTGCTGTGAACTAGTCACTAGTCCTTGCCATGACCTTTGGTGGTCGCATCAGAAAGCAGTACGAAGTTCAAAGTGAACTCAAATGATTTAAACATATATTAAGCAAGCTCAAAGGATTCACAAGGAATGATCTTTGCGGGTCTCAGCTTCAATGTCTCAATTTCAGTAAACCCCCCGAATGTCATGAGCATCTGGGCAAGAAGTCACCATTCAGAGTACTTGGAAGACACACTGCAACCTGCAGCTCTCAAAAGGTTCTACATCAGACAGGTGTCTTGCTTGACAGTGACCAGCAAACCTTTATGTATGTCATGTACATGGATTTCTTGTGTTTGAATGTATTTGACATTTTGATCAAATTGTCATGCTCTCCCATAGATCATCGGACGGACCCTTGACACAAACGTTGCTATATGTAGGACATGGCTACCAAAGATGTTTCCCAACAACCTTCAAAGGCGCGGAAGCAAAAAAGACTGGTTGAAATGAGAAAGTCCAAAAATGTCCGAAATACAGAAGTTGACAAACAACTTTGGCCTAGCAGATCTGCAGCTCACTTCTCTGCACAAACACAGGAGCTTTCAAGCAACAGCTTGCTGTCAAAGCTCACAGCTGATTCTTGGCAGAGAACCCTCTTGCCGCACTTGCCCGTGCTTGTTATAAGCAAAATCCATCTTTTCCAGGTGCACGCGATGGTCTTTCCTTGTGCTTGTTTTGCATGTCTTCGTTCCTTACATTCCGTGTCAGAGACCTCCAAATCTCCAGGGAGCCGCATTTGTTTTTGAATGGTTCAAGTTTTGGACACCAAGGGCGTGCCTGAGAAAGCCAGAAGCGCACCATTCCCACTTTTGGCCAGAGCAGTCCAGATGGCCTTCCGGACCTCGCACAGTGATATTGATATCAGCAAATATTGTAATATTGTTGATGCTTGCTGGGCTGGGAAGTTCTTTCCTCACAGGACCGCAGATCCTCCAACAAATGGTAGCGTCCGAAGAGAGGCATCAGTTGACATTTCAATGAGAGGGATCTGGCACTTCACATTGCTTCACCATGATTCACTATCCAGAAGAGCACTTGTCATGAAGGTAGCAGAGCCGGCGCAAAATAGGCATCCGGTTGGCCAGCAAGGCAGGGCATCCTTTTTTTCGTAGGGACAGCGGACAGCACGAATCAGAGTGATATGTGGCCTGTGGATGCCTGTGGTGCCTCGATGTACCTCGTATATTCTGGTATCTGAAGAAGGGAATAGAAAGGATGATGCTTAGTGCTCCACAACTACACCAGGATTGTGTGGGCTTTGCTTGTAAATGCTTGTAGGCTAAAAACAACTTTGATAACCATGTATTTTCAAATGTCATTAATTTTAACCTTTTTCAACAACATACTATCCATCTACTCAGTCACTACTTGTGTTGAGAGTTGAACTGAGACTTTATCAGACCTTCGATGCAGGCCCAGCTGCTGTACCCAAGCTTGCTATTGGAGGAGAGAGATTGCATATGATTACTGTATTGCGGATTATTACGGTGACAATTACACTTTGATCTCGTTTGTTAGTCTTCACCCACCATAGTCACGTCACAAGGTTGCTTTGCCTAGCCCATGCAAATTGACCCCAATCGATTTGATTTGATGACACCTTTCTCTTCTTTGCAGCAGTTTTTCTATGGTTTTCTTACTGCAGGCGCCCCTCCACAGGTGCCCAGCCTCTCATCTCAGACAGGCCAAACTTGAGACTGCTATGGCTATGACTGCCAAATCGCGAATGGTTCAAATTTTAAGTCAACCTTGCCCGCTTGCATGGCACTGTGTTGTGGTCGCAACTATCGGTAACTATCGAGAGGCAATAAGCCCTTTGTGCCTCGCTTGGCCTTGGGGTCTTTGCCACCTCGGGGGTCTTCGCCTGAAAGGCCTCACCGATGCTTCAAAATCTGGAACTTTCCATAGTGCTCAGCAATCATAGCATCTGTCAGCCGAAAAAAGGGGACTGCTATCAATGAGCAATGTTTCAACATGTTTCACCTCAGGCAAGCAAATGCTGATTCCGGCTCACCAACGGCTAGTCGAAGTAGTCTTGCACCCAGATGATGTGGGAATATGTGGGATGCAATGCGATGTAAATTGCTCACCGTCTCCTGACCTACTTGGGACCAAGGTACAGACTCGTCGGAAGGAATGGAGGCCTGAAATAGCTGCCGAGGATGTGATGTGCACCAGGAATCTGGAATTGTGTCCCACACATTCCATTGCTCAAAGATGTTCAATCTGCAGGTGGACGAAGTTGACAGCAGTAGCAGCCGGAAGCGGCAGCGGATCTTCTGACTTGTTGGAGAAAGCACTGTTTGATGATGGATTTTCTTTTCATGTTTCATGTTCTTTTCAGATTCTTTTCATCTTTTGGTGGTTCATCTTATTCCTGTGGAGTTCCTCCACCTATGAAGCCCCTTGCCAGGGATTCTGATGAAGAGCAACGCTCCACGCAAACTGCTGCAGCCTTTGTGTTTTAACTTTCTATTTTGATGATGACGCTTTGTCACAACTTGGCGTAAAACATATGAAAACTATAGAATCGCCGAGGCAAGAGGGGCCTTGAATCTGCAAGGCCCCAGTTTTCCCATGGCAGGAGCTACTGCGCCAGCACTGGCCCCAGAAGGATCTTGTTAAGGAACTGAAGGACACTTCAATCGATGCGTTTGCAATGGAATTCTTGCCTTTAGGCCTCAACTTTAGCCTGCTGTTGTTAAGACTTGTTGGAATTGAGGGTAAGGCCTTGAGACAAATCAGGTACCTTTTGAGTTAGCTTGGAACGCTCTAGAGGAGGTAAGCCTCAGGTAAGCATTTTTTACAAAGAGTGTCCATTAGCATAGAGAGAGAGAAAGCGCAATATCATACGCTACACCTACACTGCTAGATGATCAGCTGCCAGCTATAAGATGTGCATGTCGCTCACTGCAGGCAGCAATTTGGTCGATGTATGATTCAAAAGTAGAAGAGTTTCAAGCTCACAGTTGCTGCTGAGTTGTGAGGACACATGTGCTCTCAGTTTTAAAATGTAGAATTTACCACACGTTGAAAAACGATGAAAAACGCAGAAATGATATATTATGTGTCCGTGCACGCCAGTCTTAGCCCAAGGAAGGGACAAAATTTGGTTGTTCTGTAATTGCTCAAAACTTATCAAAGCTGGTCTTTGGTAGAGCAAGCTCAGCCCTGCCCGGACACGCTGTGGTGAAGCAGACTCTTGACTCTTGACAGTCAATGAAGGGGATTTCCTCCCACGTCACACCCAACACGCCGGGTAATCCGTGGTAATCCTCCCTGATTATCTCTTCAGTCTCGTCTCTTGTCATGTCTTGTCCCATGAGGCTGCACCACGATCGGCACGGGATGGAGTGCCTCAGGTGCCACAGCTCTCCCTTGGGAAGCCAGGACTGATCATCGGGGTGCTTGAGTTTCATCGAAACAAGGTCATGCAAGGTCGAAAACCGAGATCTTGAAAAAAACGATGAAAGATTGATCATGAAACATATCAAGCATGGCCAAGTTCTCTACGTCTAAAGCTTAGCAAGTCTTTGAGTTCCAAACGAGCTACATGACCCTTAGTCGCAATTGTAAGAGCTCAGCTTCCGACCACCACCATGGAGTTCAGGCTTTTATCTCGCTTTTGCGCAAGAGATCCACTTGCACACTTTTGATATAGTGGGTTGGATAGACGTGCAGCAGTTTTCAGATCATCTTGCGGATGGGATCACCTTTGATATTTCATGATATTTCTATAATTACTTTCAGAATCTTTCAGATACTTCTAGAAACTTAGAAATAATATGATACTGAACAATGAGAGGAGCCTTTGCAACTTGTAGCAGCTTGCAAAAATTTGCCAACCTCATTAGGATTGCCAGCGCCAGCAATATCTGCAGATGGGCAAGACACCACAAACTCGACGGGTGCCAGTCGAGTAATTCCACCCTTGGTCTGCGCCTTACAGTGAGCTCTCTTTTTCTATTCTTTGTCTCTAGGCATGACAAGGCTGTGTTGTTTTAATGTATTTTTCCGGTCAGGTCCTAGACTGTCATTCCTTGCAAGTCGCCTCAAGAACTCCAAGGCAAATGGGCAAACCATCCTGGGGCGTGACGCCATGGCCTTGGTGAACTTGATGAAGCTTCATTTTGCATCAAATGTTGCATCAAATGAATCATTTTGCATGGAACCATATGGAACTTTGCATGTACGCAAAGGAAAACAATGGAAAACATGAAAAAGCTCGAAACTGGGATGTAACTCGGGGCCAAGGCACCGGCTCTGAACTTGGAGGATATTCACACTCCCGAAGAGGAGTTGATCAGTGCGATCCCCTTTCTGGTGTGATGCTGCTGTCACTGTAGTCCTCTTGAATTGCTTCAGCCTGCTACACCAACTGCATCCAATTGCTGATGAGGCTCGTACGACCCAGAGAATGAGGAGAACAACTACCATTTGCTGGAGGGCCTACACTGATGTGCGATGTGTCCCTTTTCCCGATGTTCCCTTCCAGATGTGTCTAGATTCTTATAGATGAAAAAGCTATTTAAAAAAAAACTGGGCTTTGCTCCATGGCTGAAACCATCAAAGCGAACAAACTCCTTGATAGACTGGAAACATCTTCAGACGATCTTGAAATCAAAGGCCAGACCATCTTCAAAGGCGGCTTCAGCTCAAGCACTGGCGCCAGGCATGTCGCTGCAGAAGACTAGAATTTGTGTTGCGGCAAAAAAAAACATTGTTGTTTGATGTTGTTTGGAAGTTTGGAAGCTTCTCTTGAAATTTCAAAAGCAAACCCCAGCCCAAAGAGAGTATCCCCTGATACACATACTTGATCGGTAATTATTTCATGTAAGTAGATCAGCTATGCGCAGATGATATCAAATGATTGTCTGCTGTTCCTCCGCCTTTCCTACATCCCTTGTCATTGTTAGGTCAGTCTGTACAGCCACAAACATTCCCAATCATTGTGTGCCTAATGAACAATGTTGTTACATGTTGTTACATTATGTTCCATATCAATATATTAAAATCCACTTAAACAATTCTGAGACACATCAAGCGTCAAGGCAAGCCTCGCCCAAGCATTTTGCAGAACAGACACGACCTGACCGCTATTCGTTCATCAACAAAGCACTCTACAGAACTGCAACGGCTTCTTGCACAGGTGTGCTCAGAGGTTATTCCGGGTGCTCTATTCATCTCCAGCTACCAGGCAAATTCTTTTTGCATAGGAGCAAATTCACAACTTCACTGTTTGAGCCGTATAGTGCCAGTTGCCAGAGAATGCATCAAAGATGAACGATCATGTGTTTTTTGGTCCAGATCTTTGGTGTTTCGTCATGCAGTCAGGAGCATCATGGAGCATCCCTTTGTTTAAGCTTTGTGCGTTCATGTGAGGTGGCCAGTGATGAGGAAGCCCTGAACACCAGCAATATCACTCACATTGTCAACACTGCTGCTGATGTCTGCAACTGCCTCAGAAAGTCTTTCTCTTTGCAGCATGAAAGAGTTGCTACTGCGCATTTCGTTAAGGTGACAACTGCTTTCCTGACAAGTTTCACTATTTGACCTACTACTTGAAGGACTCCTACTCTGTACTTGCAACATCTTGCAACTGCCTGTCAGCCGATCAAGCTTAGATCTCCGGTGTGTAGATGTTGGTAGTATGTTCATAATATAGTTTCATGATTTGGAGGGTTCATTCCAAGCGAGAGGTTCCCACCTGAAGCCATGGCTTTCTGGCTATCAGGGAGCTAACCTTATAGTCGAATCCGAGCCCGTGAACGACAAACACCTGGTATTTCCAGGTGCATTTTTTGTCATTCTTTATATATATATATATATGTATGTATGCATGTATATATGTTACATTCTTTGCGTTCTCTTCTCCATGCTCCTATCATTCTAAAGCCAGAGAAAAGCTTTAACATGCTTTAACAAACAGCTGCAACTCCAAGCATCCATTTTGGTTTGAACTGAATCCGGAAATTGCCCCTCTCGCAATTGGTTTTTATCTGCAATGGAGGTCAAATGGATCAAGAGCATGGCTGGCTGGGACGTTCCAAGTCACGTAATTCATCTTGTAAGTCAGACTTCAGAGTTTTGCTCTGACTAAGATCATGAGTACCTGCATTTGTTGCCCATTTGATAAGATCCACACACACACATTCTTATATAGCATAGCTATAGCATAGCTATAGCATTCCTCAGCGCTTTGGGCTTGTTTGCCTTTGCGTCCATTCGCCTCCAGGATGCTAATAGCGAGGACATCACAGTTCTGCTGTACAGAACAATGGAGTGGGTGCATGAGGTGCAGCGCACTTGACACACAGCGACTCAAGGTGGAAACGTTCAAAGGAAACTTGGTGTCAAGCAAATTCATGGAAATTGCATGAAATTGCATGAAATAGTCAAACGAAAGGGATTCCGCCAAACTCACTGTTGAGTCTTAAAAGGTGGTCCGTTGTGGCTTTCTGCCAGGCAATCAACAAGGGTGGCCGTGTTTTAGTTCACTGCCGGAAAGGAGTGAGCAGGCGATGTGAAGCAGTGGAGCCAAATTGAAGCAGAGGGATTTCAAGATTTACCATGATTGCTAGTGATGCTAGTGGCTGCTAGTGCCAATGTTTACCTGATCAGATGGAAGTAAATTGCAGTCACTTCAGCCACGTGATGGCAGGTCAGCAACCATTGTCATTGCCTATTTGATGTGGCGGTGCGCGACTAGATGCAACATGATGAATCATTTGAATCGTCCAAAACGCAACTGTTCCACACACGTCTTCAACGTTGCAGCGTGTCTCCGGCTCTTGAAGCGCAGGTTTAGCCTATCTTTTGAAGCCGCTCATGAGCGGATACGCCAGAAGCGTCCCATTTGCAATCCAAACACAGGCGGATGCAGCAGAGTGTCTCCCGCTGGGTTGTCCAACTCTTTTGAAAGTCACCTACCAGTATTGGATTTTGGGGCTTATTGGCTTATTGCTCGTGGTACTCGTGGTATACTGTACATGCTCTGGCTGCGTGCCACAATTGCAACGATTGTGGAAGCCAACGGAAGCAACTCTGTAGCTCTGAACTTACAAGTCAAAGTGTTTGAGTGGAATCCAGTGAAATGGCAGGCTTCACGTGCCAGCTGCTGCAGTTGGCAAAAAAATTGTCGAGTAGCCAGGCAGGGCATTTGTCTTTTGCAAGACATGTCACCATTTTTCAGCCTTCAAATTTCTTTTCTCCAGTGCCCTGAGTGCATCCTAGTTAGATGATGTTAGATGCCCTTTTACATCTACTAAACCCTTTAGCTGAATTGAGCCACATTGGACTTTGATATTGATTCAGCCGAGGCACCAATTTCTGACAAAGCTTCTTTGTTCCGAGTGATGCCATACCATCCCAAGGTCCCAAGAGACAGTCAACTCAGTCGCTTCATGTCGCTTCATGTCGCTTCCAGTCAAACGTTTTGTGCCACCTCTGGCACAGATGGTTCTGATATGTTCTGATATGTTCTGATGGTTTCAGATGGTCTGCAGGAACCCTTCCTGCTTCTTGTCCCAGCTGACCTTCAGCCTGGGCAAACCCATTTCGACCCTCGTTTCGGCTGTCTGCTTAGTAGAACTTTCTCTCATCGCACTTTTTGATCTTTTTGCTCAGAAGATTTTTTGTGATTTTTGTGCATGTCGCGTATTGCTTCGTATTGCTTCGTATTGTTTGGTGTCTCGTGCTGTGCAGCCGAGTCACCGAGTCGGCTTTTTGCTGCCAAGGCTGGGTCGCACAATCAGGTCTGCAATTCATCCTGTGGATGGGCTCCCAGGCATGAACCCGAAGCAAATGATGCCAGATGCGAGTGCAAATATGTGCAAATCCATTTACACCATATGGTGTGTCAATTTTGAATCGTAGTGTGAACAAACTTAATTTGCTCCGACATGCGGCCCTGTGGCATCTTTCTTGCAGCTGCGGGCACTCAATTTTTTCAGGTTCCAGATGCAGAAGCTGTGCGAGAAGCAGTGGAGGCACACAAGAGGCGAGTTGAGTTCTTCGAGCGATGCCAGTGGACATCTTAGCTGCAATCACCCTGTGCTTATACTGTACATGGAATATCACAGAACTACATTTTGCGCTTGGATCTGTTAGGTTATCATAGTCAGCATCAATGTACCCAGGTGCCAGCTTCTGATTGTAAAAGAAGGTGAAGAAGCAAGCACCTCAGGATCACATTTGATGGATGTTATGTAGATATGTAGCTTTGTCGTGAAGCAATCATAGTCACTACAAGTACAAGTACTACATATATAATCATATATATCTACATAATCTACATATATCTACATAGTCATATCATGCCATAGTATGTTACTAATTGTATCATTTGTATCTGTAATTGTTACTATTTGTTACTATTTGTTACTATTTGTTACTATTTGTTACTATTTGTTACTATGTCAATCTATGTAATTGGTACCTTTTCAGGACTGAAGGTGTCGTGAGTTGATTCCAGGTGCCCCAGCTGTGGCATGTCCTTGGTGAAACCGTTGCAGACAGTTCACTTGTGGCACTCCGGTGCGGTGCCTCGGAAATCCTCACGCCATGCATCAGTGCTGTGTTCCAACGGTCAGTGGATAAGATTATTATATACTCTAACTACTGTATATTGTATAATATATATATATACATTATATATATATATATACATTATATATATACATTATATACTAGTAGTACCGCACAAGGCGGTGGCGGAAGTTTCAAAAATAGGAAACATATAGGAAAGGTTGGTTGTTGTGCATCATGGATGGCAGATCGACTCCACTGATGGACCGAAGGTGGTTGTTATTTTTGGAGTGGTTGCAGTGGTCACAACACCCACAACTGCAGAATGTAGTGTGGTGTAGCGAAGTATAATGTAATTGTACTTGTAGTTGTAGTGTAGTTGTAGTTGTAGTGTAGTTGATGCTGTTGAAGTTGTAGTGTTGTAGTTGTAGTTGTGGTTGTAGTAGTAGTTGTTGTAGTGTAGTTGAAGTGTAGTCGAAAATGCACTTGTAGTAATTGAAGTAGTTGTAGGAATTGTAGCTGTAGTTGTAGTGTAGTTGTAGTTGTAGTGCAGTGTAGTGGTAATTGTTGTTGTTGTTGTTGTTGTGTAGCTGAAGTTGTAGTTGTAGTGTAGTTTACTGGCAGTGGTAGTAGTAGTTGTAGTTGTAGTGCAGTGGTAGTTGTAGCTATAGTTGTAGTTGTGGTGTAGTTTACTGGTAGTGGTAGTTGTAGTTGTAGTCCAGTGTGGTGTAGTGTAGTGGTAGTTGTCGTTGCAGTGTAGTTGTGGTTGTAGTCCAGTGTGGTGTAGTTGAAGTTGTAATTGTATTTGTAGTTGTAGTTGCAGCTGTAGTGTATTTGTAGTAGTTGCTGCAGTTGTTGTAGTTGCAGTTGCACTTGCAGTTGTAGTTGCAGTTGTAGTTGCAGTTGTAGTTGTAGCGTTGTGCAATGGTAGTTGTACTTGTAGTTGCACATGTAGGTTTAGTTGAGGTGTAGTTGAAGTTGTAGTTGTAGTTGTCGTGTAGTGGTAGTAGTTCTAGTTGAAGTGTAGTTGAAGTTGTAGTTGTAGCTGTGGTGTAGTCACAGTTGTCTATCTTTCTGTTTATCTATCTGTCTATCTATCCGTCTATCTGTTTATCTCTCTATTTGTTTGTCTGTCTATCTAGCCATCTTTCTGTCTATCTATCTATCTATCTATCTGTCTATCTGCAAGCTTGAAATCAAAGCTATTTTGCGAGACTTCCTCAATTTTGGAACCTTACAATGTCAAAAGCGAAGCAATTCCGCGAGACCTCAATTTTCCAAGTTGACAACATCAAAAACGAAGCAATTCTTCGAGGCTTCCTTCAAAAATGGAAAGTTGAGTGCAGAGCTGACGGCCTCGTACCAATGCGTTTTGCGATTTTTGCACTCCACCTGTCTAAAGTATTGCGCCTGCCACGAAAAAGTGATGCCAGGTCATACGAAGTGCTGCACCTGTCAGGCAAAATCATCTTAGCAAACCTGAAGATCGGATGCTCCAAAACGCAACCCCTCTCAGGAAATCAGCGCCCTCACCTCCTAACACCTCCGATGAAGATGTCTCTTGCACTGCGCCTGCCACGGAAAATGCATCTTTGCAGATCCTCTTCAAATGTCCCACGCCTGCCAACGCTTGTGAAGCTGTGGCAAAACCCTCACGTTTCGCTCAGGTGCAGAATCCCTTGCGCTTGCCACGCAAAATCACATCTGAACCTTCAAAAGTGGTCCGAGCATGGTGTTTTTTTTAAACATTTTGACTCGGAAACGCGCTTCGCGCCACAACGGCGCGCACTTTTTCGACATCTCAATTTCCAAGAGTGCTCTGAACGTGGTGCGCTTTGCACATTTTGACTTCGAAATGTGCTTCGCGCCACAACGGCGCACTTTTTCGACATCTCAACTTCAAAAAGTGCTCAGGTGTTTTGTACATTTTGACTTCGATGTGCTTCGCGTCACAACAGCGTGCAATTTTTCATCTCGCATCTGACCAGATGTTGCCGCACCCGCCGCTTTAGCGAGCCTACTTTTCGACCCTCCGGGGCCACAAAATCATTGGAAAAAACACACTGAGTCGCGACTTTTCTACCTTTTTGCGCACCTGCATCTTCTTTCTTCTGACTCTTTCTCTTTTTTGATCCTTGTCTCTTCTTCTCTTCGCCTCTCTGATTCTTCCCACCTCTGCTCTTCATTTCTCCATATTGTCGGAAGTTTGACTTCTAAACTTCCTTTGGTTATGTTACATGTTATAGTGCTCAAGAGAGAGAGAACAGAGAGAGAGAGAGAGAGAAAAAAAAAAAACTACAATGAAGCTTTTGGCTGTGGAAACCAAGCTTGGAAAATCCTCAAATCCCGAATGTCCGCGCCTTCCTGTTCTGATGTGTTTGCAAGCATTATACAAGCATAGCACAACTTGGCAAGGCGTATAATATGGAGTAAAATTATGCAGGATTTGAAAATTCGGATCAATGGGAGCGCCCCAACCACATGCACCAGCCATCATTCGCCTAGGTCTGAATTTGACTCCGACTATGATCTCATTGTCTCAAACTCAGCTTTGAACCACTCAATCTCTGATCCCGGGCCTCACCTGATAGTTTGATATATATTTGTTTTTCAAATGTCCTCCCAAGCAGCCTTTGAGGTTGCATTGTTTTGTCATGTTTGTCCTATTTTCCTTCTATTTTTGTTCATCATTGATGGCCATACAAGAAATTGTGTTCACACGAACGAGCATTCTGAGATATTCTGAATTTTTGTTTCAAAGGTTGCGACCAGAAGCGGACGAGGCCAGGGCTAGGGCTGCCTCAATGTGTTCTCTGAATTTCAGTGAAATTTGAAGTGTGTCTAGCCAAGGCTCTCCAAGCGGTCCTGGAAGGCCGTCCTTCAAGGACACATCGCAAACCCAGGGCAACAACGGAACTATGGTTCCCTCATAGCTAGAAGATGCTGGTGAAGTACCGACTCTGCGGTGTATGGAAGTACGGACAGAACCACCAGACAGCAATGTGAACCAGACTATCCATCCGAGTCATCCTGAGAACTCGCAATTCATAATAATCGCTGGAGTCCAAACTGTAAATACAAGGCATCTCAACAAATTAGTTGGTATGGCTTGGTGTTGGTTGTTTCAGGAGGGGAGCTCGGCTAATGCTTGGGAAGGGTCTTGCACTCAGAGCTATGTCAGCCGCCTGTTCAGCTGCGGATGCTCTCAGCTATCATCTGGTGTTTTCACATTTTGTATCACAATGTCTTACCTCAAGTGCCAAGTGCGCCAAGTGTTACTGTCCGAATCTTTCCAAGGCCAAGTGCTCGGCATTTGCAACCAGTTCTGGCTGTTGGCAGATGACTTTCAAGCTGGTCCTGCCATGTGTATGCTAAAACAAGAATGACATGATGATGCGTTTCTCAGCGTTTGTTTGTATGTGTGCTTGTTATCTTCTGCCTCTCAAATCCTCTTGTGGTGAATCATTCCGTAAATTACTAAAGGTCCGAACCAACGATGGTGTGCATTGCAAGATTTGTTTTGCTTAATTTGTTGATGGCAGCATGTGGCAGAAGTTTGGGGATTTGGGGGTATTGTCAGTTTGGCGTCACCATACAGCGGAAGACCTGGAGAGGCGGAGGTGCACACAGGTCGTGCTTCAAATTTCTCTGACATAGAAAATCTGATGAAAATCTGGTGAACATCTGGTTAATGATCTTGGAATATCTTGGACTTGACCGCGCAAACATGACTTGTTGATATTTGTAACATGAAATGTTCTCATACTTTGGCAAGATGGCAGGCGAAACCAATTTTACATGTTGTGATTGTCGGGTTCTTCAGACGATTATGACGATTGGAAACGGTGATGGATGGTGATGGATGGTGATGGATGGTGATCGATGGTGATGGATGACCGTCTCACTTAGCCAGCTCATGGGAAATGATGGTGGGCAAAGGCACAGCAAAGACTAACAAAGGCATGGCGCATTGCAGCAATGCGTTGTTTCTCTAGTCATTTCTCATGGTGCCAAGCGTTTGCAGCTTTGGCTTTCGGCATTTGCCGTGGTGTAGTTTGGCACAGTTTCAATCGCAGTATTTGCACGTGGCACGGCTCCGGTTCTACGATGTTCTACGTGAGTGGTTCTGTGGCTGCGAGACTCGCAACAATTTGAACAATGGAAAAGAAGACTGCTTGGTTGTGAGTTTTCAACTGCTTTCCACCATAAATTTTGGATACCGTTGCATTTTAATTCATAGCAGGGGGCACAAGGACCTTTGGTGAGTCTTGTGCCAATGAAGACACTCACCTTAGGTTGTGAAAACGTACCTGCATGATGCACCTGGATGACATACCCAATATGTTGGGGTCATAGCTGGTGGTCATATTCGTATCTGTTAGTACTTTATGGGATCAGGCTAACCCAAGAACCTGCATGCCGTCATTCAGTCATTTCATGATCACGTTTGATTGAGTCGTATTGGTTTCTCTTTTAAACAACCTGACATTCAAATGTCAACGGATAAGCTTGGCCTTTTTAACTCGGTATGGCCGAGTGATGCCTTCAATCTACCATGAGGTAATCAGACTTTGCATTCATGAAAAGAGACCGTCTTTCATGACTTCGCAAGTGTGTATTTCGGCCGTGGGATCTGTCAAAGTCCGGTCGTGATCCTGGAATTCCAGGCGTCGTATCTCCCCTGGGGGTGCGAGAATCCACAAGTGAATTTGACTCTTGAATTCAGCCACGGTGGCTCATTGCAATGATTGAACGTGTGTCTCTGACACAAAGCGTGCATTTGAGAGAATAGATCCCGGTATGCTATCCGGCAAAAATAGCTTGAATCCACTGAGTTTGAACTTGAATTTGACTTTTGACAATTTTGGCGACTGATAGTCACCAATAAGATGAATTTTCTGAATTCCACACTTGAAGCCTCAGCATTGAATTCCAAATGGATGAATTGTGTTTGTACACATGAATGCCTTTTGGTGTACAGTTGAGCAAGCAACAATACGTTATCACTTGTTAGTTGTCTAACTGATCAATCCTTGTACAGTTAACAAGTTGTCATATTAGACAACACATTTTCCATTTTCCTTTCTCTAGATTTCTGAGCCATGTCGACTCCGGTGTATAATGTTTACTTTGTGGCCGGCAACGTGGACCCGACTCCACCTCGGCCACCCAAAGCACCGGCGAAGCCAGCAGTAAGACTGGCATTGACACCACATGCTCCTCCAGCAACTCCGGTAGCAGCCCCAGCCGCAATTCCAGGAACGATCTCCGTACCTCGTCGACCGTCAGCAGTCCAACCTGCGGTGCCGGTTGGAACAGATGATGACAAACAGGAAAGACGCACAACATCAAGTTGCTCCAGATCCAGAACAAGACGTCGTCATCGAGCATCCCATCACCGTCACCATCATCGTGATCACCATTCTCCGAGGTCCACTTCGAGATCTGAAAGAGGTAGGTCAGTTAGAACGGCTCGTTCTTCTTTCTCTCAAGCTCTCCGTCCTCCACCAGGTCAATGGGACATTCATACTGGTCTTTGGGACCCGTATGTTGGAAACATTCCTCCCAGAGCGCATGTTCCTCCTCCCAGAGTTCCTGCTCCTCCTCCCTTGAGACCGTTTTCAGCCTTCCCTCTATTAGATCGCTCAGGACGTCACGAAATGACACCAACCAGTCAGCCAGTCACTCCGAACCAGGCAAATATTCGATCTTGGTTAAAAAATCATCAAGATGATGACTACCCGATGATGGACAGTATGGTGAAATTCGTTGCACAAATTCTGGACTCCACCAGGTATACTCCTGATCATTTGTCCACAATGAAGTTGCTTGTTTATGACCCTCAAGATCATGAACATCATCCTACTGATTTGGGCAAGAGTCATTTTTACCTTATCAAAGGACATTTCTCTCAAAGAGAAATACCAGACCCAGTACGAGCTGCACCTGCGATGAACCTCCAGGAAGTACAACATGTGAATTTGGTTCATGCTAGCAGTATTGGAGGCATCAAAGGCATTTTTTCTGATCAAAAGATCGGACCTAGCCGTTTACACAACAACCAATCTTGCTCATTTTTCAGTCTTGGATCAAAAAGAACCAACGACAGAGCTTGGGATGACAAAGAAATGGCCAGAATCACACATGCAGCATGGTACGCTGCAAAGAATACAAGTAACATTCTGGCAGTAGCGGTAGGATGGGGAACGGCTGAGGCCGTAAAGCAAGGGGGAGAATGGGAATGCGTACAGAAAACCATGAATGGCGGATGCGTCCACCATCAAAGAGGACGTATGTGGGTCACTAATGAAAACTCCCACAAACTCTTAGGTTTTGCATTCAGAGTGGCAGCTGAAAGCCCACTAGACTAATTCCCTACTCCGTTTTGAACCTTGCTGTTTTTACCATTTTCTTTTTTGTCTGATTGGAATTTTGCTTCAATATGAACTGCCCGTTTCTCCATCAGACTTGTTACCGGTATGCTTAATTCATTTTCGTTGCATGTGCGATCGACATTTGCTGAGATGTCCAAAAAACCGCATGGACAACCCATACATTCCGATTTGTGATTTAGACGTACATATTTTAACTCAATCGGAATTGTGATCCATTTTGTCCAACAAGACGATACATCAGAATGCTGCGTTGAATCAACGTGCCGCATCCAATTGCAGATTTTTCAATTTTTGTTATTTCAGTTATAGCTGCAGTTTTGGGTTCTTAGGCTTCCTGTTGACGTGTTAACTTCTCCGTTGTCAGCCATGTCGTATTGGAACAGGTCCCAATGGAACTCTTGGGACAATCAATGGCAGCAGCAGCAGTCTCCTCCACCTCCGCCTCCGTCTTCGAGTCCGCCCGTGAGTTTACCATCAAATTGGCGCAGCACGAGTCAATGTTGGGATGATCAAGTTCAATATGGTTACCGTTTGTACAGATCAATTCAACCGACTGCATGGAGCCGCAAGAGGAATCTTGCTGGCCAAGATCCACTTTCCGTCCCGCTCAGTCATCTTACTCGACATGGACCTGATGAAGCAGCGCTGCGAGCGCTCAGTGAGGGTAGATTTGTTGGAATTATTTGTGCGAAATCTGTTGCTGAATCTGTGTTTGGTTCCCAAATTTTGAAGACATTCCGTGATCAAGGAATTGATATCGATGCTACGGCTGAAAGCCTCCATCGCCAGTTGGCCCCCCAGCAGGGCATTCCCAATCGCACGGACAAACCGATTGAGTTTATGGCACCTTTAGTTCAGTTCATAGCCGATAAACTCAAGGCTCAGTGTCCTGTAAAACAGGATACCGAAGCCATGCGAAGGCTCCAGGAGACCGAAGCGAAGCTTCAAGCTGCCAAGTCCAAGCTTGCACAAGCAGGCATTCCGGATACACCCCAGAGATCACGGCGTACCACCGGCACTTTTGCCCCTGATCCCAAATTGCCAACTGATGATCTTGATGGTCCTGGTTCTGCTGGTTCTGTTGTTCCTGTTTCTCCTGCTGTTGTTTCTACTTCTCACAGGAAGAGACCTAGCGAGGCATTAGGGGCTTCTCCGAAATCGTTGCCAAAGCAAAGAAAGCTGGCACCTATGTTCCGCAAGGCAGCTGCGTCACCAAAAGATGAGACCTCTGCCACGCACTCTCCGACAGAAATCACAATTCAGGAGATTTTGGAGCCAAAGGCCCCAAATCTCAGAGAGAATCAGCTTTCCGGAACCACTGCAGCCAATGTAAAGAAGTGGACCCAGAATTTCAACCTGGAAACCCAGCAGATGTCCAAGAAAATCATGGATATCATAAAGGCTGCTAAATGCACCAAGGAACAGTTGCAACAGGCCAGCACTCAATATGGCCTTAATTTAAGTGCTGTCCTCAAGCTCAGCATCACAAGTCTCCAACAGGCAGTTGCTGTTGGAGCAGCTCTTACAGCTTGACTAGCTATGGATGTTTCCAAACATCGGCCGAAAGCCGTTCTGGATTACATCACAGTTTTGAGATCCGTATTTATTGAGATCGTGCACTCTGTCCCTGCTGTCAACAAGTCTTGTGCAATTTGGGCCCTTGGTTTGCTTCATCTCATTTGTCTTTTCCATTTTGGATCACGCACGTATCATACCGCGGTTTGGCAGCGAAGACTGCAGAACCTTGGTATTAATCCAGAGAGTTACACTTTTGTATTCTTTCAATGTACAGCTGTCACCTATCTTAAAATGCAGTTTAACCTTCCCAACTCCACTTCACTTTCGTACAAACAAGCTGGCAGATTTTATATCGGCTCCACATCCATTGGAATGGCCAAGCGGGAATTCAATAGAATGGCCAAGTACAGACTGGCCAAAGATGGTACTCCTGTTCACGTTGAACTTGCTGTTAAGTACTGGTCTCGACGTTCGGATTTTTCCAATTTTACTGCAATTCCAATTGCCTCTTTTTCTACATATCAAGAAGCCTGGATTTTTGAACATTTACTGATT